GCCTTCTCCACACATGACAATATGCTGTACAATGGGCCGGACTGCTACTTTGATAAGAATGCGGTCGACCTCAACTCCGAGTTTGCATTGCACTCATTTGAGGATTCATTGTAGCATAGCCACTGTGGTAGGGTTGGTTTGAGGGTGTCCCTCTTCTTTATACTGGCGTTTAGAGAGGTCTCGAGATACCTACCTTCGCGGGATATTTTTTCTTTTTTGATTTTGTCGACTGCACTTGAGCGAAAGGCGCGCATCGCGCAAAGCATGGACGGAATAACTTTTGGTATTCTGCACGACTACTTTTTGATGGAACATGTGATACGTTAGGGTCTCCCAGGGATAAAGGCCCCAGGGCAGGAGAATCGGGAGAGCAAAGACCTTTCCTTTCTACATGCCTTCTACATGGGTTATCGACAGCGGGCTTTCGAAGGAGCCCTGCGGATGTGGAATACCAGCGGTTCAAAGGATCAACGGATCAACAGGATCAACAGGGTGGGAGGCCGGCCACTCCGTGCCGTATCGAAACACTCAAATAATCTTTATGTACTACAAGGTGATACCTCCATGAACAGTACACCGATGTCTCCCTCACAAAGACACGACCTCAAAGTTTTCCCTGCATGTCCTGCCGAGCACACCGTCATTTTCTATTCACAAACTCAAAAAGACCATTTCCCGAACACGGCACTCGTAGAAAGCCAATTCCTCTTGTTTTCAGAGTCTAAAAACTATGGCACGCGAGTTCCCCGACGGCCGCGGGCTGAGTGGTCCCTGATTTTGTAAGGGGTCCGAACGCCCGAAGCCAGTTCCGAGACAGTGGCAATAGCACCAACACCATCGCACTGAGAGCACGACCACGGCTAAGATGCTCGGGGAGCTTTACAACGGCGACCGCGGGGAACAACTCGAGCTTGGACCCCGCTGTTGTAGGGAGTTCGGCTGCTGCCCTACCAGGCCAGGATAAGTTTTTGCTCCCACCCAACCGGCCGTCTCATCAACTATGACATGCTGTGACTGCCGACCGTGCGGGAGCAGAAATCGTCAAAGACGTTGGAATCTCTTCTGGCTCAAAGAGTAGCTGCTTGTTCATTCGAGAGCGGACCCTAACGGCTCCTCTGCTGGGGCTTTCGGCCTCCGCTGGTTGCCTTGTTTGAGCGAGCCGCGGACATGTCCATTACAAGGGCGGCCCAAAAGACATCGTGACAGGCTGCTTGAGGTTCTGGAGAACTGCAGGGCCCCGATCGGCACCACCTGCAGCTCGAAGAACCCCCCGCCGTTTGGTTCGATGTCCCGGGTAGTATATCAAAATATTACTTGTACGTTTTGCCAAAGCTCTCTCCTCTCTTCTCTTCCATTCCCCAGACACAATCTTGTGATTCTGACATCCCAAAAGCAGAAAGCATCCAGTTCGGTCAAAAGTCACAGCAGCAAAGAGTAGTAACCTGATGGGGACGGGCACCCGGGGTTCTCCAAGCGAGGAGCTCAAGGGGGCCATCCCGACACCACACGTGGCTCAACTGTACGACGACATTTCGAGAATCTCGAGTCTGGTAGGCACATACGAAGTCATCATCCATACAATGCGTCCCCTCTCCTCGCGAATCCATTCACAAAGCGGCAGGGCTTTCCCCCTGGTCAAAGCCCCAAAGACTTTCCAAGACCTTGCGATCATGTCAGCATGCATCCGCACTATTCCTGTCTTTCGTCCCAACCCAATAGTCGCAGGATCATCTCTCTTGATTCGCCCTGCCGAAGGACATGTGAGTTTCGGCGGCTGGACAGGGTTAGCTTGAAGCACGAGAGGCTGGCTTGAGCTTTTCTGCCTTTGGGTCATACGGTTCAAAGTGTGATACGGGTCTTGATTCGCCAACTGGGTTGTATCACTCTCTCACTAGCCCTGCCCAAGGTGGTATTTGCCCTTCGCTTGGTGTGCCGAGCTATGTCAGGAAGCAGCAATTGATCGGCATCTCCCCTACCAGGGCAGGCGTAACTCGCTTGTCACTCCTTTCTGGCGACCTCTACTCCGCCCATCTAGGCCATCTTGCGGACAACACCATTTTCCCCTTCTGGCCACTTCGCCATGGCCAATACGAGTGCCACGCAAGACATGGGTGGACTAGTGGTCTTGGAAGGGTACGAATTGTGACGGTTCAAAACATCTCACATTGAGACGCAGACCACTTCACGCCGTAATCCATTTGACACGCCAGACGACTCTCACAAAATATTCTTTCTTCGGAAGTTAACCGCAGAAGCGAGGGCTGGATTACTGGTCACCCCCCAATTCCTGGAACATGCCGGAGTGGGCAACACTCGCGTCCCAACCACGCCCAAAGGGAGCGTTGCTTCAATTAGTCCACCCTTTTTTCAGCTTTCCACTCCCTCGGGCTGCTGGATCATTGGCTACGGAAACGGCTGATGCTTAGACAACGTGGCAATGACATCATTGGACCATCGATCTGGCTTTTGCCCAGAGCAATAAGCGCCCTGCCCATCCCACCGCGTGTCAGCCCAAGTCCTCTGCAGTGGCCGTTCAGGCACTGGTTCAGATGGTATACTATGTACAGTGCAGCCCATGAGGGCTTCCGCACGGAGCCGACGATAGCTTGATCTCAGGCGTAATCTGTCCTCGAAGCACCATCAGCCATGAAAGGGCAAACGTGGTTTACTTGCAGGGAGCCTTGTGACTGGCGGGCCTCTTCAAAATCTAGCGTGCGAGCTCGCTTTCGTCTTCTTCAACTAGTGCTACTACAGATCGTTGATCAAGCCGCAACTTTGGTTAGAAATGGCACTTGCCGAGCAACCAGCTGAGCATACTTCTCAGAAGCTCCCGAGCTCAGGACCCGGATCCGACCCTTGAGAAGGGAGTCCCCAGAAAGGCTTTCCCCTTTGCCGGAATTGCTGCGTCTTTAAGTAAGGAATGTGTAATGAACATTCATGGCCAGCAAAAGCGGCAACGGCATGTTCCATTACACCACTGGGTCCGCGGATGATTACTAGAGCTAGATGCCTGCTCAATATGGTTGTACAATCGATTTCAGCCTATGATATCATATCAATCTCGGATACTACTTGTGGTCCTCAAGGAGGTAGTGGTAAATTAGGAAAACGAACAAAGAGCACGCGAGGTGGGTGCAAGAACTGGGGATGAGCGTGGCATTTCCAGTGACTTCGTGCTGGTCTCAAATCAGATATTGAAAGAGGACCTGGATGAGGAGCATCTCAACCCGACAGACTGACGAGCACGTGAGTGTCGATCCAAGACACGCGTGCAACAAGAGCTATTCCGATTTCAAGAGCGCCATGTCGGCTCCCCGAGAAGCTTCCTAGGGCGCTCTTGCAAACCAGCATCCCACCCACGCGAGCAGAACAATCTTCCAAGGCGCACACTCAAGCTGCCTCGACATTCGTCCCAGCACCCCTTTTTCTGTGGTCGTCCAAGCGAGTCAGAGCCACCCGAGCAGCGAGACCCGAGTGATTCTCAGAAACGTTGACTCCGATACGGAGCTGGAATATGACGGCGACGAGGCACGATAATTCTCGGTTCCGGATTCCACAAACTCTCCCGAGACCATGCTGTGGTCATCGAGCCGGCAAATGTCAAGACGACACAGGCTCCCTGTCCATCATGCAGATCCAGAATGCCCTGCCTCTCTTTCGCAGCCGCCGCAAGCGAAAAGTATCAAGCTAATTCTCGTAGCTGAGCTGATCCTCCACGCAAATCTGCCCAGGAAAGTAGATGTCTCAAAAGCAGGCCCAGAAACTTTGGTCTAACCTGCGAAGACTACGCCTTTGTTGTCTTCTATAACAGCTTCATCGAAGCCGGAAGAACCTCCTTGCTCACTCATCCTATCAATGTTTCGCGGCATCAACCTAAATAGAAACACCATCTCAACGACAATCCAAGAGCAGAATGTGTCAAAGTCTGACTACTGCCTCTTCCGAACCAAAAGAGACCCGGTGAGTCCAACGCAGGAAGCACAGCTGAAGACCTTGCGGTGAGGATCTATGAATCTGGTAGGTTCAGAAAACCAATAAGTTTACTCGAGCGAAGACGAGGAAACAGAAGGCTAACATGTTCTGCCCCACTGGCTCACTCATCAGCGCTCTCCTCGCCAACGGAGCTGATACAATCAACGGCCAAGACGGAACTTCGACGAAACGGAGCCACGCTCAAACAATAACCCAGGGTCCGGACCGGTCAGTCGTGGGCAACTCGATCTTCACTCCGACAAGTACGCACGCCCCGTGACGTGATAGGTGACGGACACAAATACGCAGGTCAAATGCGCTCTGAAAACTCCAGACGAGATGAAGTACACGGGCTCAAAGCCAGTCTCGCCCACGCAAATTTACATGGTCCAACACTCCAAAATGATCTTAGTTTGGGAGGTCGTCGCTGGCAATAAGGAGCGTCATGTCAATCAAATACCACCTTAATCTATACACGCCGGACCAATGGGACTACCAAGAGATTTCTACCATCAGTTCCCGAGATGGATTCAACTGCGAGAACAACGGCAAGCAGGTCATCTGGAGCAAGCATGATGTCGAAGACTACGCGCCTCGGGTCTAAAATCAGTGTCGTCAAGTGATATTAGAACAAAAAAATTGCTGGTATTCTGCAGAGACCGCCTGCCTTTTATCCTACTTGTACCTGAATCCGGTTTTCTGAAGCGCTGGTGCTGGCGTGCTGGCGTGGTTCCTCCCCGTCCTCGGTCTATCCTAGTTGTCGATATCATCGTTGTTGGCCGTCGTTGTATTTTTTTTAAGGACATGTATGCACTCCCGTCCACGAGCCCACAGGGCAATCCAAATCCAATACGAGGAGATCAAGACCGCCGCCGCTCCCACCGCGCCAGCATTTTTTTTTCCCCCTTCTTTGGTCGACTAATAACATGATCCCAGGTTGGTATGGTTACAACAAGTGCCATTTTCTCCCTCTCCTCTCTCCCTTCTTTCCTCGCACCTCTTCCACAATCCAGTCTTCTCTCTTTCTTTTACGACCTCGAGGCTCGCCACCGCTCGGCTCTCTTCCTTGCCTCCGCGACGCTCGAGGGGTCCCGAACACCCCACATGAACAGGCCCAGCGGGATCGCGAAGGCGGTGAAGAAGCCGACGAACTGCATGTTGTGGCGCGACATGGACACCGGCGAGGGCTTCCACACGAGAGGCGTCGTCATTTTGGTGATTTATCGGTGCGTAGGGGTTGTGTTGTGGAGGTGGTAATATATGTATAACTTTCCCAGACGGGGCGTTGGCTCGTGTGGGTTTGTTCTTGTTTGAGCTGGAGGTCTTCCCTGTTCCCTTGTTTGGGTTTGTTTGTTTGTTCTCTGTTTAACGGTGGCGGAGTTGTTTTGAAGGATTTCCCTCTTTTCTTTTCGTCTCTCGAGTATGTTCCTCTGTAGAAAAAGGAGCAGACTGTCGCTGGTGTTATAGTGGTGAGGTATGTGACTCTGTCATCGGGAGGCCCATGGTATATGGGTGCTCTTTTGTACTACTTCAGTCCTTCACAGGGTGGATGCATGGCGGGTGTCGAGCCCAACAGACAGCCTGACAGACGGCCAGGCGCGCACGCCACCCCTGGCAACATCATACCACGCATGGCACGGCGATCGAAAATGGCGCAAGGACGAATAGAAATGGAATTTGCAGTATAAGGTCATACCCGGGAGGAGTTGGAACTTTCTTGTTAGCAAGTTAACATACTTCGCATCCAGTACTTGTATCTGGTAGTGTCAGTTGACAAGTGGAGTGACAACTCACCCGGATTTCCGATGGGGGAATGAGGCGTCCTATCTCATTCGCTCAATGGCCTGTCATATTTTAGGAGTCCCCCATTCCCTAGCATGTACTTGGAGATACCTGCATCAGAAATCGCTTAAGGCGCTGTTCACCAGATACCTCGAGATCTTGCATTCCGTAGAATTATTTCTTCCGAGGCGGACGACGGCGTCTCAAGCCTGTGTACGGAGCACAAATACTGTACAATAGATGCATACTTGGAGATCTACAGACTCGGTAGTGTCCTCCGATCGCTTGTTCGCCTGCGAGTGGCGGAGAACCCCTTGTCATGCGATGTCCGTCTGTGGCATGACCCGGTGCAGACGTTGCGGAGACAGACAAGGGACCCGTCAGACAACTTGCCCTCCCCCTTCCCCACAAAAGCTCGGCATCCATCATCATCATCGCACCTGCGGAGCATCGGGATAAATAGACCTACAGTATTGTGTAGCAAGTACAAGTACTGGCTCTTAAACACACCGTGGCAGTGCCGTACGGCAGGTACTTGTACATACTTGGTACAAGTACGAGTGCTAAAACTCGGACATCACCAGGCTGTGTCTTGTTGTCTCCGCAATGTTCAGCCTTGTGCAGCCTTGCGTCATTCACGTCCGTTTTCGTTCTGGTTGTTCTACGCTTGCTCAAGTCCACTAAGAACGGATACCGAAAGAGCAACCGGTTGTCCCGACGAGCATAGAATGTCCTTGGTGTCTGCAGCAGAAAAAAATAGTCTAACTTACGCTGGTAGGTTATTTGAGGAGGCTCAAACAGTAGGTATAACGACATGCAAGTATGCTCGACAATGGCTCGAAGCGACGAGCAGAGCGAGAATCCGAGTAATCAAAAGCGAACCTGTCAGTAGGAATTTTGCACAACTGGCTCTCATTCTTGGTGCGTCGTCGACGAAATCACCCGACTCCTCATCCGGCAAGAGCTCTCTACCATTCCCGTGTGAGTAGGATTGGTTCGTGCTGATAGCACCGCCCTTCGATACCCGAGCCGTTGAACTCCATCAGCCTATGCCAATGCAGTGTGTTGCTCTTACATCCTCTTGGACATGTCTCGAGTTCAACGTCAAGGTGACTTGTTGGAATTGACGACCACTCGGGCGCCAGCCCCCGAGGCGTCGAAGACGAACATGACAGGCTGAAGCTAGGAAATCAGTACTCAACAAGCCGTGATAGTTTTTTGCGAAATTATAACATGTGTTAACTCAAGTAATTGTACAAAGGTCGTGGAATCAAGTCTTCAAAAATCCGTCTCTTGCACCCCCTCCCATTTGCGTGGGCAGGTGAGTGTAACCATTCACGCAGCTCAAGAGTTTTCAAAGAAGTCGCTGCCACAGTTATAAACGGCGCTCAATAGATTGATAACATTCTCAGGAAACTCGATGATACTATCCAGCGTAAAGCTGAACGTCCCCGAGATCGCCCAAGCTGCCTGCGATCCGCAAATCGTAGGCTCGGATCTCGTCACGTCGGTCAACCAATAAACGAAGTTGTCGGCCTCGAACAAGAAAATAGGCGTCAGGAGAAGGATGGTCTCAGGCTCGTGTCGCAGAATCCATCGGAAGAGGACTGTGAATTCGTACCAGTTCAGTTCTTGCTGTGTGGCGGGTGCGGAGGCCAGCACATCGGCTTTATCGGCCTTTGACCACTCAGTAGCGGTGGCCTCTGCTTCACCCCAGGCGTAATCGTGGTCCTGTATTGGGGGACCAGGGGTCAGTATCTACCAGACGTAGGCGACAGCGCCAGGATTGAGGAGGCTCGAGGGATAGCCCTCCTGACGGCCTCCAACAAAAGACTCACCTGTCTCGTTGCGAACGTCCCATCTCGCATACCAATGAAGAAGTCCCTCCACAAAGTAGTGCCAGGGTTTCCACCAGTATCTGTACTAAGACCCAGGGCCATGGCGCCACCGCGTTGAATGGCCTCGATGATGCCCGTATCGACATAGCTGATCCAGCTGTTGGGCGCCCCGAGATTCTTGCTAATGAAGAAGGTAATCACACCCTCAATGGCGCGAAATTGGTTGGCTGAGTTCAGCGGACCAAACCACTGGCTCTCCATGTACTGTACGTATGCCAGGCGTTCTTGCATGGTCGAAGACTGGATCTGGTCAAACGTGCAGCTGAGTGTCTGCTGGCAAGCTGGCCATCCCGCTTGGCGGGTCTCGAGGGATGGTATTGCCGAACCGGTGACCGCCGCAAGCAGAGGCGCCACCGCAACAAGTGTTTTTGAGAGACGCATTGTGGTTGAAGTTTTTGTTTCAATGTGCAAAAAGAAAAAGAGAAACCAAAATATGACACCGTCACCTCAACCTATGCGGACTGGGCATGCTTGACAACACAGAGGGGAACACGGTGTAATATAACTTGTCTTACCTTCATCGTCAATTACACTGACCGCATCGCACATTGACTAGCAGAGAGAATTCCCTTTCCTGGCACCATAAGCGAGAAGAGAGCAAGACAGAGGAGATTGCAACAACAGGGATTTTAGCGGACGGCCCAAAATTCCCCCAAGAACCGATCTTTCCTGGGAGAACCTAGAGCGAGAGCTACCCCTGTTGTACTTTGAATCATGCCCCAAAAAAGATGCTCGTCAATAGTGAGAATAGAAGATGTCTTGAAAAGGCGAGAAGAAGTGTTTTAGTGACAATGATAAAGGATATTATAACCACTCATACAAGCGGTTGGGGTTTCTGTTCTGATAGGACAAAAGAACGACTTCGGCACGGTTCGGGCCCTCGGAACGGCGCGATTAAAGTCCTTTGATAGGCGAGGAAACTGCTTGTAAAACCTAGGAAACGTGGCTGAAACACTCCAGCCTACTCGTTCCAGCACAAATGCAAACATCAGGGGCCTGAGAGAAGTTCAGACAGATCAAGCTTCGCGGAGAACTGGAGCATTCGTTCCTTTGGTCGGCCTCGGGCAACAAGACCTCCAGCTCTTCCACAGCAGTTCGCTTAGTGAAATTGGATGGTGCCTGAGGCTTTGTGACACTCGGAATAGCTCTTGAAGGGCCAGAATGAGACGACCAATAACTACAACCCTGAAAGCGCCCTAAGACGACCTAGCTTCTTTAAAATACGGCGCCTTAATCCGTTTCTCTTTGACTTCGAGATGGCGTGGTTAGAAGACGCAAGGTCTGCTCTTGCCTGGAGGGCAGATCTTTTCGTCTGTCGGGTGAAATGTGAAAGAGGAGAAGCGCTGACACCCAATGGCGAGCGCTTCCAACGAAGGACCCTAATCGAAGCAGGGAGACCATCATGAGACATTTGTAATAAGCACTCAGCAACCCAGTAGCTTTCTCTTCGGAAGAGGTGAGGTACTGTTGGCGTCAAGGCATTTCGAGGGTCGCTGCGAGATCTACCCGGTATGGCAATTTGCTCTAGCACATGAATGGTCGACCGTTCTGAGCTTTGGGCCAGTACGGAGGACCAAGTAGGCGCGCACTGCCAATACTTGCCAAGGCCTTTGTGGCTGAGAAATGTGGCTGGGAGACTACTCCCCGAATCGGGAAAGAATGTAAACACGAGATTGCGAACCGTGCGTTTCGACAACCACCATCCACGAGCTTCGCAACCATCATTTCCGACTCATTCCTGTGAGTTGTGTCGCTCGCTTTGGTTGCAGCTCGGCTTTAAAAATGAGCGAATGTCATCTTCGCAGGAGTTAAGAAGCACACGGCTCCTCGATGATCCGACTCCCACCAGGCCAGACCGCCGAATCAAGATCGTGATTAAATGACGGTTGCGGCTGGACATTGGCCGTCTCTCCTCTGCCTGTCGACTGTCGGCAATCGATGCTTCCCCTTCCGCATTGAACCGACGCATGGTCAGCAATGTGAATCATGTCCTCACAGTCGTACAGTCTTCGAAGCAGGCTAAATCCTCAATCTCCCTCCCTGCGCTCAACCCCGACTCCTTCTCCCATTCCAAAGGCAGGGACCGCACTTGCTCGCAAAACTCGATCTACAGATTATGCGTTACTATTGCAGAGGGTGATCGGGACTACGACGAATGGCCCTAGTGGGTTGGCATGCTGTCCGAGAACGAACTCATACGCCTATTGCGCGGGAGCAGTAGCAGTGTTGGCGAAGCTCGGTTCGGATGATACACCTTCGCTGCGATATTTCAAGGCCCGACCGACTGCGGCTTCACTCAATCCTCCCACTTCTCACTATGAAAGCTCACCTGCGACCACACCATCCAGGAGGAGAGTCAGCGCCTTTACCCCTCGAAAGGGACTGGAAGATTATAGCGGCGGCTCTGCAGGGCGCGAATGGTTAGATGAATCTGTGGGTCAGACATGGACCGCAAGAGAGCGTATCAAAACGGCAGCTTGCGTCGCCCTGAGTCGTGATGGCCACTGGCTGGCAGTCGGTGAAGCGGGATACAACCCTCGGGTTCTGCTCTTCTCAACAGCCGAAGAAGCTTCTTGCGAGGTACCCACTTCCATCGTCACGGACCATACCTACGGGCTGAGGTGCATAGCTTTCAGCTCTGACACGAAACATCTGGCTACTCTGGGCGACTATAAGGACGGATTTTTGTTCGTGTGGTCCTGCAATGTCAAAACCGGCCAATTGAGTCTGCACTCGGCGAACAAGTGCACTGCCAACATTTTTGATATGACTTGGTGTGGCAATAATGTGATAACAGTGGGCACAAGATGTGTTCGACTCTGGCAAATCCAAGGGCAAAGAAAGCAGTCGCCCGCCAGGAGATTGAGATACCGCTCGTCCGAGGCCCATCTGTCGAGCCCCGGACCGGTGCCGCTACAAAGCCGTAATGTTCTGCTGGGACCAATGGTGGACAGTACATTCACATGTGCTGTATCAGTCGACGAAATCAACGTCGTAATAGGCACCGAAACTGGACAAATTTGTTTGGTGGATACCTCTCAGAATGTGCTGGAGCTGAGAGTCCTGAAAAAACTCGACTTCTCCATCACCTCCATCGCCTTCATTCCGGAGCACAGAAGACTCCTAGTGGGCACTCCTCATGGTGTGCACAGCGAAGATTTCGATGTTTTGCGAAGAGAGGAGAACAAATCGCCTAGCAAGCTCTCATCGCGGAAACCTCGCTTGTCATCAATTCGACGCTCGCTCGGCCTGCTTGACCAGGCAGAAAGAAGTCTAGTGGCGATAGGAACCGTTATGGATCACACGATTACGCTTAACAATGATGGGTGTCTGCAGATCCAACGTCGCGGCATGGAGGATGGAGACAATCCTCAACCTACATTTGCAGCTCACAAAAGTGTCATTTTAGGAGTTCGGACCCTTCCGGACTCTGCTGCTCAAGGCAATTTCTTCACGTATTCGAAGAATGGAGAAGTCAAGTTCTGGAGTTCCAATGGCACACTACTGAAGCAAGAGAGTCTTCCTCCGGACACCGCTGAGTCAAGGGACGATGAATTTGAGAACGAGTTGACTCAGATGCGGTTCCTCTCCCCTCATAACAGTTTCATTGCCGGTGATCGATTTGGATTATTGAAGCTGATCAAGAGCCGTGATTGGCAAGTTGCACAGACAATTAGGGCACACAGCGCAGAAATCACTTCGATCGACATCCTTGAGTCCGGGTCCTTTGTTGCAACTTGCAGCAGAGATCGGATGATACAACTATTTCACGTCAACAGCGATTCCTTCGAGCTTCTGCAGACAATGGATGACCACGTTGGATCTGTCAACCAAGTGATGTTCATCCAGGACGGCGAGAAATTACTATCTTGTTCGACAGATCGGTCTCTGGTCATTCGCGAGCGGATGCCCCGACAGCAGGAGGGCACGAAAGCCGTAGCCTATCTCGCTACCAAGGTCCTGACGCTCAAAGGTACCCCCCTGTCGATGGCAATGGCGGCGGAGAGCACCTTGATAGTCTCGACTATGGACCGCCGTGTTACAAATGTTGATATCTCTACGGGCACATTGCTCGAGTCTTTCAAGGTCGGAGATGCGGAGAGCGATGACACCGTTTTTCTAAATTCTATGATCTGTGCCTCGGTTTCGGAGAATGCAGATCAAAAGATGTTAATCGGATACTGCTCCATCGACAAATCTATCCGAGTTTACAACGAAAAGAATCTCAATCTCTTGGCTCGAGAATCTGGACATACAGAGGGAGTGAGTGACATAGCTCTCCTCGAGCAACCCGACAATTTGAATCCCGGGTCGCGCTGTACGGTCGTAAGCACTGGATTGGATGGCACTATCATGATTTGGAGCATCTTCAAGACAGCACCTCTGTTACTTACTCCAGGTATCCCACAGGGACAAGCTGGAGGCTTGGGGTTAATGGCTGATGAATCTGAGGCGGCTAAACCTAGCCCTTCGTCACTTCCGCCGTTGAGGAAGGTTTTGACAAAGAGTGATATAACGGAGTTGTTAGGGGCGAATGGGCAGGCATCACCTTCCACTCCTCGATCTCTGTCCCCGGTACGATTGCAGCGCAAGACATCGAGACTTGCTCTGGCTACGTCCCTCGAAGACCTTGAAGAGACGCCAAGTAGGAAGGTCGATTTTTGTGCAGAACACAATGCATCACCAAAAACTGAGAATGTGGATAATGGACGGTCACCATCGCCGCCTCCACGGGGATCATCGAGACTAAGAAATCAAAGGTCGCGGACAGACATCAGCAAAGAGCTCGAGTCGAAAAGAACAACGCTGGCAGAACGCTCGCCCTCGCCAACCTCAACAGCTGTCTCGATGCCTTCCACGCCTAAACAACGGCAAAAGGCCAATAATGGGCGATTGCGAAGACCGCCTTCGGTGCCTTCTGATCTACGGGCTCAGGCTGCAGCACAAGGACGCCGGCAGAGCATGAGCCAAGCATCTGACTTTGGCAGTTTAGCCATGGCGACCGATCAAGCGACACGAATGCTAAAAATTTACAAGAAAAAGTTGACCATCAGTAAAGAGGTAGTTGATCTGGATGAGTTGGAGTACGAAGTTTCTGGGCTGTTAAAGAATATTCGAGAGAGGAAGGACAGGACGCGCGTGAGACACCAGAAAGACGCCGGAGCAGCAAGTACCAGCGATAACGCAAAAGCTGCCACTGACAGCGAGGTCGATCAATTGGCGGTTTTATTGGAGGGATCAAGCATGACTCATTCTCCAACAGCAGCTACAGTCAGCAAGGATATACTAGTGTCCAATTCTTGAGTTTCTTTGGTTGTTTTCCTTACGGGTATTTGGCCAATTTCATTAGGAGCGAAGCACTTTTCTTGTTCAGGCGGGCGGGATCAAACAGGGAGTTTCGACGGAGCTTTTCTCGACATCGGAGACATGGGCTTTTAGTATGTTGATTTGGGATTGGTCTGGATGTTTGTTTACTTCTTCTTTTCTCCCCCTACCAATTGAATGGAATATGGTGCGGACGCAATCAGAAGCTATGGTAGAACCAGAGCTAGAAGGGTGGATGGAAAAAGCGTCAGGGAAAATGGAAAGGAGCCATACGGGCGGCGTTTGAGTTCATAGGGAAGGATGATACCACTCTTTTCTGCAAGAAATTAACAGGGAGAGCAAATGCATGAAAAGGATATACCTACTTGTTAAACATACCTTTGCGATCAAGATCCAGGGCTTTATTTGCTTGACCGATTTCCGGATATCAAATGCTATTCAGCCTTGTTGATGCGGGGCCGTATCTCAGCCTTTCAGCCTTGTCCGTTCCCCCCCATTCGCCGTGAGCCATGACGGAGGCCCATCAATCGGCAAGTCAATTTCGATTCTTCATCGTTTCGCGTGCGAGTACCCAGTACAAACAAACAAAACACACAAACAGCAATATTCTCCCCTCCACCCTCTCTGGACCAGGATCAGCACAGATCAAATTCGACTGGATGAATACACGGGGCCAAGAGCGCGGACAGATGAGAAATCAACCAACCATCCTTTTACATCCAAACACTCGGCAGGATCTTAGTTTCTTTTCCCAGTGCGCTCACGGCCGGCTGTAAGTAGCGACATAGTTAGTTGCCCCGGACTGAAAGCAAGTGACGCAAACAACGATTAAGACTTGACCGGTACATGCGAGATTTATTTGACTTATCACGCACACAAATCAGGCGGAGATGTCCAGCGCCTCTGAACCCTCGCAGTCCACGCATCTACACTACCTCCGGCATGCCTTGTCCCTTGCGCGCCGGTCGCCGCCAAAGCCCACGAATTTCCGCGTCGGATGCGTAATCGTGGCCTTCCCTACTTCTCCTCCCACCACCTCCGACGGTCCTTCCACAATAACGTCCTCTGGAGTAGGAGGGGGAGGGGGGAAGGAGGAAGTTGAAGGCGAGGTGTTGTCGACGGGGTACACGTTGGAAATTGAAGGGAACACGCACGCGGAGCAGAATGCCTTGACGAAGCTTGTGCAGAAATACGGTATCTCTGTATCTCCCTCCTCCTCACCGTCATCAGACCTGGAGCAATTGGGCCGGGCTGTCCTCACGCCAGAGAAGAACGTGTACCTGTACACGACGCTGGAGCCCTGCGGGAAGCGGCTCAGTGGGAACACGCCGTGCGTGCAACGGATCATTTCGACGCGAAAGGGCGGCAGCAGCGGCAGCAGCGGCAATCATCATCCCGCAGGCTGGGGGATCAGGAAAGTCGTCTTCGGCGCCCGGGAGCCCGGCACGTTCGTGCAGGACTCGCAGAGTCTGAGGATGTTGGACGAGGCGGGCGTTCCATGGGAGTACGTGCGGGGCATGGAAGATGAGATTCTCAAAGTGGCCAAGGAGGGACATGTGAAAGGAGGGGCATATTCCGAAGATAAGGAAGCCCAGGCGAAGAAGGATAGCAATGCGCGGGAGACGAACGTCGACGATATCTCCCCCGAGGAGAGGAAGCGGCAGGAAGCATTGCCGCGGAATCCGAAGAAGAGGATGATGGAGGTCGATGTCCCGCGGTGAGAATGGATGGGCACTCTCACCCTCCCACTCTTCTACCCGCGTTCCCTCTCGCTTCCAAACGGAAGAAATTCGAACAACTGAGCGAGACGACGACCTTGGGCTCGTATGTATTGTGAGACGCTGGCAATCTAGCCAGTGAGGCAGTCTGTCCGTCTGTCGATCCAATTCGTCCAGCGACCTTGGAACGAGAGAGCCAGCCAGCCGCCGCGAATATCCTATTCCGATTCCTACTCATGTCGAGGGTACGGACAGTAGAGATGCCCTACACTACATACGGTAGCTACCGTGCGGAACACACAGATAATAGAAAGATACCTAGGGCAGACTTGGAATAGTTGAACGGCCAAAGTCGCCGGATTGAACATGTACATTTATCACCCATTGATTACTCTACTTTGCTCTCCTCTGCTTTGCTATGCTGTTATGCTTACTTCGTGGCACGTGCAGCATTATAGTACCTGGACCTCTAGTCTGAAAGACAAGACGAAGAAGGCGAAGAAGCTTCGCAAATTGATTCGTTTCGCAAAACAGCGACGAATACACACTATCGGCTGTCGACCATCGAACAATCGTGTCTTTCACATTCAGCGTTTCCAGTCTTCGACCGTAAATACTGGGTATACTATATGCTCCTTTGTGCCATTCTGGTGCCGGTGCTCCCTATCACGATATCTTTGAATGCTTGACTTATGGTTGGCTTGTCTAGCCGACTGGCTGATCTCTTCTGCGCCTGTTGATGCTCGTACAAGAACCTGCATGCTAAGAATGCCACCACTTGCATCTCTCGTCCCGTTCCATTGGCCGTTAGGTGTCAGGGCGAGATAGGAAGAGCGGGCTGATGAGGTTTGCAACAGACAATGTCCGGCGCAAATAGTGTGCAGGGCTCGTTTCTCCTCGCTTGCTTTCGATAGACACGTCCGGGAGTAGTGGATCAGCACTGGTGCGTTCTGCTTGCTCTGTTTTCATTTCCTGTCCACAAGAATCTTCGACATCGTCGGCCACTTCCGTTTCCTTTCCGTTCCGGCCGCTATACTTCTGCCTCTCTTTTTCCCAATTGGCTTGTTTCGCCTCCCAATGCCGTTTCTGATTCTCCTTTTCTGATTGCTAATCAATTCTGCCCTGCTGCTTTTCCAGCTTGGTTTCTTTTTCCTGCCACGTCAACTTGCGACTTTTGTACTTCTTTTTTGCTTGTGACTCGGCTGCTTTCTTTCCGAGGTTTCTTGACCGCTAATCAATTCTCGCCTGTGTCAAGGTTCGTCGTTTGGTGGGCAAATGGCTGGCGGTCAAGTTGTTGGACAAACGTATTTTAGAACTGCTGATGCGGATATTTGAATGCGGTTTCTTCATCCTCTTTCGTGCAACCATGACAGGCACCGATGATTTGGTGACAAGATAGTTGGAGAAAGAGCCGAGGAGGACGCCTTTGAGAGAACTGCGGCCACGTGTGCCCACGACGCAGAGGGTTGGTTCGAGTTCGTCAATCTGGAAGAAGGTCAGGCATGATCACGCGGACAAACTAGGCCAACATACCGCTCCAAGAATCAAATGTTTCGGACTCTTGCAATGAATGACTTCGACCATACACCTCACTTGCAGTGGTGTCTTGCGAACCAACTTGACAAAGTCCTGGGTCAGGCTCTCAACGGCCTTGAGACGCTCCATTTCTTTCTTAGAGACCTTTCTCGCATCGACACTACCAGTCAGGCTCTCTATTTCAGTTGCTGGGACGTATTGGGATTCCTTTCCTAGCCCGAAACTTGTGCCACCTCCCTGTGTTGTCTGGCGGGTGAGAGTGTGCATGACGTCGGAAGCGTCCTTTCCAGCCTTGTTCCCTTCAGCTGTCAAGACGTCTTTTTCGGCTTCGGTGGTCTTCCCGGCGTTCTCATCTTCCATCGCGTAGATGGCCAGGAGAGTGTCACCGTCCCTCATCATGGTGCCGACGACCCATTCCATAGCGTAGCTTGCTTCGACACTTTGATCGCTGCAAAGGAGGTAGAGTCTTGCCGTCCTTTTGCCGGCTTCTGATTCCTGGTAGAAATGGGCCCAGTTGCCTCGCAAGATGATTCGTACATGACGGTCAGCCACTGCGGAGTCAAGTGGTGATATGTTCAACGCCAAAGTTTTGGCCTTTCTGATAGCTGCATTTTCCTCATCGTCATCCTCAACCGACGTTACAGATGACCGTCTGATAGGTGTACTTGAGCCTCCTTTCTTGTCTGTGACATTTTCCCCCGTTGGACTGGTAATGGAAATGGATGGTTCAAGCAACGACCTGACAAATTGCTTAGAGTGCGAGGTCCTCTTGAGATCCTCAGGTGACGAAGCGCCATTTGTGTCGGGAGATTTTGCATCGGCTGGTTCGTGGTTTGCTGACAATTTTCGTCTCTCCGACCGACCCCTAGTCTCGTCCTCATCACTACTTGGAGACATGACATCCTCATCACTGTCATCCACAGCATCCTCCTCGCCGGCAACGCTGTCTTTGTTGATACGATCAAGTCCTTCTTCCGAGTCATCGGTCGTAGTCGAGAAGCTGCTCGACGACAATCGAAGATGCGCCTGCTCATCCACCACAGTTCCGGATATCGTCGTCAAGGGGCCAGATGGGCAGGTGGGACTGAGAAATCCTGGTCTTGAAGGTTCAGGCTTCCGGATGCGCGAGGATGGAGACCTCGAACTAGCACCCGCGGCCACGGTAGAATTATGTCTTCCATGGCCTCCTCCAGGGACGCCTACGTGTAAGGAAGTGAGATCCCCTGACAGAGCCGCAGCCATGGCGGAACCAGAACCTTCACGTGGTCTCTTGGTATTTGGAGGAGAGCGTGACGCGGGCGAGCTTGAAGGTATTGAGGAGATATCGAACTGATAGTTTTGTTCAAAACCGCGCTTCTCGTCTGTTTGTATCTTGGGCAACCCTACTGGGCGTTCAGTCTCTGATGAGTTTCGCTGTCTCGTGATCACTGGAGAGGTCTTTGTGAGGACGGGAGAGCTCGGTTTGCTGGAATGAGGAGAGGTCCAGCTGCTGGGATCTGAAGGATCGAGTTCTTTGGCCGGCTTTCTGGATGAATTGGGACTCGTCACTCCAACACCGATGCCCGCTATGGAGCCATGTCGAGGAATGGGGGAATCGACGTCGAGCATGCTGCGGACGGGCGGGGGAGTGGCGGTTCTCGGGGGTTTGAACCTGGGAATGGGACTGGAGGGTCGTTTTCGATCGAGGGCAGCTAGAACTTCTCTGTTTTCTTCATCAAGCAAGGCCTCCATGCTCATCGGAGCTCGCGACCTCGAAGGCGGCCGATTCATAGTGTCACGGCGGTGAAAGAAACTTTGAGTGGAGATAGAGAGATTGGAGCAATATCACTGACTTACAACAGGGACAGAACAGATGCCGTATGTATACCTATGCCTCATGAAGCGATGCCGGGAACAGTGGACAGCAAGTTGGTTCGTGGTTCTGTGGCAGATGGCAGATGGCAGATCAAATGGACTGCATGGATCGCCCGCGCTTGCCAGTGACAGTGGGATTGACACTCTTGGCCGCAGGCGGGACAAATCTCTGGCGACCAATGACCAAGCAAGCACAGCCTCTGCCCAGGAGTCAAGCAGCCAAATTGGGAGGTTTCGAGGCAGACGGGGCATCAGCGAGCGAGGAGATGGCGTTAACCAGGCTCGTATGCGAACAGTCGCGTGCATATACAACCATGGCCGAGCACATCTGGGATATTGTCAGAAGTGGGTTGGCAAGGACATTGTCGACCACAACAACGCCGCCCTGTTGAGTTGCAATGGTGCGTGTCCCAAGGGAGGACGCAGTTGGTGGGGACGTGTGCGTGACGTCTGGGGCTCGTGCGGCCTTGTTTTATCGATAAGGGCTCTCTTTCAGAGCCCCCTAGCGGCCTGGTGCTAAGCTCCCACAGCTGTGGGCAGCCTACTGAGCCCTACTCGGTACTCGGCCATACCTATCCTCGTACTGGGTATTCAAGGAAGGGGATAGTGGCCTGGACGCCCAGCACCCGTTTCTGCCAGTCCGCAGCATGTCATGCATGCCACTTGCCGAGGGAGCCCACTAGTCCGAGCCAGAGCCTGCCCTAGCAAACCCCCAACGCCCCCAACCCCTCCCCCAAAGAAATATTAAGTGCCAATCCATCCCCCTCTTGCCCCCTTTAGCAAACCTTCCGTCATAATGCTTGTGGCTTCCTGCACCTCCCGCTCCGTAGCTTGCACACGGCAACCCTCTTCGCAACCACCATTGGCCCCTTCATCCTCAATGCCAACTTCTTCTGGTAACCGAGTCCAAGCTTAAAGGTCCTCCAAGGCGTCAAGCCTGATGTCGAGGAACGCCTTGAATAAACTCCGGAGCCTGAGAAAAACGTGAGGCAGCTGCTGACCTACCGAGTACTGCTTTAGCTCCGATTTATGCCAGCTTCTTGCAGCTTCCCCCTTCCATGCGCGTCCGAGAATGCTACAAATATTCCCAGCCTTCCCATTTTCCATCATGGCTGACCCTCCTCGCCCTCCCCTCTCCAGATCTTGCACGGCGCCGGGATGGGCGGTCCCTACCTGTTCACGGCCATTGTGACCCTCCTCTCCGTCCTGGGGCTGCACTCTGCCGTGGCTCAGAATTCCTGTGGGACTGATCAAAATCCATATTGCGCAGGCGACAGCACATTCGAACAAATCTGCTGTCCTTATCCCAATGTTTGTTATTGGCAAAACCGCAATGGCGAACCAGGTTGCTGCCCGGCTGGTCAAGTCTGCGATGGCTCTTCTTATTATCCCCCGACCCCTCAACCAACGCCCACCCTTCAAACAACTACACTACATCCCTCTACTATCACTATAACGCCAACTCCTGCCTCCCCGCCCTCGACTACTGTTGTTACTGGCGGAGGTATTATCATCATCACCACCGTTCCTAACAGCGGTGTTACTGTCATTACTACCCCCAACAGCGTTGTCACCATCACCACGATCTATGGCGGGCCATGCGGTGGCGGTGTGTGCTCAACCGTGACCTCTGGAGTGGGCGGTGTCTATTCCACCTTTACTTCAGTGGTGAGTGGAGCATTCTCCACGGTTACTTCTGGTGTTGCCAGCGCATATTCCACTGTCTCTGGGGTCTTGGTTGGTTCCAGCGGTGTTCCCAGGTCGAGTCCTATCTCGACGTTTGCACACTTCATGGCTACTTTGTTTGTGCTCGTGGGCAACCTGCTGGGATAAGGGCTGGTGCATAACTGGTCGAAATTTCTGCCGCTGGCCAGAAGTGGCCTCGAAAGGGATTTTTTTTGAATAGCCGCTTTCGGTCGCAGCTGATGGACAAATCTAGAACCTATCAAATGGTTCTCCTGAATTGGGGGACTCCAGCATATCCCCCTTCCGAAAAGGGGAACCAGAGACTGCGGACGTGTCGCAAGAATGCCCTATAGAGCAGCGATTCCGTCAGAGAGGGAGGGTTTTGGATTTCCAGCGGATGCGCAGACTGCTAAATCTCTACAGAAACTGTTCTACCGGTGCCAGCGTGTTCAATGGACAGCAAGTGGTCAACAGGCCGACGAATCCAGCCGAAGTCACTATCCTGGAGAAAGGCTTCCAGGATGAGGCCTTGCGTCGCTTAATGAGCGCTTGAGACTCTGGCGTAATGAGATGCTAGATGGAGATATCTTTCCAAGACTAATTCAGTAATCCTTTGGATATTGAAATTTCAACGAGACAGGATACTATATTGAATATTGCGCCGGTGGCAGGGAGGCTTCACTGGGAAGTTAGGCAGACACCCCCCCTTGTTGCGCTGCATCGTCTCTCAAACACCGACGTATGTACATGTCTCTCCCGCAAAGTCATCGATGCCTCTGCAACTTCTGCAAATAACCTTGTCATGGTACCAGATAATTACCTCGTACTTGCTCGTACCTATGTACTCTCACCACTTCACCGTTGAGCCGTTGGCGCCTTGGCTCCGATTACTCAGTGCATGGGTAGCGGTCGGACAGAATCTCCGAGGGAAGGGTATCTCCTAATAGGTACCTCATTAGTACGAAGTAGGATTTCTAGAAATGGAATGTGCTCTATTTCAAAATAGAGTAACTTGACCAATTTGTTCCTGCACAGTCCAACTTCTTGCTCAGGCTTTGCCATCCACTCTCCTTCCCGTCTTCACGGTTTGCTATGTCGCCATGGCTCTAGAGAAAACCAAGAACAACGGCTCGCAGGAGAATGCCTCAGAACGCCAAATGATGCACCTCTGCAACCCAACACCATCGTTGAGAACCCACGATTGGTCATTTGTTTCTCCTCTCCTCAACCCATCTCTATCATTTCTGAGCATGGCACATGGTCCGACTGCTCTCAATCGAGGATTTATAACCTAGAGCTCGTATTCCGTCGAGCTTGTGTGATCTTGGCCTCATCCTCTCACTGCTTGGACCACTACAATTGCCCGCTAATCGGTCAAATTTGACACACTGGCACCTTTTGCGCGTCTTGGCCTCAGTACGCTGACAAAGGGAACACCATCCACATCCGGAAGGCGGAGCAGCCTTTCCGTCTACATATGGTTCCATAGAGAGAGGGGTCGACGAAGCTATTTCTCTAATGCATCCGCTCCTTGAGCCTGCAGTTGGTGTTTGACGGACTTGTGGTTTACAATGCAGAAATATTTGTGCATATAAGTCCTCCTACGGCTATAGTTTTCTTCTCACGTGTTTCCTGATACAAGTTAACCATACAGGCCTGCCTTACTGCTAGTAATATCAGTATCATCCTCCTGACTTTGACAGAATCTGTCGACTAGACTCTGGGCTTTGCACAGAATGATTCAATTACCTCTAGGCTGCCCGCCGTTCGAGCAGCGGCATGGACGACATCAAAGCAGCATACCGCCATTGAGCCCGGTAAGGCTTTCCAAGATTCCACGGTCTGAGAATACCGAGCACAAACAACTTTGCGAGAGCGTGGCGAAGAGCAAGGTGGTAAAGGAGCCATCTCCCAACTTCATGTTCATCCCAATGTCGGCTGAGCCTGGAGCAAGAGCAAGAATTCAACCTGAGCTTCGAGCTTCGGCTAAAGCGCATGTGATGCACGATTACCAGCGAAAGACCGCCCAACAACGAAGCGTGCAGTGGAAGATGTCGACGCCCACCACTTATGCCCTAGCCCCAAAAGAGCCAGTGCCAGGATTCCCATGCCCGGAATCAGCTGTGCAGCCATTGGTGATGCGCGAGCGAATGGTGGTTCGGAAGAAAGAGAGTCAGCCAAAGAGGAAACCAAAAGCTGCAGCGACTGAGTTGCCATCATCTAATGATTCTAGTCAATCGTCCCAGCAAGCACTGGCTTCTACAATGTCAGACAGCGCGGCCTATTCTCAATTCATCCACTATGATCCGCCCGCAATTCCCCGGCAACCACGAGGCAGCAGTCTCATGGACGTTTTCTCTGCTCTGCCGATTGAAGTCCAACCCTGGGACGAAACACTGATTACACGCTGGCTCAACTACGATCGCATCCCCTGGTGCCCAGTCAACGGGCAATCTCAATGGGTGCCCTTCGTCACTAACTCGCCGATGCTCCTTCACACAAACTTGTATTCCTGGGGCATGCATTGGCACGGCAAACTGACAGGCGTCAACCAAGAAGTCTTTCTCTATCAGAACTCCCGGATTCTGGAACATAAGATTGCGGCTATCCAGATGATCAATGCGCACTTGGTGTCTCAAGCTCCTGTCACAGATGAGACCCTTGCCGCAGTATCCATGTTTATAAATGTGTCGATGCAATTCCTGAATCGGGACGAGGCTGCAAAGCATATGGCTGGTCTTGAAGCCTTGGTTAAACTTCGAGGAGGCCTCGAGGGCCTCACCCGGATGGGAACGGTGGGAGTCCTCCTGCAACGGATCATAACCTGGAACGACCTCTTCTTTGTTGAACTTTTCGGGGGCAATCTGCGCTTCGCGCTTCTGCCACGTTGGGATGAGGCGTGGAAATTTGTATACGCCCCCATAGCCGACGACCCAGTGACACACCTTGAACCACTGCAGGCACGCTTTGCAGGAGATCTGGCAAAAGAAATCACAACACTTTTGCGCGAGATCCAAATTGTGTGCAACGATGTTCAAGCACGACCTCTGCAGACGCTGTCAACTGCGGAAAGGACACTACGACATGACAACCTTTTCCGCTTTGAGCGCCGGCTGTGTCTGGCGACACGGATAACGACCATTCAGGAGCACGTGTACACGGATCTCCAGGGCGGCAACGACCCCATGTGGCGGACAGTGGCCTATGCTGCGTTGATGTATGTCCATCATCACATCCGCGGACATGCCCTACATTGGTCCCAGTTCCCTGCGCTGGTCGTGCAACTTCGCAACGAGTTGTCGTTTGTGCAGCCGAGCAGCTGGGATGCGGTGCCAGCGCTGCACTTGTGGGTTCATGCGGTGGCTAGCTGGGTGAGTCTGTGTGAGGAATGGGTTGTAACCCAGCTTGCAGACGCCTGCCGAGCGCGAGGCTGTAAGAGTTGGGATGACTTCGACGGGACACTGAAACGGTGCGTGCACATTGGGAGACGGGACGAGCAGAAGTTCAGAATCGTTTGGGAGGCTGTTGCTAAATTGGTTTGACTGGAGAAGGAATTGTAGCGGGTTTAACGTTCACCGACATCAATTCGTAATTCATACATAAGCCGTTAACAATAATCCATCAGTGCATGTTCCATTTATGCATTTTCTAGTCGTTCCGCCAGACCAACCAATCCCCTTAACTGTCTTCTCTTCGCCGCCACACTTCCTGTAGCAGGTGCTAAACCCAAAGCTTGTAGAATAGCATCCAATTCGGGCTCCTCCATCCGAGCAATGTGTCTTGACGTAGCAGGGAAACCCGGAACTTCAGCAGCGGTCGAGATATTGACGAGTGGTGTGATGGGAGAGGCTGAGGTTGAAAGGTGCGAATTCTGAATTCGAGCCAAATTGTTGATTGCACTATAAAATGAGTTAAATCAGAACAAAATAAAACTAGAATAATTAATAACGACGCATACCTAGCTCGCATCTGCGTCTGAAGTCCATCTAGCTTAATCTCAAACTGATCGAATCGTCGATTGAGAGTGTTGAATTGAGTGTTGAATTGTTGACCGAGATTTTGGATCGCACCTATGATAGCATTGCCATCTCTGAAGACGGGAAGATTTTGGAGGTTTTTAGCTTCATTTGCTGTAGCTTGAATGCTGTCGGCGAGAACAATTAAATTCGGCTGAGGTCCGAATGGATTTGGATCATGAGTCACGGCATTTGGATCCATAGTGATGGGCTGAAGAGGTGCTTTAGTGGTGGTGGTGGTGGTGGTGGTGGTGGTGAGGGTGCATGTTTGTTTACACGGGATGCCGAAATAGGTTGGGTGATGTCGGGGAAGTAGCGATGTGAGAGAGACGGGCCGAGTAGTGGGAAGGACAAGGAAGGAATACCGAGTAAGCTCAACGATGACGTTGACGCTGGAAATCTGAACTGAGTGGAAAAACACGCAGCAACACGCCCCCCGTGCACAACGCGTCCTCCGAGTTGACCTTTCCTTTTACTTGACTTGACCTCGACAGCCTTGACCTGATCTGTCCTTCAATCCAACTTCTTTTCACTTCACTTCGCATCGCTGAAGCCTTAAATTTCTTTCCTTTTTTCTTTCTTGTAGATAAGATCTTTCCATCACCGTGCGTCTTAGTCTACATCATTCTACCTACACCCTCTCTCGAAAACTTCGTGCTCAGCCGCTGCCTCTCCTCATCATGCCTCAGAAATCGAAATCTAAGCCTCAACGCGCTGAAGATTCTGCGTCCAATGGTAGCGAAAAGCACCCAGAAGGACGAGAGGATCTCGCTGTCGGCGACCCTCCCCTCATCGATCCCTACGCTGTTCTGGACGTCTCCGAGACTGCCACCCCCGATGAAATCAAATCTTCTTATCGCAAACTCGCTCTCAAACACCACCCAGACAAAGCTTCCCCTGAGAATCGCGAAAGTGCACATAAAGCATTTCAGGAAATCGCATTTGCTTATGCCATCCTTAGCGACGAGCGCCGACGCAAACGCTACGACGCTACAGGCAACACCGCGGAGAGTGCAACCATTGACGATGATGATTTCAACTGGGTGGATTTCTTTCGCGAACAGGCTGAGAACATGGTGACAGAAGAGATGATTGAACAGGTAAAGAAGGAATACCAGGGCAGTGGAGAGGAGAGAGATGATGTCTTAGCGGCATATACGCAGAGCGAGGGTGATATGGACGTGGTCTTCGAGATGGTCATGTGCAGTGAGGTTATGGCAGATGAGGACCGGTTCAGAAAGATCATTGATGAGGCTATTGCCCAGGGCGAGGTGGAGGCGTACAATCGTTACACTAAGGAAGACAAGAAAAGTCGGCAGCGGAGGAAGGCAAATGCAAAGCAAGAAGAAGCGGAGGCGAGAGAACTAGCCCAGGAGCTGGGGCTCGAAGATAGAATCTTCGGCAAGAAAGGCTCTAGCAAAAAAAAATCGAAGGCAGGAGAAGGCGACAATGACGCCCTCAAGGCCTTGATTCAACAGCGTCAGCAAAACAGGGCACAGAATTTCTTTGACGACCTGGAGGCAAAGTACGGTGGCGGCACGAAGAAGGGCAAGCGCAAGGCCACGGCAGAACCGCCAGAGGAGTTGTTTCAGAAAAATGCAAAGAAAGGGAAGAAAGGCGTCAAGGCTTGATCTGGTCTCCGGAGTACTTATTTGCGTTTGGCAGGGCCACAGTTGCTTTTTGCAGAATGGGTGCTTGAGCATGGCGTCTGGATGGTCAGGGGGAAACATTTACTTGCTTTTGCTCACGACGACATGGACTGAATGACAGTGCTCCCCTCGGATGTATGGGCTCGGTTTTCGCAGACGGGACACTGGAATTCTTGGAGACAGACAGCTCTCTTTGCACTCGAATGATGCTTGACTTTACAGCAGCATCGGCGCACAACCAACTTGAGTTGAAGATTTGCGTAACCAACCAAACTCTGGTCATCCTCAACTGCATCCTCAACTCGTAAACGGTGCCTCTGCTGCACAGACATTTACCGGGAAATGGACCCGGTTGCTGATGAGGTGCAGAAAATTATCCATACCTAGGTAGTTTAAGAGCGCCTATCCAGTACTTGGTTGCTGACCAGGTGCATCAACATGTGCACAGGCACCATGCAAGTAATATCAAAAATGCGGAAACTTATTTTGAGTATCACAGTCCATATTTCTGATTACTATATGCACACGCTTAATGGCCGAACCGGGGCATCCCTTGTCGCTCAGCATGTGGCAGAATTGAGACAAGCCACTAGAAGAACCCAGGAAGACCCCAAGAAGATGGCACGGACATAAAGGCCTGTTAAATACCGAGTACTAAAGAGCGCTCCTTCGAAAGGGGCGACATGTTCGGTTGGAGATAGCCGGGACTCGGATGCGAATCACGCTGCCGAATCATTATCTCAGTCACAATTGTGTAGGGAACGCGAGACGCAAGAAGCCGTGTCGGAGAGAGAAGGGAAAACAAGACGAGGCGTACTCGGCTTTGCGGATGTTTTCCCTGAGACTGGTCAGGGAGGGATGGGAGGGAACCAAAGATGGAAAACACACGATAAGCACCACCAGATGAGCCGTGTCAAAGCCCTGGTCAAAAAATCGTCATGAAATCGCCAATGGACCAGAAGCTCGGGCTCGCCTATGGAACGCCCACACCACGCCCGTTTTCCCAAGGGCCGAGCCATCATCTGACTGTTGAGTGAGTGCGCCCATGGAAATGAATGACACCTTCACGGTAAAAAGGGTATCCGAACGAGAAAAATAGAAAGAAACTCGGTACAAGTGATTGGGGAGAAATTGAGTTGACAATCAGGGATTGATGGAGTGAAAGTGGTACGAGCAGGCCAACGTTTGGTGAATCCAAAGACGCCCCGGGCACCCTGGGCCCCCTGGGCCCCCTCGACCCTCGTGAATCGCTGCTTGAACAGCCAGTAATGGGCAGGTCGGGGGTGAGATTGCGGGCGGGTTGCGCCTACGAGGCGTCAAGCGGCCAGCAAGAAGTGCCGTTGGGGTTGTGGTCGTCATGGTCCTCACAGGTCATTGCCAAGCCGCGGACTGACCAAAAAATTTCGTAGAAAGGAGAGAGCGCCTTGAAGCGCCTCTTTCCAGCTGCGCTTTTCTCTTCCTCAGACTTTCATACCACCCCCTTCAACAAATTCCAGTTGCGCCTCACCCTCGCGCGAGGCTTCTCTGGCATCGTCAACGACATCGTTGTCGTGTCTTCTTGTCCCCCTTGAGTAGGGTACACGTTTGTGATCCATCGCCGCAGTTTCCCTGTCTTGAATCGGCCGGAAATCTGCCTGCGTGGTGAATCTCCTCTCAGAAGAAAAAAGAATCACAACCACTCCTCCATCTTCGCCATCTTCCACATAAGCACAAGAGCGGCTTCCGTTCACTCGAGACAGTCGCCGCAAAGTGGTTCATTCACCCTCGATTCCTCCTTCGCTACCCAATAATCACCTGCGGGCTCGGGAACTTTTTTTTTTTTCCAACCTTCACTTAGAGCTGCGTTTGTCATCCGCTGGGTTTCAGCCTTCCAGTCAACCTTGCACATCCGAATCGCTGCCTGAAGACATTTTATCATCTCTGATGACATCGAATCCCCAGCAGTCCTCTACCACTCGATCCAACCCTTCCTTCGCTGCTGCCGCAGACGCACAACAATCTACAGCCTCACATTTCGCGACCGGACCGAATTTGGCTAATCCAGGCCGAACCGCGTTTCCCTCCGCCTCCAAATCTCCTTCTACACCAAATGCATCGGAGCCCACCAACATGTCTGCAGCAGTTGGAGGCGCTCCGCACGCCCATGGGCATAGCGATTCTGTAAACGGCAGAAATCCTACGATCCCTGCCATCCCTTCTGTCAACGGAAGCGTCTCACTACCCGATCACACGCGCAAGCCGTCCATGACAGTTACACCAGCTGGCACCACCGGCTTCGCAGCAAACGGCGGTGCTTCTGGTGGCCCTCAGAACAAAACAGGAAATATTCAGTTCGGTTCGCTGCCAGTGGCGAACGCGGCTGGGTCCCCTGCGATGGGCACACCCCCTTCGTTGGCGCAGCAAAATTCGGCAAATCTTAGTGTGAGCCAACTGAATCCTCGCGCAACCTCTCCCTCAAATTCTCCGTCCCCAATTCCTCAACCTGCCTCCGTCAGTGGCGGTAGGCCCCCCAGCGGTTTTCAGGGTCACGGAAATGGATATACATTTGGGCAGCTCTCGGGCGACCAGAACGATCCAAGTGTAAGGTTAAATGAGGCTGTCTTGTCAAATTCTGACCATTTTCTGCAGGGTATGACTAGGCCGATATCCCAACTACAGTTTGGACCTCAACAAGAGCACATGAGACGCGGCTCCTCGCAGTCGATCCACAGCGACGTCGGTGGTCCAGGCATTCCAGCGGGCCCAACCCGTGGAGGCTATCCAGGTGGTCCCGGTCGTGGCAGAGGCTTCAATCCTCAATATCAACAACAACCCATGCATTTCTCGCCCCAACAACAATTTCGACCTCCTTCGAACGGACGCTCATTCCAAGGTGGATATCAAGGTCGAGGTCAACAACTTCCGTACCAAGGATCCCCCGCCATGGGCACCCGCAGCCCAGCTCTTGTCAACGCTCAGCCAGGAACCCCGAATATGGGAGGTCAAATACACATGGTGCAGCCCGGGATGCAGCCTCAACCCAATGGATATTATATGGGACCCCAACATGTAAAGAACCACCCACCATTTCCTTCTTCCCGTGACCCTGCCAGAGAACCCGCAAGAGAAAGAGGCAAACCTACGAGAGGCCGGAACCGTGTCGGTCGTGGAGCTGGTCGCGGTAAAGGCCCTGGTAGAGGTGGACACGAGGAGGGATCAACTTTCTACAGCAAAGATCCAGCCTCGGACTACTACCGCCCCGATCTCGCGCATCCTACTGTTCAAGTTGTCCCCGAACTTGTGCAGCCCCCCATTCAAGTTGTCACCAATACTCCTAATGTCTTTCCTTACCCTGACTTGTCCCCTGAGTCTGGCAATTTTGAACGTTATTCAGAACATTTTCTGACTGCAAGAGCACAGGCCTTCCCCATGACTCAGGCTGATCCTAGTATTCAGCAAATGTATTTGCAGCAAATGTATGCTCAAGGGCCCATGCCGACCCAATACAATCCCCAATACGGCATGCAGCCCCAATCTCCTCGCCCGCACTTCAACCAGGGCATGTATGCACCCAACATGCAGCCTTCATACAGCAATCAGGGTGGACCGCCACCTTCAATGTCGAGACAGTCTTCCCAGATCTCTGCTCCCGATCGGCCTGGTTCCAGCATTGGCCAACAACCACCAACTCCAGGTCCCACTGGCCCTCCGCACCCAGCCAATCGAGCCCCGAGTGTCTCTTCGCAGAAGTCCAACTATACCATTCCTCCGAAGAAGAGTGCCGCCGTCACCATCAAGAATACCGCTGGCGAGGTCGTCTCTTTCAATAAGTCGCCTGCATCCCCTGCGAACCCTACCCCTGTCTCGGCGACAGCTCCTCCACAATCAGCGTCAACCCCTCCTAGCCGGACTGCCAGCGCCGCCGACAATGCTCATGGCCGAACAGATAGCGTCAGCACGAAGACTGCAGAAGAGGTGAAGAAGCAAATGCAGGAAGCTGTTGCCAAGAAGATTGCAGAAGATGAAGCCAGGCTAAGGCTGGAGAAGGAACTGGCCGAAAAGGCCGAGAAAGCCGAGATGGACAGGGAAGCCGCTGAAATGGCTGAGCGAGAGGCTGCCGAGGCTCAAGCCAAGGCGGAGGCGCAAGAGAAGGAAGCCAAAGAAGCTGCAGAGAAAGCTGAAGCCGCTAAGCAAGCCCAAGAAACAAGGCCTGAAGAGACTCCGGCAGCCCCTGCCAAGCCACAGCAGGATGAGCTCGACTTGGATGCCCTTGCTGCTGAAATGGAAGCCGAAGAGGCTGCCAGGGAAGCAGAAGAGCTCAGACGCGAGGAAGAGTACGAGAAGAGAAAAGCTGCCCAGCGCGAGGCCCAACGAAAGAAGGAAGAGGAAGAAGCGGCGGCTTATGAGGCAAACATGAAAGAATTGGAGCGTAAGGCCGAGGAGGAAGAATTGGCTCGCGAAAAGGAAAAGGCGGAAGGCGCCTCAGGAGATGAAGCCAGCAAGAAACTCTTCGCTGAGCTCAAGCCCAATCCATTTGGCACTCCTGCGTCTATTGAAAGCCCTGCTGGTCCAACGACTCCAGCCGAAAGTGGAACTGCTACTCCCGTCTCCGATGTATCAATGCCTCCTCCCGCGAAGGCCCCTGGACGTCGTACCAAGGCTGCCGAACTGACTCTCGACACCAAGAAGCCCGTCGAGCCACCTGAACCGAGTGCAACGTTGAAGGCCTTGCAGTCTGCGAAGAAGCTCGGTGACATCTCCAAAGTTGTTTATCCACCAGACATCGCGTCCCCGAATCCTGCCCTGAACGCGAATGCCCCGGCCGATCGCGGATTCAAATACAACAAAGAGTTTCTGCTCCAGTTCCAGAGCGTATTCAAAGAGAAGCCGACTCTTGATTGGGATGCTCGCATTCGAGATGCATTGGGCGATGGGGATGCTTCAGCTCGACCGAGTGCTTCTGCCAGGACCCCTTCGGGCATGGGTGCCCGCAGTGCATCCTCTCGCGGACCTCCTCCCCTGAGCAACTTTGGACCTATGGGCACGTTTGGTGGTGGAGTTAACCGACCAACACTGCCACCAGGTACAACTTCAGAGCAGCGATTTGCTGCATCGAACGCTTTGAGGAGTGGAGCGATGGCGACCAACCCATTCGCTCAGTTCGGACGCCCGGGAGGACAGATGCAGCCTCCTATGGGCGGCCGAACACCTTCCAGTGGCCCGCTCGGTCCCATTCCTGGGTCTCCTCGCGTGGGTGGTGCAAGTCGTGGGGGCTCACGTGCTGAAAGCAAGCGTGCGAAGCAGACCGCTAAGCAGATGGTCGAAGAAAACAAGTCCATGCCTCTCACTGCCGGTATGGCTATCACAGCTCTTGAGACCTCGGCTGCCGGATGGAAACCACGGAGCCTCGTCCAACCCATCGTTTCCGGCCCTGCTCCCGGTGGCGAAGGCCTAATGGATCCTGAAACGGTGCAGCGCAAGACAAAGGCACTTTTGAACAAGATGACTCCCGAAAAATTCGACAAGATTTCGGATCAAATATTGGATATTGCTGCTCAATCCAAACACGAAAAAGACGGCCGAACACTACGCCAAGTCATTCAGCTCACTTTTGAAAAGGCCACCGATGAAGCTCACTGGGCAGGCATGTACGCCTCGTTCTGTCGACGAATGCTAGAAAGTATGAGTCCGGATATCAGAGACGAGGGGATTAAGGACAAGAATGGTAATGTCGTGACCGGCGGGAACCTATTCCGAAAGTACCTCCTCAACCGTTGCCAAGAGGAGTTTGAACGCGGCTGGAAGGTCAACCTCCCCCCTCGACCGGAGGGAGAATCCGAAGAGGCTGTCATGCTCTCGGACGAGTACTATATTGCCGCAGCTGCGAAGCGTCGTGGCCTGGGTCTCGTCAAGTTCATTGGTGAATTGTTCAAGTTGTCGATGTTGACCGAACGGATCATGCATGAATGCGTCAAGAAGCTCGTCGATTACGAGGGGACTCCGGATGAAGCCGAGATAGAAAGCTTGACAAGCTTGCTACGGACAGTCGGGAAACAACTCGACAACCCCGAGAGCAAGGCACAAGGCCGAATGGACCTTTACTTCGAGCGCATCAAGTCTATGGTTGAGCTGCCAGAACTCCCCAGTCGTCTTCGATTCATGCTCATGGATGTGGTTGATCTACGGGCTAAGGGCTGGGCCTCTAAAGAAGACAATAAGGGCCCTAAGACGATCACTGAGATTCGCGAAGAGGCCGAACGCCAGGCACGTGAGGACGAACTCCGGAGACTTGCCAGCCAGACCGGTGGTCGTGGCGGCGGAGGCCGAATGCCTATGGGCCGTGGCGATGCCCGAAGCTTCAGCGGCTTTGGAGGACAAGTTCCTCCTCCTGACACCTCAAACCGCGTGGGTACCGACGACCTTCGAAAGCTTGGTGCACGCAGTGCTCGCCATCCCAGCCATACTTCTGGTCCTGGACCACTGGGGCCTCCTAGCTTGATGGGCGGGCGTACCAACAGTGGGCGTCGTGGACTTGGACCAGGTGGTCTCCTCGGGCGAGGAGATGACAGTGCTACTAGCAGCCGAACCGGAACGCCTCCGGCTCAGAAAGACAAAGAGAAGAAAGATGAGTCCAGCACAAATGCTTTCAGGTAAGCTCAAATGACGCCTAGATGGACCTCAGAAAAAGCTAACAGTGCCTTAGTGCTCTTGCCGCTCTTGAGAACGACGGGCCTGGATCACCGCCATCTAATCCCGCATCACCTCCTACGCAAAAGTCTCAGCCAAGCATCGAACGAGAACGATCGAGATCACCGGACAAGGGCGCCGAGTGAAAGCCACATAATCCGATCAATAAAATGTGTACAACATAATACGATTCGATTACACTAATATCTGACTGACGGCCGCTTGTGGGGATGGATAGAAGAAAAGATGTGCATTGATACCCCGGCGAGAGCAAAGCCACCTGTTTAGCATTTACAGCGCCACGAAAAAGCGGAGCAGTTGTTTTTACCTTGATTCTCGACCATGCAAGATCACAGCGGATTTGGCAACCATGGATCTGAGAATCGCACTTCGAGCCTTCGATTCGAACACGCGGAAACGCGGAATAGAGAGTGTGTTTCTAATCAACAGAATACAATATGCATAGGGTTGATTTGAGAATTCGGTGAAGGGCGGGTTTTCCATCTACTGGCTGGTTGGAATCATACTACGGCTTGGTGGAGTAATGGTGGAAAACCGCAAATAGATGTGCCACAGAGAAGTATCCGTCCGTCAGGAGAGGATGGCAGAGCTGACGGAATGAACGAGAACGGAGAACTAGCGCGGCCTATTGAGCTCAACCACTCTGCCATCAGCAGGCAGCATTCTTTTTGAGCTGGATGGGTCCGTCTTGAGTCGTCGAGTTTCGATTGATGCATCGGGTTACTCTCATCAACGAAGTCGGTTCAGAGTTCGAGGGGCATCAAGGTCGGGAAGGAGAGTTGTGTCGGATGTGTCTTCTTGTATTGTACAATGACGAATTTTCAAAACCCTTTCGTTCAAAAGTTCAAGCCTGGTCTGCTGTTATCATGATAGTGGTGCATGATAGTGGTGGTACTATCAGCAGGCAGAGAGACTAGGTGGATATCTCGGATCTACACCCTTTCTCATTGTGATTTTCTCTGAACAGTACACTATACAAACACTAATGCTCAATCCTGCGCATAAAGTCCAGATGGATTAGTGCGAACCCTCTTCGATCGGGTCCGACATCTTTATCCTCTTCCTTCTGTCACCATTTAAAACTGCCCCCCATGCTCGGGCCTCTTCTCCAGCCCTCTGTCTATCCGTCTCTTCCATCCCGTACTCCTTCTCAATGACTTGTCGATGCCTTTCCTCCCTCTCCCTCCTCTTCACCTCGCGTGTCTTCCTCCTCTTTGCCCGCTCGATGTCCTCGTCCCTCTCATGCTGTGCCTCGTCGCGCAATTTCCTCTGTTCTTCCCATGTCAATACCCAGGGTCTGGAGAGTGTGGAGGAGAGGAACTGGGTGCGTGAAGCGATCAGTGCCATTTCGTGGGTTGTGGTGGGGAGGATGTTTAGGCGCAGGAGGGAGAGTTGGCGGGTTGAGCGGAACGTGGCGATGGTGCCCTTTGCTTGAACGGTTGTGCCGATATCGAGAAGGGAGAAGGTGTGTTGAAGCTGTTCTTCTTCCGAGGCTTCTTCACCGTCTCCAGAGTTGGGGTTGGACTTTGTGTTCGACTTTGATCTCGCGTCCGACTTTTTTGCGGTGTCTGTTGCCCGCTTTGTCCCTGCGATGTTGCTTGATCCGGCGGGCAGCTCGGCTTGCTTCTTCTCCGGCTTGGGACATGTTACGTCAATAATCGCGCCGCTGCTATCGTCGATTTTGAAGAGCCAGAACTTCTCGAAGAAATCCTCCAACGCAACGACCACGCCAATCACCTGGACAAATTGGATGGGATGATTGAGGTAGAAGAGCAGTAAAGGCGGGTCATTTTGTCGACCCTGGGGATTGCTGCCTTCCACGGCAAGGGACGTAGTAACCTGAGAATACTTCTCGTGGCGTTTCAACACGGTGTGGATGTCGAGACAGGTCAGTTTCACCCATTTCGACCAGGTCGCAGAGGCCTTGAAGGCGTAGGCTGGATAAAAGGTCAAATGGGTATCGTGGTCCGCAGGCGTTGTTGTCTGGCCTGCGGTGGAGGGTCCAATACCATGAGGCCTCTGAAGTTCAGGTTGGGGAGGAGGATGAGGGTAAGGTCTCTGCATTCATTTGCAAGGCATCACGTAGGGCGCAGTCCGGATTTGTTGCGGATGTGTCTTTGGAGGTAGGTGGCGGCAATTGCGAACTCGGCGGTGACGCGCCGATATGCGCAGCGATGGGCGGTGAGGTGGCAGAAGGCGCGTGTGGAGATAATGGCAGAAAAGGCACTGGATGGGCGGGAGAAGGCCTGAGGAATTGGGGAAGAGGCAGCCGCAGGCCATAACCAGCGATGGAGGGCCAAGGGGGGGTGGCACAGGTACAGGGTATTACACAGACCTAGGTACCTCGTATACCTAGAGTAGCCAGTACAAGGCAAGACAAGGCCGGAGTCTGTCCGGCTCATCGGCTATAGCGGCAACCCACAAAGGCCCCCCAAAAACCCCCACTATCCCCCACTGCGACTGCGCAGTTTGTAATGACAGCCTCAAATATGCCACTTCTGGTAGAAATGTCGCTCAAATGTCAGTTAGAGAGAGAGAATGACAGTCGCAAATACCTTCCTTTACCACCTCCCACTTCCGGTCTTGCCATTTCCCACTTCAACAACACGACCAACCTGCATCATCCTTCGGTGATCATCTTCAGTCTCTTCATCGCCTCAACTTTTGTACGAAGTCCCAAAATTTTTTTGGAGGCCCGCTAGGGCTGCAGTATGGAATTCCGGCCCACCGACTGGGCAGCCAGCCAATACCCAGTACATCCTCAGACATTGGACGGTCTCCGTAACCGGCTATTGTGCCTGCGACTTTCGATCTGTCGATGATTTTATCTGCGACATGATGCTATGTTGATTCTTAGACCTCTTATTCCCCCTCTCGATTCCTCATTTCCTCTCTGTCCTCGGCGTTGTTGAAACTTTTGGTCTGCTAGCAGAATAGATCCAAAGCCAAGGGACTTGCCATACTTAACCAAGGCAAGAGGCACGCCTAACTTGAGTCCCAGATCCCCGATCGACCCCACCAAATCGACAAGAGACCTAGGCTTTGGCACACGCACACACACACACACACGCTCTCGCTCTCGCTCTCGTGCATACCGAGCGCCCCGGCTAGACTTGATGTCGGGAGGTGCATGCTCTGCGGATCAACATGCCCCAAAGATCCAAGCATCATTAAGTGGCAACAGCGCTGCGTCCGAGATTGATAAACACCAAGAAACACAAACTGTTCTTGCTTGCTCCCACACTGGGCGTTCACCGTGGCAAAGTGAGGTCTCTCACTTCCATGGCGATGGCTCCCTCGAGAGGATACCCACTGCTCATGAAGAGCTCCCAGACACTGTCCAGGCCGAACGAACAATGACCGATGCAGCTGGTGGACCAATCTATTCCGTCTTCACAAAGAATCAAAAAATCTTCATCGTGTTTATGGCGTCGTGGGCTGGCTTCTTCTCTCCTGTGTCCGGCCAGATCTATTTCCCTGCTTTGAATGCGTTAGCGAGAGATTTGCGTGTTTCTAATTCACTGATCAACTTGACCCTGACCTCTTATATGGTATGCTACCTTCTCTCGTAAAGCCGTCACTGAGGAAGTTGACTTGACTATCGTATAGATATTCCAAGGCCTTGCCCCTACGTTTGTTGGAGATCTTGCTGATGCTGCTGGTCGGCGTCCCGCATATGCTGGTACGTACATCAATTTCATGGTGCATTGATGCTTCTATTAACACGCTACCAACAGTTTGCTTTACTATATACATCCTTGCCAACATTGGGCTTGCGCTCCAGAACAGTTATGGGGCGCTGTTTGTCTTGCGCTGTTTCCAGAGCTCAGGTTCGAGCGCCACCATTGCCATGTGCAGTGCCGTTGTGTCCGACGTTGCCACCGCGGCAGAAAGAGGCAGGTATATGGGGTTTACCCTGGCAGGATCTCTGCTTGGCCCAGCCTTGGGCCCCGTCATCGGAGGTGTCCTCGCTCAATTCCTCGGGTGGAGAGCCATCTTCTGGTTCCTGATGATCATGGGCTCCGCGTTCATGGTTGTCTTTGCAATTTTCTTCCCAGAGACAGGTAGGACGCCTCATGGAAGAAGGCTGAAACACTGTTTGTTGAAAACTGTTTGTTGACAAGTCGATAGCTCGTAAACAGGTCGGCAACGGTTCGATTCCTCCAAAAGGCTGGAATATGTCTCTCATGAATTACATGGCAATACGCAAAGCCCGAAAACTGCATTCCCCAGATCAAATGTCAACGAAAGACAATCACCCCCAAAAGGAGACTCGTCACAAAAAGAAGTTCCGCTTCCCCAATCCACTGCGGTCTCTTTATATCATCATGGACAAGGAGAACGCATTGCTTCTGTTCTACAATGCTTTTCTCTTTGCAGCTTTCTACGACGTCACAGCTACCTTACCTTCCCAATTGCAGGCGATCTTTGGCTTCAACGAACTACAAATCGGCTTGTGCTTCATTCCTTTCGGCTGCGGGTCCCTATGTGCTGCCCTGACAAATGGACAACTCTTGGACCGCAACTTTGCTCGTTGGTGCAGGAAACTTGGCGTGAAGATCCGGAAGGGGAGAAATCAAGACTTGAGCAATTTCCCAATCGAAAGGGTGAGGTTGCAGATTGCCATACCTGCCGCATATCTTACATCAATGTTGGTTCTTGCGTTCGGCTGGATCCTGGATGTCAATGGGCCTCTCCCGGCCCTACTCGTCGTCCTCTTTTTCACCAGCTTCAGCATGTCTATTGCGTTCAACGTCACGAGCACACTCTTGGTTGATTTCTATCCAAGAGCCCCCGCCACGGCGACGGCGGCGAACAACCTTGTCAGATGCGGCTTAGGTGCAGGCGCTACGGCCGCCGTGATACCAATGATCGATGCGTGGGGCAGAGGCTGGACGTTTACATTTTTGACCTTATCTCTAATCGCGACATCCCCGATGCTCTGGGCTGTGTATTTCTGGGGAATGAAATGGAGGACTGAAAGACGAGAAAGGGAAGCCAGGGCTAGGCAACTGAAAGAAGCAAAGCTGAACCACCAGAGCTTCGGAGAAAATGGGGGCTTCACAGAGGTCAACGGCGATGAAAAACCGCCCGTGGAAGGGGGAGCTGTCGAGATGGCCGCCATGGCCGAGAAGGACCAAGAAATGCGATTTACCTTCCAAGAGCCATCCAAGGACATGTCCAAAGCGCGCGATGAAGATAAAATCCAGGATCTTGATGATGCTACGAGTCGAGAAGTCCAGGATGTCACGCTATCGAGATCGTTCTCATATGAGTCTGGGTATTGATATCAAACAAATCAAAGAATCTCATGAAAAGGAAACGAATTTAATAACGTACCTAAACATCCTTCTTTGCTTGTCTAGACGGGGGAAGTCCCGAACGCTTTGAAAAGGCCACGCACGTATGCACGTCACGCTGGTCCGGTTTCTAGGCGCAGTAATACCTACACAAGGAACGATGGGAGGGGGGGGGGGGGGGGTTAGAAGTCGCCAACGCGGTTTCCACATCCTCAAGGCGTCCATCTCGGTCCTCGACGCTGACATTGGCTAAGAATTCCAGAACCGCCGCGTCAAACATCATCTGGGAGAACAAGTATTCGATGCTGCTTCGCAGGCCATGTCCTACCATATTGCCCGCAAGAGCGATGATGCCGGGATTAGGGCGGCACAGGCTCTCGGCCTGTATGCCCTGGGAGCAGAGATGAAAGACCTCGGTCGAGATAAAGAAAGGACAGCGTGTCGAGAGGAAGCGCTCTTGATATGTCCAGCGTCTCGTGCTCCATTCCGAGACTCAAACATGCGTGCTAAGATCTGGAAGTATGGGACTCACCAGGCAATCGCCACCTGACCAGAATACTGTAATTTGTTCAGACCTGAGAAGGGAGATCCCTGGCAGTCCTATTGCAGCGTTTTGGCCCAGGGAAACCAGCGTGACGGTGGCACCGGAAAAGATGCCGGCCATGCTACCCACCTCGGCCTTTATGTCTTCGATGGAAGCTTGGCTGATCCAGCACCTGTCAACCCAAAGGTATTCGAGACCAAGATTGAGTGCAGCCGTAAGTGCATCCTCGATAATTTGTGGCACGTTCTCGGGCAATTACCTCGCGGACTTGGTCAGGGTGAATAAGTAGACTTCATCCCGCGCACCCCGTACGCAACTCAACGCTGCATATCGAGTGCCTCTATTACCATTCTCCATGACCGTGCGAGTTTTGCAGTGGACCAATAACCGTGGACGTGGGCTGAAAGCAAGCCCGCCAATGCCAGATGTGCAGATTGAGTGGCTTTCCTCGCAATGCCTTATCAGAGACTTGAGAAGATCAAAGTTAACCTGGTTCGGTTCAACACGTCGAGCGTGGAAATGGAATTCCTCCGAAGCATCTGTATTGGAGCAGACAGGATGAGACGGAAGGACACTAGGCGAATACCCACCCGTGTCGTGATCCAGAAATGGCTTTGTCGAAATTCCCTCGACAATGCTGCACACAACTGGCATGTTCTTTGTTCTCCATCCTTCCGTGTGTGGTAAGCACAATTAAGCAGCACAACCGAAGACTCGCACATGCCAGGCAGCGGGTTTTGGCAGGAGTCCGGCCTCACTCTTCGTCGCGAAGAGTCTACCATGGACGCAAACTGCAAAGTTTGCATGGTGGCTCCGCTAATGTTGGCGGAACGGGCCCTGTGTCGATAAATGTTATGCCGGATTCATCAATGATGTCTGGATCTCATAGAGAAGAACAATCCGAAGTCGATTTTGCTACGCGGTACACCGTGCACGAAACCCGTCAACAGTGGGTGCAGACTTGTCACCCTGCTGAACAGACATATTCTTCACCGAGGCTCATCTGCCTCACTTGAAAAGATCAATTGCCCAAAAGGTGCGAGTCCCAATACGGGGTTTATTAGTACAGAGAAGTATTGATACCCAGGCAGATACTTCATCGTCTTGGCGTGCCAAGCCCCAGGCCGTTTGATAGAGCAGGGATAGAGATAATAAGGGCACAAAGGGGCAAAAGGGGCAACGAGGCTGACCTTTGTCTCGGTACCGAGTACCGAGGACACAGCGAGACAATACACCACCTTAACCTTCTGTCTGGGCTCAAATTGCAGTGCAGTGCCGGGCTGACGACGGAATCCGACTAAAGGTGCACTGCATTACCTATCTGAGGTGACTCTCAAGGCTTTTTCTACCTGGTATGCCAATGATGGTTCACCCCTCCAAGCTCTCTTTCAGGTACACTCCTTCCAAGAGACTAACATTGCAGTGCTCAGACCAAAACATAAACAATCTTCCCAATATCTTGGGAGAACAGGGCAAATTAAAAAGGCCATTCTGCCATGACGTGCGTAGATACATGCACATAGATCGAGGGCGCCTCTTCATTTTCACCGAGCTACCCTTGGAGACAATGATGCTCTGTTCTGTTCCACCTCCTATTTAGCCGTCCTCCTCACGTGTACATATACAGGTAGCCGTCTTCCGAGAAACTGCAACCAAGGTACAGACTAGTTTCCCTTCCGCTCTCTTCAGTCAATTCCCTTGAATTCAAAACCCCGCTCCATGGAATGCTCCGTCTACGGACATCCAACCTGCGAGCGGACGGGACTTTGATGGAACACGGAATATGGAATACGGAATATAGAGTCCGTGCACGCGGAATCGCCATATCTCCCACTCTTCAGCCAGACTAAAATTGCGGTGCAAATCGAAAACAAAAGAAAAGAAAAGGAAAAATCAATGCGGCAGAAACGTTCCACGGGATTCGGGAGACACATTCGATGCTTCTTTCTTCTTCGTCTTTGGATGCCCTGGCAAAAGTACAGTGCTTTTCGATCTCCAGGGTTCTGTGGATTGATTCCAAGCAGCCGTTGCCTGACGCGCCTCCGCCTGGCACTCCCCCCCCCCTCGCTGTAAGACACTAAAAGTGCAGTGCTGTAATCCTACATTTCTAAAGTATATATAGAGCAAGCAATCTAGGAACTCGGAATAACTACGGAGTGGATTCCTTCTCCCTCTCCAGCCGGACAAAAGTGTAGTGCAGACCAAGACTAAGCAGTCTGCGGGAACTGCTACCTAGAATCTAGGGCAGCCTGGCCGACTCGTATTGAATCACTGTACAGACTGCAACATGTAGCACTACGTATGCAACTATGGCGCAAGCAGTGTTCGATGGCGTTCGGGAGAAACATTCGAATCGATGAACGGTCTTCTTATTTTTGTTTTTTTTTTTTGGATGGCTGTGCAAAAAAGCGCAAGCCAGGTAGATCGCACCACTATCTCACAAGGCTCAGCTCTCCCTCTTGAAGGTTTAATCCAGCCTTGCCCCAGCCTTGCCCCAGCCTTTGCCCCACAGCTCTAATATCTAGCCTCAGCTCAGCCTTGCCTCTTGAATACTTCGTTACAAAGTCTTCAGTAATCCCCGTAAACCGCAGCCAGACCAATCGATACGCCAATGTTCGCGGTGAATGACCCAATGACATTCCCTATATCAAAATCAAGTTTGTCAGCTCCTACGTCCTCTCCCACCCGATATCACACAGATGGAACTCTCGTTGCACTTACCAGGTGGCGCGTAGTTGCAAACAGTAAAATACGGCGGGATGGGTGGCCCAGCATTCGCCAACCCACCACTACTGCAATCCGCGGTATAGCATCCCACACTGTTTGTTGACTTCCAGACAATTTGCGTGAAGTGGCCCCACTGGCCCAACGTGTTGAGGGGCGGTTCCATCCCATAGTAGACGTAGTTGTTTACTTCGCCGTTGTACAGCCCTTCGGTGATGAACTGGCCCATCCCAAGAAGTGTGGCTGGGTAGCCGGCGCCGATGTTCTGGCCATACCCGCCGCCATTAACGTTGCTGAGTAGGGGAATATCAGCTAGGCCAGGGGAAAAGGGACACGAAGAATGAGAGAGATGGAGAAAGAACCCTTACGTGTTATGTCCATAGACACAGGTCTTAGCGATCACGCGCGCTGTATCGGCTAGGCTAGAAGACCAGACAAGCGGATCAGCCGAGTGGTTGGATCGATGGATGTTGTGGTGGCGCAAGACTGCGCTGGTGTATGCATCATTGGTGACCACAGGGATTCCGGAGGACGTTGTGGTGGACAAGGTAGAGATTGAGCTCCCTGGTACATTGGAGGCGAGCGAGGAAGTTATGGTGGACGAGGCTGGAGTGACGGTGTCGGAGGACGGAAGAATAGGTCCACTGAGAGTCGTGGATGTCGTCATCGTGGTCGGGGTCGTTGTCGTTGTCGTGACAGGGGTCGTCGCTTGAAGGGTCGACAAGCCAGCTGTGCTCGTTGGGCAGGGGCATGTCGTGAAGGTCACGAATTCAAGAGCAGTCTCCGTGAAAGTTGCGGTGTACACGAAGCTGATGCTCTGCGCAGTTGCGCCTGCAACGAGAAACAAGGGGACGAATGGTCGCATTTTCGGGGCAAGGAACGACTGGAAAACCAAAAACTGGGTAATGAATGACTGCGGTCAGGTCGGGACGGTTCGAGTCTGCAAGAGGGACGAAATCCGGGTGTATGCAAGGTCGTGTTGTATGATTCTTGAGTATCTGGGCGCGACGAGGCCCACATTCCAGAGGGATCAACAACCCAAGGCGTTCCAGACTCGGCACGTATGTTGTCGTCGAAGCCCGCGACTCGCAAATCTTTGTCAATGGTGCTTGCAATTTCCGTGCATCACAGGTAGACTATCTTCTGTGTCCAGGACCATAGTTGATACCATCGCTTCAGCTGCAGATGCGGCGGATAAAGAAATCAACGGAGGCCTTTATGGCACGATCGGCCTTTCCGCGCCTCGATATTGCAATAGATACTTACAATGGCACACAATATGATAGTCAACATTGATTCAAGGGACTCTTAGCAAATGGGGGCGTGAAGTAGAGCCGGTAGATCGTAAACAGCGCCGTGCTTTGTATCAAGGTGCTATAGCATAATGCAGCCATGCAAATTTCCCATTCCTTGCTCTTTGATATGCTCTGCACGGGCCATCTAACGAGAGGAGAGATATGTCCTGATCGACACCGGACTCATAGATTTTCATTCCGTCGTGGTTGCAAGCCTTCCGGTGCTATTTCGCCCGGTAAGTTAGTTGCAAAATCTTCTCGGACACAGCCTGAGGATGCACCGGGTTGCCTGGTATATTGCACTCGTCAAAATTGGCCATGCTCGTCGACGGTCCGTTCTCCCCCAAGCTGTGATGGAGGACGCGTCTGCCTTACCATCATTTCGGCTTTTCGCCCTATCTCGCGCGAAGAAGTCCCGTCTCAAGGAAGAGGAGCGGGCTTAGATATGTGCAAGGTCGAGGGTTTCTATTCTGAGGTTCCCGAGTTGAACCACCAGCCAATTTTTCCAGCGTCGTCGCATCGTCAGGATTGGAGGGCCAACCGCTCCTAGGGAGGAGCCTAGTTGGAGTCCAAACTCCAGACTATTTAGCAAAGCTTAGATGGTTTTGGGGGCATGAAAATGTCGGGGAACCTGGCCGCAGCCAATGAAGCATATCTCTGCCAGGGTTTGTTCGCAAAGCTGTGCTCTTGCTTGAATGTGTTTTATTCTCGTCTTTCAGACTCGGGCACGCGGGCGAAGAAACTGCCGAAGCCAAGTATTGACATCAGTCTCGGCGACTGTAGACAGGAACATGTGATAGACTCGATGAGTGGCTGTCTTTTCTTCGCATCAACAAGCTCGACTGCGCCAACAAGGGCCAAACGGGATGTAGAGAGATCAATTGGACATCGGAGCAGGGGCCGGAACAGGAAGTTCTAGTCAATCAGAACCAGGGGTTTGCATTTCCAGGGTCCTCCATAGTCGTTTGCACAGCTAACAGCCCTCTTTCGGGAAATGGCGCGACGTGTTCACACGGCGTGTTGCTCGAGGTAAATGATGTGGAGAGTTAAGAATACAACAGTTGTTGAAGCTGAAAATGGCGAACGAGATCGTGAAGGTGAATGGATGATCGGTTGGTACAGCCGATGTCGCCAGTGCATTCTGCCAGGGCACGCCATTGAAGCGCCTTCGTTCGGCGGTCTGCATGTTAAGCAAGCGAGGGCTGAATTCAGGGCCACGCTCACATGCAGACTCAAACATCGCGATCAAGTCTTTGCAAGACCGGCCAAGCACGGATGAGTGGAAGCCGTGGCAGAAGTGCCAGGTGTATTATCATTCTCATCACCAATGCGTTTGATGTGAGCGGAGTCACGGCTGACGGCAACTAAGGTCCGAAGACAGGCTTCCAGGGGTTTGCCCACGTCCAGAGCTGAGCGTGCTGTCGTGACCGGATAGACTTTGTTGGATCAGATCGTCCAATCTGCGTTTAGTCCAGCCTTGGATTTGCCTTTAGTGCAAGGGGTATTATCCGCTATCCAATAACAGCAACAGCAAAAGATTGCCTTATTGTTGGAGCTGCGACCTGTGTCGATATCAGATCATGCCGTTGTTGCATCTACACGGGATATCAAGTTGACTCTCCATGCAACGTTGTCACTGCCACCGGGAACAGAAGCTCCCGTCCGTATGTGACTTTAACGAGAACACGGGTGCCTGTGGCCGGGGTATATCGGCCGCTAGCCCAAAGAAGCAACTGTTCATATCAAAAGGACCGGCGGCTCTCGCGCACGGCTCATATGCTCCACGGGTGAGATAGTTGCAAGATAGCCATTCTGGACATATGAAGGAAGCAGAGAGGTAGGTCCTACTTAGCCTCAGGTGTCGACCGGGCGCTCCGACTACTTACCTAACGGGTTTTGGGGCTAATATCGATTGCGGAGGCATGGCCCAGATCATGAACCGTCCATCCATGAATGCGAGAAAAATCATCTAGCTATATCAGGAAGTCTGGAGAGCCAGATAGAAACCAAGCGTTTTATATTGATCCTGCGGGTGGTATTGACCTTCGTAGATCACTTCCAAAGCAAGGGAGCACGTCGCAAGGGGTGACTGAAGAGGGGAAGTGAGGATGATATCGCACCAGCCAGCGGGAGGAGCCTGAATTGGAAACCCAGATCGAAAAACCGTTGTCCAGATCTGGTTTAGCGGGCCTGAAAAACGGTTTCTATTTTTGCACGCCACGTGTCGGCGAATTCCCCACGGATCAACACGGTGGAAAGGCGACTGTTCCCAAGATCTCTGACAATGTCCCGTTGACTGTGAAGCTGTCAGGCCAAGGGGGCCTAGAAGAGCCTGCCGTCGATTGATTCACAAAAGGGACATATTTGCTGAGAGTCTGCCTCGCAGCATGTAACAAGTAGTGAAAAACGCCTGATTCGGAGTGAGCGCGCTGAGGAAGACAATAGGCCAGTCGGAATAAAGGTTAATCCAGTCCCGGACCGCTGCGCCCCGCCCAGGCGAGTCCCAGCCCCGTGGGAAGATGGAATATCGGTGAGCCGTCAGTAATCACATGTCTAGGTACCCAGTACAGTAGCAACACTTTGTCTCAAGCACTGAGTACGCAGGAACTTGCCGTCGTCATGGGCGTCATCATCGTCATCATCACCGTCACGATTGCTTGCCCAGACATGCATGGCCCGTTTGTCATGTGGGCTTGTTGTGAGTGCCAAATATTATGTACCTGTTATTCTGTATCGTCATTCGAGGCATTTTCACGCAGGTCGAGTGGAGACTCCCCATACTCGTATGAGCACGTACAGTACAGGTACATAGTAATCCACTCGCTGCGGGTCAGATATGGCCTTTTCTTAGACATACGAGATAGGTGAGGAGACCAGCTTCGCATGGTATTGGGTGCGCGTAACGTTGCTCTCGCGATACGTACTCACACCGTCTGTGCCCTTCACCTCGCACATGGCATAGTAGCCTCCTCTTCTACCAGATCAGAAAATGAACCGGTGAGGACAGATGCTGTCGGTCGTTGCATTCCCACGGTTTAGCTTGGTCGCCTACCCGGACGGGAAATGACCAGTGTGACTTAGAATCCGAAGAGTTTCAACAAAAAAAGTGAGTGTAACGGGATAGATCCTACTGCATGAACGAAGGAACAAGGAAAGGTGATTGGGTCAGGAGACCTGGGGGAACACTTTCCTCGTCCAAATGGAGAATTTCTCTGCTTCCTCAACTGCGCCTTTGGTGGGTGGTGTCCAAGTCTCGTGTGAATGGGGTTGGTGCGGAATATGGTGGGCAGAGCAGAGACAGTGATTTGACAGCCAAGACACACTAAGCCAGAACAAGTTAAAAATCCAAGAACTTTCCCCTTCTGGCAGACTGTGAGCACTAGCGCTGTGTATGCTCCACTTTTACCGGTGCTGGCCTATCCCACGCCTCGGCTGGTCCCGCTAATGCATATCGAGGCTGCCTTAACCAGCTCTAAAAGCCACGCCGCCTCGTTGCTCGACTCAATCGTTGAATTTAGCACACCACCCAGATTGTGCCCACCGACTTTCTTTCGCTTCTCGTGCCACCCTCACTGCCCACTGATAAGTGTAACATAACGCCTCCGTCGCTTTTCTTCTCTGTGAATGGTTCCACTCCCCTGCTTAGCTTCCTCGTGGCAGGGCAGGGGATAGTGGACATCGAGGGATATGGACAAGGGGGCAATGCAGGCCAGGCTCACCCTAAGGCCGTCAGGATCTCCAGGAGGCTGCCTGAGAAAGTCGGGATCCACATGCCCCGTTATTTCGTTTTCAAAAGTCCATTTTCTCTTTGCTGGGCGACCGTCAGCCCTACGAGCATGGCCCGCGCTGCTACATGGTGACCTGGGACCCAGGGACCTTTGGTCGCCTGTTTTCCCCCTCCCTCATTCGCTAATGGATCACATCTCAAGGCAAATCTCGCAGCCCATGCACGGTGAGTGTGGACTTCGTCAGCCCCCAAATTTACCTCATCGCGGTCAGGAACCTGGATCCGTCTAGCTTCACCGATCGAATACGCCAACATTTTCTTGTCGGGTCCATCTGCGTGGGTCGGGGCCTACCAACTGCCCATACTACGTCCACAAAGATATATATCACTGGCTTTCTCATCCAAAGATTTCGAATGTTCACTCCCACCACATCAACACACTCCTTCAAACCAAAACATCTCATTATTTCTTAATCTCTTTCCTTTGTTCGCGCATTGCCAGGGTTCCCAGTTCAGCACACAGCCATCTCCAGATTTGAGGTATAGACCATACTTTCCTTATTTCTGTTTTATTTCCTATCTTCTTCAGCACATCGACAGCACCGCTGCCAACAACAATAACAACAACAACAACAACAAACAAGAACAGCCCACAGCCCACTCTCATCTCCATCTATTTCCTTATTTTCTTTTGTCTCTGTCTCTTCAGTCCCCTCAACTTGTCTGCGACACCCATCCATTTTCGCAGAGCCCAGCGCCGACCAAGCTTTCTCTCAAGCCCAAAGCACACATCAACCATTTATTTCCTCGTGTTTTTCATCCCAACCACAATCGCACTCACAATGGCCATGGGACGAGGCGGATACAACACCCCAGCTGCTCCCCAGAAGGGCCGCGGTGGTTACAACAGACAGGGCCGTGGCGGATACAACAGAACCCCCGTCGTCCAGGGTCGCGGTGGATACAATCGACAGCAGGCTGCCCAAGGTCGTGGCGGATACAACTGAATTTCTCCCATGTTTCTTTCGTCGCCGATACGACAACACCCGCCACAGGAACCGTGTTCCATCGCCATGCCCATTCATTCGACATATGACTTGCGTGATCCCGGCTTCGATCACCATCCACTCTCTTGCGACAATGTCCCAGCTCTTGATGAGCATCTGTTTCTCTCGGCAACTTCATTTCCCAACGCAGAACCTGTACAGCACCAAAAGTTCAGTCATCTGCACATATTCCTCATGGACATTTAGCGGCATTTCCAGGCGGTTTTTTTTTTTTCTCTTTTCAAATTTGGCATATAATCACACCACTTTGCTCCGGAAGCATGAATAATTCAACAAGGCGCAGGAACGCAAAAAACATTTGATCATTTTCGGGAGTTTCAGGGTACACATGGGATATTAATGGAATCCAGGAAGGGGCATTGCATTGGGGGCAGGTCTTGGCATCAGTCTTTCTTGCAGTCTTTCTTTTGAAACATATTTCCCCATTCTTTTGGAGAGTCGAGGTGGGACCAGGGGGCTTCAAGGGGCGCAGCCAGCCCAGAGTGTGGATCAACAGGACAGATGCGACGCCAGAAAGAGCCCCAGAATCTATACAGACACATTGGGAGATAGATACCCCAGCATGAACATGCGATCACGAATGTCACAGTTTTGGACCTTCAAGACCGATTTCTTTTTGCAGAAAGTCTTCCCGACGCAGTAGAAGGAACAACAACAAATGGAAGTAAGCGAGAGGAAACCGGAAAGAAGTCTACTCACTTTTCGAAAACGACTCCAAGGATGTCCTCCACATCACCGGATTCTCCCTTACCCGTAATCTTGGCAAGGCAGTCCGCCGCGAAACGGAGATGTTCCGCTGCAGTCACGATATCGATTGCACCATCTCCAGGTCCATCTCCATTCACCTGTACTATATTTGGACCGACGTGGTCATCGTGGCGATCAGGGCGGTAATCACTGGCGAAATTGCACGAATCGGAGATTTCCGTTGTCTCTGTATGCAGGTAAGACCGAGGCTGCGACTGGCTCAGGGCAAGGAAGTCCTCAAGATGATGTAAGCACTGCGACAGGTACGTAGTCTGCCGATGCGTGACCGAGAGAGAGGTGGTCCAGTAGGCCCGTGCTTCTGCTGGCGTCATTCTGGCATTCGCAATGTCTTCGCTGGTGGATGCTGTCGTCAATTCCATGAAGGAGCTAGTCAGTTGTCTGAGAAATGTTTGAATACCGCCGGGGTCGGAGCCCATTGAGCTATTTGCTGCACCTTTGCAGGATACCATGCATAACCGTCGCTCAGAGACCGTTGGAAATATCTGACGGATTCGTGTCTGCAAGGCTCTCATGCGTTCTTGTTTTGGACCATCATGCATGTCCAGCAGGTCAATCTTATTCAGAACGACCAGAATAGTCTTCCCGGCAGCATCGCATTCCTGCACTGCCTCAAGAACTTGTCCGTTGATAGGGACTTGCGGATTCCCATCTTCATCCATTTCGACAGACAACAGTACCAAAACAACGTCGGATTGCATGGCCCGCTCTCTTGCTCGACGTATGCCTTCTTGTTCCACCAAGCCGACAGGTTGTTGCTGCTGTCCAACAGGCCCCATGGCGCGTAGACCGGCCATGTCACCCAGCCGGCATAGCCAGCCATTGAGGTCAACCGAGACATCGACAATGTCTCGAGTAGTCCCTTCTTCGGCACTGACAATGGCAGCTTCTCGCCCGACAATTCGATTGAGCAAGGAACTCTTGCCGGCATTTGGTGCGCCCAGTAAGGCTATGCTGATGCCATTGCGCAGCAGTTCACCCTTAGATGCATTTTGCAGGTGTAGCTCAATCTGTCTCTTCAGCACGCTGACTTGTTTTGAGATCGAGGCCACAAACTCTGCTGGCGACTCATCAAAGTGCTGATCTTCCGAAAAGTCGATCAGGGCCTCTAGCTCTCCTCGAGCGTATAGTAGCATGGTACGCCATTCCTCGTATCTTTTGGAGAGTCCGCCATCTGCACCGCTGACAGCTAACCGACGCTGTTGCTCTGTCTCGGCTGCGAGGGTTTCGCCCAATGCTTCGGCCTGCGCGAGGTCCAATTTCCCATTATAAAATGCCCACTTCGTGAACTCGCCAGGCTCAGCATGTCTCACTGTTCCGCCTCTTCCCTGCGTCAAATGCCCGCATTTTGATATTGCGTCCAAAACCGAGCGAACAATGGCTCGACCACCGTGAACGTGCAGCTCGAGCACATCTTCACCGGTTACTGTGTGAGGAGCGGGGAAGTATAGGACGAGTGCTCCCGTATCAAGGACTCGGAGATCCGAGGACTGTGGGTCGTTGGGATCATAAAGTCTTCGTAGCGTCGCGGTGCGAGGTTTTGGTGGTGGACGACTCGGGCATAGCAGTCTGTAGATGTGAAGACATGCTGGGCCAGAGATACGAATGACTGCTATGGCAGCTCGACCTGGGGCAGTTGATAATGCATATATTGTGTCAGAGACGGTATGCTCGTACGTTCTTGCGTGCCATTCTTCTAGATCAGGGACCGCCGCGAACGAGGAAGACGACTGAAGGCGCCGGGAAATTGGAGGCGCAACAATGCGAAGAGCGCTGAAGCCACATGTTTCAACACGATGTTGCCACAAAGCGCAGAAGAGGAGATGGTTTCTTCTCAGGCCTCGAAAACCAATGCGACATGGCATTCGAACGGCTCCCTACAGCTCCTCACTGAATCCGGAGTACGTGTTGGAAATGGATTCACAGAAGATACTCGGCGGGTCGGTACAGTCACGTAATAGGGCTCTGTAGGGCAGGCCTTGGCACTATTGGGGTCGCGTCTAGTATCGCCTATGGCTGGATCAGGCTAGTGCGATGCGAGGTAGTGACATTTGTCTTGGCATGCCTTCGAGCATTTCTACGTCCAGCGACAACAAGGCCCTTTCTCTTTCTTCTTCTGCTCTTTAGCTTGTTGTTCTTGATAGTAGCAACCCATTGCAATGAAATCACGTCCTGATTTCACACATTCACAGCTTCAACATCCGGAGTCTCATTGAATGAGGCAGAGATGTCAGCCGGTCAAGAACAGAATAAGTTTGGTGATGGCGCCAGGTAATGATGCGGGTGACGAATTGGTCAACTATTTCCATTTTCGTCTGAAGAGGTATGTACTGTACAAAGAGCGAGTGGAGAAAGCAACTAAAGCTGATGTTATCTAGCTTCTTCGATTCTTCGAAGTTAGCTAACTTTACCATTAAACCAAAGGATCGTGAATTTCAAAAATTCATAAGATAGCCCTGTGTGGCCAGTCAAAGTACTTCGATCACTTATGTGAGCGCGAGTCGAATTTATGGCTGAATTCTGTTCAGCTACGAGGAGGACTATCTTGGACGCTGACATATAGGCTCCAGAAAACTGTCGATAGGGTGATCGAGCCTAAAGAAGACGACCCGCGCGCCGTTGAAGCAACGATCCGCTTTATGTATGGTTGTGATCGCGACAGCGGCATTACGATGGCCCGATATCTCCTATGCACTTCAATGCGGAAGTGTATAGAGTTGCGGTGGCCAATTCGAGGCGAAACTTGTCGGTGGAGATTATTGCTGCCTGAATGCGGTACAAGCCGTTTTGAGTCGGACTGGAGTTTACATTTGCTGGAAGCCAACACCAAATGACAGATTCTCTATCATGGTACCACAAGTGTGTACCAAAATCTTGTGTTCTGGCGGAGCAGGCCACGTTCAAACTCGGCTCCTCGTCCATGCCTACTAGCCATGCATCAATTGACAGGCTGCGTCGGTGCATTTGGGGCCTGGGCCGTGGAGCTCGATTTGGGATAGATCCTGCCGAAGGTACGATGCGGCACCACAGTCTTCTCCAGTCGATACAGCACAGGTGTAAATCAATTGCGTGAAAATCCACCCATCGCCACAACCATTAAATTCTCGAGACCGCGAGATGTCCCAACTGCGTAGATTCATGAAGAATCCGGTCAATTTGACGGCCAGCAGCGCTTGTATGAAACTGATACTGCTGGCGGGATCTTCATGCTTGATGGCGTTGAAGTTGAAGTTGCCTCACAGCCTAGCGCGGTTCACATCGATTAAGGATGATTGGGACATGCATATGTTCTTAGTGCTGCGATGTTAGATACCCTCCCCAAGACGCAATTTTCCAGAACCCATGCTCATCTCGCCAGAATGAGCAGCGTCTTTACCAAGCGAATCGTTCTTCGTTTTAGCATGGACTTCGAGCGTGAAGAAGCGGCTCTCATCGAGAGATTCTTTGCGGTGTTTGGCCCCATCAAACCTGCCGATGATTTTTGCTCCCACCCGATGACCCCCAGTGAATCCTCCAAGATGTGTATTGTCCTCGATGTGCACGGCAAGTCATTTCCAACCGTCGATCTCCTTGCAATAGATTGTGAGGTCTTCAAGGTCTAAAAATAAAATAACGATTTGTAATATGATGATATCGCGCCGTTTTCTCCAAAAGAACCCCCCCCCCCTTTCTGCCCCGGGGGATAACTAATAATTCAAGTCCCAGTCATTTTGAGCGGCTCAACGACGCTGCGGACAACATTGCTCACTCGCGCTGCAGCGATCTCCGCTGGGGCACTGACCGGCTGCATCGGCCTGAGGAATTGGCTGGCAGATACCGTTTGGCACAAGCCGGTCACTCTCCATGCAAATTGGTGCCTTGAGCTTCAAGGCAACTAGCTGAAGTTGATGGCTAAATTGTTATCAATCCCCACGATTCAAGAGCCGCTTCGCTGCAGGAGCTTTTCTATGATGGTCCTGCAATACGCTATCCTCTCGACAGCGGTAGGACGTCCAATCTTGCCATTGCAGGATTGCTAGACTCATCGTCAAACGGCCGCGGCATGCTCGCCGAGTCACAGGCGCTTGTGCTGGTGAAGGTGAGTGGGTGTTACATAGGTGAGACACGGGTCGATCTAGGGTGAAGGCGCGAGGACTTTCACCTACTCACCTTGGCAACGATGGTTACGAGTGACTTCCGAATCGTTTCGACTCCCATGCTAATACATATGGTGGCACCGGGGAGACCGATAATGTACACACGGATCTCGGCACATTCAGAATCAGACTCTTTAACATGATACGATCGTCATTCTTTTTATTACATACACAAAACAACCCTATCTCGCCGTCCGAGGTAAATGGAAAAACTAGGACGCCACGACGCGTACGATCTGAGAATGACGTTCGACCAAAAAAAAACACAATAAGGCATGATCCAATGACCCTGTTTCGAACATCGCCAACTCTTGCCAATTTGCCAACTGTATTGACTCTGCAATATAGGAGGTATGTTGAACGTGGGGAATATAGGTAGAGAGTGCGGTATCGAGTTGTCGGGGATCGGGATCATGCACTAGTTCCTGTGAGACGTTAGCATTCGCGCAGTGGAGTGGAGGTTTGACTGACAATAAGCCGAGAGTCAAGTCGCCGTGGATTTTGGCCTTGAGTTGGACTTCGATGTCCAGATTCAGGTCGAGTCGTAATCTCAATTGCTCGTTGTCTTCGGAGCCGCCGCCTTCTCCCTCACCTTCCTTGCCGCCTTTGCTGTGCAGCAGTCCTCCTAGGGCTTCGTGAGGTTTGCTCAAGGTCTTGCCCACAGTGTCGTTCACGAGATTTCCGGCACCGTCGACGACACCGTTCACTGTGTCGCCGACCTCATCAACTGCATCGAGTGGTCCGCCGCCGCCGCCGAGGAGGCCGCCCTTCCCTTGCTGTTGCGTCTGGGCCTGTGTCTGGGCTTGGGCCTTGCCTCTGTTCCGGTTTCTGTTTCGTCGTCCACCTTTCTGCGAAACGTCGCTTCGATATGCGCTGTCAGCGTCACTGGGTGGCTCACTTGAGTCTCGACCGCGACCTCGGCTACCTCGTCGAGACCCAGAGCGGGCTGACGATGCTGCTTGCGAGTCCATCTTTGGTTGTGGTGTTGGAGGTTGGTCTGGATTGGCGTCTGCCTCGCCTTCGCCGTCTGCAGTTGCTTTTTCACCGTTTGCTTGACCTTTCTGGCTGAGCTTTTTGGGCTTTCGTCTTTCTTCAGACTGCTTTGAGGAGGCGTTTGCTCCAATGTTCGCAGCCCCGGAGGCAGATCCAGCAGCGTCGAGGTTTCCGCCGATATGGGTTTCTTCGGTGGTCTTCGTCTCTTGTTCAGACGACATGGTGGGAGATTGAGAAGAAAGATGTGCTGGGGAGGGTGAAGAGGAGGAGTATACGGACAAGAAGAGGGCCTCGACGTATGACGACCGGGCTTATTGTCCAGTGAAGGGAATCAAGGTTGGCAAGACGCTGAAATTGTAGTTGCAACCCCACACAGACGTCAGGAGGGAGACGCCTTGGGCAATGACCTACGTCGCGTGTGCCTCTATATGCACGCCCATGACGTCGATTGTTGCTGCTTTTGAGGGAGGAGGTGTCTGTAACGCCACAGATCGGCGACACGACCGACAGAGGGGCTGGTTTGGACATTGGAAAAGCCAGGTTTCAGCAAGTTGGCAGGCCAATGGCGGCGAAGAAGGATTCATGTTGCGGGGATGTGGCTGATATTTGGCAGGGGCCATGGCAGGATAATGGGGACGTGTAACAACAAAAATGGGAAGCGGAAAAGTCAGTACCTCGTAGCCACCAAGCCTCTCTCAATCGGCGATGTTGGTGTCAGATTGTGGACATCTCTTCGCAGGCCCTTAGCAACAAGCATCGTCCTTGTACAGATGGATGCCGATCAGGTGCGATTAAGCCGTCAGTGTTTGTCAATATATCACTTAGGTATAAGTAGGTCAATCTTTACCTTCCCAGAGTTCCGAGTGTTGATATAGGAGCAGGCTACTCCATGTTCTGCCGCTGATCAGAAGTCCAAAGATGGTTGAGCTCGCCGGAGGACCGCCGACCCAGCGTCCTCTGGCCAGTGTGCCTTTGGATGTCGGAGCGTCAAGTTTGGGTTGCGCAAGGATGTACGGTAGGCAGCCTTGGTGAGATGATGGGAACGTTAGAGGCGTTGCGTCATCTTGCAGCGTCCGGCTGCCATGAGTGGTTGTAGAGCGCCACAAAAACGCCACACCCCGCCACGCCCCACACCCCACGTTACGTCTTGGCATATTTGCATCCAAAAGTGGCGATGGGCGCCACCTATCACCCGATCCACTGACCAGGATTCTTCCAAGTTCCGAATTCCTGCATTGAACCTGCTCATGCATCAACGTCTGCCCAAATCTTGGCCGATGCACAGATCGCATCACCGTTGTCAGGGCCTGCATCTTCGATCGCGGCGCAAGCAATCCCGCTGCTTCAAGCAAACAAGTATCAGAACTGAGGAGCTCGAGATAGAACAGGTCTGGGGAACATCAGACCCTGGTCGTGATGATGTCGTTGTTGCAGCCTCTTCCCCCGAATGCCTTTTCCGACCTTGCCCTCCCCGTTTCTACGACCGATCCTGCTCACCCGTACCAGTTTCTTTTGGCTCTGATCTCTACCTCTCAAATCATTTGAACACGTAGCGACTTCCCCTCCCATATTTGCTGAATCGCCTGTTCCCTTCCGCGACTCTTTGTCCTCTTCATCGCCCTGTAACCACCATGTCAGAGCCGCAGCAAACACCTACACCGGAAAATACTCCTGGGGGGAAGAAGCCCAGTCGGCCGGGGCTAGAGCGCAGCAACTCTGATCAGTCGACGACGAGCGCTGACGACCAAGGCTATGAATCACGATCCAGATCCCAGTCCAGACGACGAAGACGGCAGAACCAACGACAGAGACAGGCTCAAGCTCGAGCTCAGGCGGGAAATGCTTCTGCAACCTCGATGGCCTCGATTGACGAGGGCTACGAACCCCAACAGCAGCAGCAAGTAGCAAGACGAGCACAGCCTTCGAACCTGCACCCAGGAGAACAGGGACAAAATCCGCAATGGCTGAAGAATCCTGACCCGCGCTCGATAACTGCCTATCAGCCGTTCGAGCGCATCAAACCCCCTTCGGAATCCATGCAAGGGCCCGTGACATACGCACGCATGCTTCGGGGTGAGATCCCGTGGCGAGGACCACCGCCAACCCAACCACTGGAGACCGCGCAACCCATCGACGCCAAGGACAGCAGCGGGAAAGACCCCATGGATCAAGAGTACGTTTATTTCTCAGGAACATTCCGCCCTTGCGTTGTTTACTGACGAGGGGGGGGAACAGTGGCTTGAAGCTCAGGCTAGAGCTGAACCTGGACATCGAGATTGAGCTCAAGGCCAGCATCCACGGCGATCTCACACTAGCACTCCTGTGAGTACACAAACTCCCCCAATCCCTATCTCTTGTGGTGGACAATCTGGTCCTAAAGGCTAACGAAAGGAATTGATCCTCAGGGCTTGATTTGTCTCTGCCGAAAGTCAAGCTGCCCAAGCCGAAATTGCCCAAGTTATTACCGAAAGCCCCGAAGCTGCCCAAGCTACCAAAGCTACCGACAAAGCTCCCCGAATTGCCTCAGCCTGCCGGGCTCGCCAGGTTATGATAGGAAAAGGACAAGAAGAAGATGGGGAAAAAAAGGGACGGGAAGATAATGAAAGTGTGTTCCTAGCAAGTTTTCAAAGTTTCATGTTCATTAGTCAAACTATCATAAATGTTATGGCCGAACCTAGTCTGGACAAAGGGCGTTGGGAGAGACCATTTGCATGTCTGGCCTCAAAGTTGTATCTCTAAATGTACCATCCTTAGAACCCCTTTCCACCTATGATTTCTCATCATGCCGCCCAATAAATCATTGGAAGTGTTCGCCCTGTCCCTTTCCCTTCCAGAACTGAACCGGGCTGCGAGGACTCTTGCTCTCAGGCTCATCGTGGATGGCAGTGTCAAATTGTCCAAACTCGCCCCTCGCACGTTTGACCACCCTCTCGATACCGTCAAGCCCCATCTTTAGCTGTTCCATTTTGGGACCATAGCTGACTCGGACAAAATGGTGGCAAGGACTATCAAAGAGATCGCGTCTCTTTGCTGGGTTCAGGTCGAAGAAGATTCCGGGGACTACGATGGTTCGCTCTTGGAGCTGCAAATCTTTATTAGCTTGTACTGACAAGGACTGAGGCCATAACAATGATTTTGGCTAGAATCGAAAAAGTGTTTGACAAAGAAGGGATCGTACCAGTGCGTCAAAGAAAGAAAGTCCATTGGAGATGTCAAGAGGACTGTTCTTTGGCAATGGCGGCTCAAGCGACGTCAAATCCAACCATATGTAAAAAGTCGATTGCGGGACATTTTGCTCTTTCCATCTGAATCCAATCTCTTCGAGTCTCTTGAGAACGTAATCCCGCTTCGTCTTGAAGTGACTTTGAAGGGCCTTCATTTCAGCCTTGACCTTCGCTTTTGTTCCATGCACGTTAGTGATGTCGTCGAGACGAGCGTCGGACGATAAGCTTGATCTGGCTTTCATTTTTGTTCGCGCCATTGGGGAAGGGAGACTTACGAGGATCAAGCATTGCGACGGCAGCCTCCTGAAACGGTACGTTGCAGCCACCATCGAGATAGCTACCACATGAGCTAAGCGCTTTGATGAATTCTTTCGGACCAACAATCCAAGCGACCCTCCACCCTCTGGCTACGGTGTCAGCGTTGAAGGCGAGATCAGGAAAGACAGAGTTCTGGAACTTTCAGACCTGATACAGGAATTCGAGAAGACTTACGGGAGTCTGAAGCGCTTTGTGAGACCATCAATCAAAATCACATCGTCCCGATCAACGTCAATCTAGCGATCACAGTTAGTCTACTTTGCCATACTCAAGCTTGAGTGTCTATCAAGATTGGTACTTACAACGTTCGATGCAGCGGAGATCGTACTACCGTCGCAGTTGGTGTCATACCTATCTTCCATTAGTGATGAAGAATCACAATGGGAAGGACGGATTATTGGAAAACATGTGCCCGACATATAGCGTAGGTTTCAAGGAAATATTACCTGTAACCGGCGTAGAATTCATCAAAGATCAAGGTCGCTCTGTCCCGACAAATATCTTGAATCAGGGCAAGCTCTTCAGGATCCAAAGCGTGACCAGTTGGATTGCGAGGATTCGAGGTTAAGATGACACTGGTACCACGTGCCAGCTCGTCGGCGATTTTGTCGGCATGGCTGAACAGTTGTTAGCTTCAAACAAACCTCGCAATAGTGGTTACGTTTCTCTAGTGCACTTACATATGATACCCATCGGCTTCAGACAAAGGTGTGGGTATGGCTACAAAGTTGCGAAACAGGGACAACATCTGTATCTGTGTATTAGTCCATGTTGCATAGAAACACTGTTCTCGAACCCATTACCTCATTGTATGCGGTATAATCAGGAATGAAGAAGCCGAGATACGCGTTACCCAGGACAGCAGCGATCCTGATCAGCCCGGCTCTTCCTCCTGGCACAATGCAGACATTCTCCCACGAGTACTGGCTCGCCTTGCCCTGACGGTAGTTGTCGTCTTCCAATTCCCTCAGGTTAGCCTCACTCCCCGACTGATTTGGGGCAAGAACTCTGGGCATAACAGAAGCCTAGAGGTGACAATGTCTGACAGAAAGGAGACGCACTGTACAGCTTTGCCACGGCGGCTCGAAGAGACTTAATGCCTGCTGTTGGCCCATATTCTCGTCCATTGTTGGTCAGAGGAATTGATGATGGGCGAGGAAAACAGCCTTCCTGCGCTCATTCCCAAGATGTTATCAGTAACACAATAACCATAATTTCCGTGCTAGAACCGGTGAAAAATTGCCGTATCGTCGTGGCTGCTGCCAGGGAAGCCGATAAGATGATGAGTGGCACTCACAATATCATCGTCGACTTCAGGTGCGCCTTGGCCCAGATTGGCCCACCTCTGGGGTTCGTCGTGAAAGCCATGGCGCGCTGCTTGCTCGGTGGTCCTAATTCTAGCGTCAGACGTTGATCTGTGGGGAAAGAGAGGGTGGGCTCAATCACCAGATCACCCCAGTCGAAGCTCTTGAAGTGTCGAGGGCTGCATGCGGTTTGTGACTCGGGTGGTCACGGAGGGTTCGGTGTGGACCGGAGATGTTTTCATCTTCAGGATGGATGGAGAATCGGCGACCATCTTGACTGGCGTGCAGTGCCGACCTGGAGACTCGTCTCGCTGAGAAGCTCATGGCTCACGGGGAGAGTTTGGCTTGCTTGGCCCCCTGGGGGAGGTGGAGGAGGTGAGAGACAGGTGAAGTCTGGCAGTTAGTTAAACGAGGGGCTAGTGACGGGCAACAAACACTGGCGATTTGGACTGCGATCCCCAGAGCAGAGGAATCTGGCCCTATTTATTTTGCTGTGAGCGGCGAGACTAGAAGAAGTGCATCCCACAGAGACAAAAAGAAAAGAACGGCTTCCTCATCACTTGGTCGATCGTCTACTGGATGGATTTAAAGGACCTTGATTGCATGGCTAATTTTTTCTGCCGGCGCACGACGTGTGTCTCTCACTACATCACCAACCAGCCACAATCCCGTCGACAGTCACGTCCTCCAGCTCATGTCATCAGCATCCACCATTGACTCGTTTGGGAACAACATTCAACCCCGAGTCACTGATCCAATCGACGGCAATTCGAAGTTCCTGTCACTCCTACCTTCTTGTCACTCTGGTTGAACTTGTCTCTATCCGCCTGCACCGCCTGTAGGAATGCACGCTGACCGTCACCTATTACTCGTATATCGCCCAATGGAACGGGCACATCTCCAACATGGTGGGTACCGAGATCCCGCCAATGCAAGAGTCGCAGGGGCGAGCTCGATGGTTATCAATTGATCACAGGGCGTTGCGCGAAGATATTTTGATGCCTTCTCAAACAATGTCCATGATTTAGTGCATCTATACCTTCTCCCATCTTTCCTGCCCCAAATGAAAGTCACTGTTGATATGATCAAGAGGCAGATTTGAGCTGTTGATTCTTTGTCATTTACCCTTATCATTGTCATGGGTTCCCTAGCAGAAACCAGGCAAGTTGGCCTTAGTGCCGCCATCGTCCACGCCCACGGTGAATATGAGTCGAAAAACCCTCAGTCTCGCAAATATCATGACGAAGCCTGCAAATACATGCCAGGCGGCAACACGCGAACAGTGCTTCACACAAATCCGTTTCCACTGACTATTGACCACGGGAAAGAGTGCTATCTAACAACTGTCGACGGACACTCTTATGTCGACTTCCTAGGCGAGTATACTGCAGGCATCTACGGGCACAACCACCCGGTCATAAAACAAGCGGTCGAGTCCGCATTGCAGGGTGGCTGGAACTATGGAGGTCACAACAAGATGGAGCCGGAACTCGCAAAGATTGTGTGTGAGCGGTTTCCTGCAATGGAGCTGGTCAGGTTTGTCAACTCGGGCACCGAAGCCAATATGATGGCACTTGCTACAGCTCTGGCTTTCACTGGAAAGAAGAAGATCCTCATCTTTTACAAAGGTAAAACCAACCCCCTTGCAGAATCATTGAAAGCGCCTTTCTTTTTAACCCACATAAACCCCAGGCTACCATGGTTCGACGATCTCGGGACGGACACCCTCGGACAAAACCTCGATCAACCTCCCGCATGACTTCATCGTCGGCACATACAACGACGTCCAGGGCACCGAATCTCTGGTCAACTCTCTTCCCAAGGATTCCCTCGCCGCAATCTTACTGGAACCCATGCTCGGGTCAGGGGGTTGCTATGCCGCGAGCAGCGAATTCCTTTCCACACTCCGCCGCCTGGCGACCGAACACGGCGCGCTACTGATTTTCGACGAAGTCATGACTTCGCGCCTTCACTACCATGGCCTCGGCAGCCAAAGGGGCATCATCCCAGACCTCATGACGCTAGGCAAGTGGGTGGGTGGCGGGATGAGTTTTGGGGCATTCGGGGGCAGGAGAGACATCATGAAACTTTACGACCCACGCGACGGAAGACTCCAACACCCGGGCACGTACAACAACAACTGTTTTACCATGAGCGCCGGGATAGCAGGATGCAGACTACTGGACCCAGAGACGATCAACGGCCTGAACGCGCTGGGCGATCGTATGAGGACGGCAATTGAGGCCGTGCTTTCGAAACGGGGCATCTTGCAAGGCAACACAGTCCCGTCAGGCCCAGTCACCGACGACATGCACACCACGCCAGACCACCCACAGCGGCCGCCCAAGATGTTCATCAAGGGCGTAGGAAGTCTCATGGCAATTCAATTCGCCGGCCCTGAGGCAGGCACATTGCAGGACCTCTTCTATCACCACATGCTGGAGCAAGGCATCTACCTGGCGGCAAGAGGATTCGTGGCACTCAACATTATGCTCACGGAGGAGCACATCGCCATGTTCGTTGCGGCCGTTGGGAGGTTTTGCGATACCTGGGACGCCGACTTGAAGTGGTGACGTGACTATCTATGAAGATGCCATGATCCTCGAAAGACTTGCTTGCGCATCCCATCTCGCATATTATATCATATCAAACCGGTTGCAAAGTCTGTCGGATCATAAATAGCAAGAAGAACAATGAACATGTCTCATATTTGAGAACAGCCATGAGGACCCCTATGGATAATGACATTTGTGCACGGAAACTGTTTGACACAGGATTGTCATCCCTTCTTCTGCACCGTCGCAAGACGAGGTGGCGAGACTCAATGTACCACATGCCATGACAGCGCGCTTCACACCTGATCTATGGTCACGATCACACCATGCGAGTTCGTCACCGATATCAGCAGCCAGCCGGCCGTCAAGTTTGTGCGTGGGCGCCTCGAGGAATTGCGCAAGGAGTTCCAGAAGAAGTCGGATGGAATGCACATCGGGCAGACGCTCTTTCCGCTTTCATTGACTACGAGGTACGTCGAGCCACATCCCTCTGCGGCCGAAGAAGGCACGGAAAAGACAGTCTAGAGATCGTAAATGTTGGGCTTGAGGGGGGAACAGGACAATGTATCCGACTTAGGTGGACATGGAAAGGGCGTCCTTTTCAATAAAGACAACTTCTCCCATGGTGTGCACCTCCTACTATGTATCACGAATCTATCATATCGCCGGCCCGAGTCTGGTCTATCTATCTGTGCGTGATACTAGGGCAATCAATAGACCTGGCTCCAAGGGCGTGCGCCTAGTACGGCTTTTTGCGAATCGACGACCCGGGTTACATGACGAACAAGCCTTCACCACCGGTGCGTCTGGACATCCCGATGTAGGATTTCGCGGATCGACGAACCCAAAGCCACTCAAACTGAACAATAAACAGACAGCAAGCAAAGCGGCTCAACAAGGCTCGCACATTCCGTTTTCTCCTCGTCCGTTTAATTGATTGTCACCAGTATGCGCCGCGAGTTGAATCTGCTGATTGCACGCACTTGATTCCGCGCGTTTCTGTGGGTCACAATCACCCTGAAACTTTTTTGCGTTGCTTGCTTGCGTTTGTATCAAAATCCTTTGTTTTTGAACTGCGGACAAACATGCCCTTCAGACACGGACCCATATTTGCCATCATTGCAACCGGGCCCCCGGAAAACCAGCAGACCACAATTCCTACTGCGCTCAAATAGGCCCAAACGACTTTCATATCCTCGACGAACGGAATCTTGGTCGAATATCATCATTCCACCATCCACAAAGCGAAGCCCAAACAGTTGTCATTGACGCCCCCCCGCCTAACCCGCCACAAATCTGACCGACATACAGAATGAGCACAGTGCTAGGATCGCCCCGGCCACCTTCGTCACAGCCAACCACAGCAACAAATGGAGAGCCGACGCCCTTCGAAGTCTTCATTGCCATCTGCAATATTCTAACCTGGCTCCTTGCGGTGTATGTGATCTACCTCCACATCCAGGAAAGATGGGACCTCGACGCCCGTTACCGCGCACGCGTCGAAGCCGAAAGACAGGCCTGGAGTGAGGCAGAGAAGCACTGGAGAGACCCCAGCCCTGCAGAGGACCGAGGGCAAGAGCAGAGATTGCAACAGATCCTCGAAGAGGTTGAAGGGGATCAGGATTGGGAAGATGAGATTTTGGAATGGCATGGTGAGATCGAGGGGCCAACGGCAAGGGAGGTTGAGACTCACACCAACGGTGAGATCGAGGAGGGAATGGAGGTTATGGAGATTCCCGGGCTGGAAGAGTTTGAGCGCGATCATGGACGGTTACGCAGATGGTAAAGAGTTGCGCGGTTCATTGGCGAGAGTTGAGAGTTGTCGTTGGAGGCTGTGTACGCGGACGCTCTCCCTTTTCCTCAATGTTCTGAGAGATCGACCGATCAAATCTAGGGAGGTTGTCTCGAGCCAGAAATCTTGTGCTGTGGCCTTTAAGCTAGGGGAACGATGGTGTACGTCTCGGCGGCTGTGGTGCGAAGCAAATGCGGGTGTCAAGGATAGTGGTCCAACACAGCTGAGATGGACTCAATGTGCCGCTTCGATGGAGGATATGCTGCGAGCTGTTCCCTTCCCAATGCGGTGCATGGAACGCTGTCCGTTGAGTTGTCTCCGCTGGGCTCGATAGTCCAAAGTCGAAGGAGTTGCCGAAAGGCCTGTCGTGGATGTGGCTGCATGTGCTCGATGTCAGTCCGAGCTCAATGCTTTCATTCCGATGCAGCTTCGACGACTGTGTTGTCTCCTTCCATGATCCAATCAGTCCTCGAATCTCTCAGCACATTCATCATCGCCACCAAAACCCTCCTTTTGCTTTGGCTCCATCTTTCTCTCTTTTGCTTTCCTCCTGTTCCTTCTTCTTCCTCTCTGCCTCTACCCTTTCCTTTTCCTCCTGCCGTCTCGTCATCTCAATAACTTCCGTCCTCCGTCTCTCTACGGCAGCAAGCTCCTCCTCCCTCTGCTTCCTCCTGGCCAAAATCCCTTGGAACCACTCTTCCCTCGCTGCATCTTCCTCCGCCTTCGTGGCGTACTGGATCATGCAGCTGTTCATGGCCAAATGTTGGTCGCGGCAATGCCAGGCGACGCTGATGGTGCGGCCGCGGGCGCAATCGGCAAAATCTTTAATCACGTCGGCGCATTTTGTGCGGACACGTTTGTGGTAAAGATTGCGAACTTCAGCTTCTTGAGAAGCAGATAGGGGAAGAGGATTATGAAGGTTATTTTGAGGCTGCTGTCTGCTGCGGGTCGGGAGAGATTGTCGATGTAGTTCAGGGATGATAGACGGAGCCATCTCCATTGTTCAGGAGGCTCTGAATGACTAATAAAACAGATCAGTCAGCTCTACAGAGTCGGCTGTGAGCTGTTCGTCGCAGGTCTGCTTTGCGTGCAATGAGGTGGTCGATGGTGAGCAATTAAACTGGTCTGGAGAGCTCCGAGGACACAAAGTAGCAGGTGTGGAGAAACCTGCGCATGATGACTTTCCAGGGTGCAGGAAATTTCTCCAAAACATCTGAATATTTTGTTGACATCCTACACACAACTATCGCGCTTGGCCTGCCTGCGACCCGTTCCTTTTCGAATCTCCATAGTCCTCTTTCGACGACTGCGCGCTCCCAGGACCGAAAGGAAAGGATGTCTTCCCTCCGCAACGCCGTCTCCCGGCGCCCACACAAAGAACGATCTCAACCCACCTCTCGCGAAAAATGGGGCTTGCTCGAAAAACACAAGGACTACTCCCTCCGAGCGCAGGACTATAATCTCAAGAAGAAAAAACTTTCCCAACTGTCGCAAAAGGCCAAGGAGAGAAACCCAGATGAGTTTGCCTTTGGCATGATCAGTCAAGGGAGGGCGGGGCTGGGAAAACACAAATCCAAGCAATCTGGCGACGACGATAATGATAGTGCTGGGAGCAAGAAACCAAGAGAAGGTGTCCCATTGAGTCACGACGCGGTCAAGTTGCTGAAGACACAGGATATTGGGTACTTGAGGACCGTGGCGGCCAAGGGCAGGAGGGAGATTGAGAGATTGACCCAAGAGGTGGGCATGGATAGTGTTACGCTCGGAAAGTCGAGGACAGGGACGAAGGAGACGTTCGAGGACGATCAAGGTGAAAAGGCAGCCAGAGGGAAGAAGCGGGCATTGAATGGGGAAGTGCTACAAGATCAATCTCAAGAAGAGGCCGAAACAGATCAACCTATGCAACGAACTAAGATGACGACGACGACCACACTGATCCAAGTCATTGAAGACAAAGACGATCCACCGAAGCCAAAATCCAAGAAAGCTATCCGAGCGGAACAAGACGCTCTGAGTCGTCTGCGTGTCGAGCGGAAAAGGAGGAAACGCCTTCAGGATATGCGCGTGGCAAAGCTCGAGGCCCTGAAAACTCGACAGCGAGAAGTCCTTGCCGCGGCCGACCAGTTGGAGTTGCAGCGGGCGAAGATGGCGAGGACGGTCGGTGGGGTGAATAAGAATGGAATCAGGTTTAAGATTAGAGAGAGAAAGAAATAAGAACCGGAGGTCCAAGGCTTCTCACGACACAAACAAAGAATCGAAATGAACCATGACATCTAATGGGGTACGATGTATTGTTCTCTTCTGGGACAAAGTGCTCTAGCGCTCTTCTATGTCAACCAACACAGGAGATAGGGCTGCTTCTGCTTACACACCAGCAGCCACAGCCTTGGTGATGACCTTGCTGAAATCGGCCTCTCTTCCTAACAACCAACTCATGCCCTCGACCTGCTCCCGACGAAACTTTTGACTTGCCTCCAAAAAAGGGAAGAATCCCCAATGCCCATGCGGCTCCCCAGGGTAGATATACATCTTGGTCTTGATCCCATTTTCTTCCCGCAGGACGCGCTCATAGATGATCGCCTCATCTCTCAGCGGGTCCATTCCGTCAATTTGGAACAGTGCAGGGGGCAGATCTTTGTGACCCTTGGGATGGTTAAAGGGAGCGTACCAGACACCATCGTCCTCGTCAGGCTCGTAACCCCGCATGAACATATCTATCGCCGCAACAGGCAGGACAGGTGCGTTTCGATTTTGTTCATACGACAGAAAATACTGCTGGTACGCCTTTGGGACCTTCTTGTCAGGCAGGACCGCAGGGATTGCGAGGTATTGGCCTGTCAAAGGGGGCGACAATTTCTCGTCTCGCGCGACATGAGCCAGGACAGCCGTTATATTACCTCCGGCCGAAGTTCCTCCAATGACAAAGCCGAGTGAAGGATCGGCGCCCCAGGACTTTGCGTTCGCCGCCGCCCATTTTAGGCAGTCCCAAGAGTCTTTGGGGGCATATGGAAATTTGAACTGGGGAGCAAGGCGGTACGAGGCTGAGATACAGACAGCACCGAAGGCCTGGACAAAGTTGCGACATGTCTGCTCCTCACCCTCTGGTGCTCCAATACAGAATCCTCCACCATGGTACATGACGATTAAGGGGCTTCCGTTCTTGGGTGGGTTCGCGGGTTGATAGAGCTTTGCACGCAGCTTGGTGCCGTCTTCAGCGGGATATTGTAACTCGGTCTGCTTGACTTCTGGGGGAGGTTCGCCCAGGATTTTCATGGCGTCAGCGTTGCGTTTGTCCACCATCGCCTTGAAGTCGTCGAGACTGCTATAGTCTGGCGGAGGCAGATTGGCTTTCTCAAGAAACTATATGGCTCTGTCAGAGGGCGGCTACGCGGAGTCTGCTCGTGTACGAACCGCTTTGAGCTCGGGGTCCATCTGGCCCAGGGCGAGAAGAGACTCCTTGTCTGTGTACGACATGATGACTGGGGGTTGAAGTCTGCTCGTCTTTGGTACCGAAGGCAGCAGGGCTTTGGGGAGATTGGAGTTGTGATTGAATTTCTCGTCTCATCAACGAGGATATAGCAGCTCCTTTTATATTGTGAGGATGATGACTCTCGGTAGGAGGCCTGTCTTATTAATGTACTTCGTACTTCGAATACCTATGCAATCCTCCCACTTTGTTCAGCCGCGGGGCTCCAGACAGTCGATATGACCGGTGGATCAAATCCCCTCAATGACCTCGGCATTTTGTGACGGCACCGCGCGTACTTGAGCCAGTTCGTCGCCGTCCCTCATTCGGGATTCATGAGGCGCTGCTCGGACATAAGAGTAACGGGACAATGCGGGGGTCTTGTTTTCCTACCCCGGCTACATCCCGATCCGAATCGGTGGTGGTTTGTGCCTTCAAACAGATCAGGATCGGAGGCCTCTGCCTGATTGGCCTAGGGAATGCAGATGAATCATTCAACCCTGACAGGCAACTGGGCATATATATATATATATATATATATTAGTCTTGTCAGCAGTATACATGAACATCTTCGGATCTCAGTGGGGGTAAGGCAGTCGTCCAGACTGCGGACGTACGAGTATGTTCCTATCAGCCCCCAATAGCATGTTCATGTACCCAGTAGATGGTTCGAAACACGTCGAGACGCGACGCCAGGCACCGGGGGGGTGGGGGGTGGGAGCGCGAAGAGATGGCATCGTGATTGGAGACAAGGCCCTTTGGCGAGCTCATTGACCTCGTTATTCTACCCAGTACTCGTAAGTACATACTGTAGGTGCCTCAAACCTTATCAGGGCTTCAGCTTCCACATCAGAAGCTTCGTCTTCTTACCCCTGGCCTTGTCACTTCCTGGAATGCTGAAACACGACCCTCGACCTGGCTGGGCTTCACGTGGGCGTATCCAACGGTCAGCAATTACTCGCGTTTCGAACCCAGGCCACCCAAGTTCAGGTACTCTGAATATGTTTGCTTCTGCCAGGTCGATCGGCAATCCCAGCCACCTTTCATTGGTCATAATCTCCCATTATGAGGTAAGGAAGGGGGATGCGAGGAGAAGTACGGAGGAGCTGGGCCCTGACAGTTGTTACAGCACGGCAAGCCACCAGATTTCTAGCCGCGAGCCACTAGAACAAGGTTAGTAAAGTCGTTAGGAATGGCCACTCTCGGGGAAAAGAACTGTGATAGCCCGCCCAAGCCCGCCTCGAGTTGGCATCCCGAGAAGCTGGGCGCCAACTACGGTTTTGCCGGAGCTGTCTCGACTGGATCAGGGAAGGGCGGGCAGTCGCGGGCACTGTTTGGGTAAGGACTGGCGTGTTTTGGCGGCGTGAGCATGGCGGCGCCATCCCGCGGGAACGGGTCAAGGATGTCTCTGGAGGGGCGTTTGGGGCGTTCCATTGTTTTCCAATCGTTCGAGCACAGCACCGGTGCGAAATGTGAACAGGGGTATTCAGGGAGACGAGAAGGGTGGGGTTTGGGAGAAGGAATCGGCAGCGGAAAGTGATTTGCGACTCGAGGACTTACCTCGTAATACCGGGGGGGGGGGGGAATGGGGGCTAGAGGAGAGAGTGAGGACAATCCTGTACTCGAACAATGAGAGTCAGAGTCAGAGTAAGAGTGAGAGTGACAGTGACAGTGACAGCAAGTATGATTGTATGTTGTGGTGTCGTGGTGTCGTGGTATGCGGTGACTGCCCAGTAAGGAGTAGGTGCCCAGTATTGTAGAAGGGAAAGGTGCAGGCAGACCACGCATCACGCCTGCGCCTGTCACATCTCATTGCGGTTTGGTATCGATCTCGTCTGCTGCTTCTGGAGTCTGCAGCTGCACCCTCCGCCTGCACCTGCATCTACTTACCCAGTACCTACCACCACTTGCACCAGCAAGCAGCATCACCACACCAGGGGGCCCTTACTCGGTACTGGGTACAAGCCCTGCTTCCCAAATGCTCCACATCCTCTTGATCCTCTTGCATTATTGTGTGTGTCTGTGTGTGGGGGCTCTTTTTCCGAAAACGAAAGCTTTTTTTGCTTGCTTGCTTGCTTGCTTCTTGTTCCTGTTCCCTTTCCACACACCTCACTGTCAATCCTCTCTCCCACTGGAGCAGAAATCCGCCACAACAAGCCCACGCCTCCCACACGCATCACACACCACCGAGCACAACTTGACTGTCTGTGTCTCTTGGATCTGATTGATTTGATTGCTCGTACTGCCGTACACCTACCTACGCTATTGAATCTGGGAAATCCTTCCTGGGGGCTGTCCCTATTGTCGCGCTTCCATCCCTTGCTCACACCCCATTGATTGGTTCTCTTTGCACCGCAACCACCAACCACACCTCTCCCTTGCCACGGCCGCCATTGATTGAATTGATCAACAGCAGCCAACAATAGCAACCACACGCTGGCCCGCGAGCCTCGTACCATCCCGCCTCCTTCGCTCCCTTTCTCGCCGTCCTATTGCCGTCGCCTGTCTATCTGTGGAACCTGGGGAAGAAACAGAATCTGTCGATTCTTGCTCTGGTGGTATGTCCAATCCCTCCCATTTGCCTCCTTGCTTGCTGTCATTGTCATTTTCTCCCTATCACAGACCTGACAATCTGCTCCCAGACATCCCTCGTTATCGTCCTCGGCGCTGGTCCGCTCCCTGCTACTCCTCGAGTCTCCCTCGAACTCGTCCACGGTCTCTAGCCCCAACTTTGCCACACGCCTTCCAGGCATTCTTGCACTCCCTCGACTGACGGCGTCCCCCCTTTTGCCTTCTCTGCGATATCGACTGATCGAGTCCGCTATAACTAGATAATTTGCTCGATCAATGCGCTGACAACCTTACCTTTGAACCTACTCCCAACCCATCACAATTTCAGCGAGACAAAGTGCTTCAGCGAATATGCTGGCGTCTCCGCCGGCAATGAATGGTGACCATGGGCCAATGTTGGACAAGAACAACATCATAAACGTAAGAGACGGAGAATCGCTCTACCAAATATGTATCAAATTGCGGCGGCGCTTGTCCGGCGTGCCAGGCTTTCGCCCGTATCTCGAGGAGATGGAAGAGCGGGAGGCAGATGGTTCGACAGACCCAGTGTCTTCTCTATGGCAGTGTTTCCGGAGCGGCTTGCCGCTGCTCACTATTTATAATGCTTCCAACCCAGAAGAAGGCGACCTTACCGTTGACACGAGCCGGCCGGACAGAGTAGGGAAAGAGGCAGCATTTCTGTTCATCAAATCATGCATGCAGCAGATGAACATTCCCGCGGCCGACACCTTCACTGTGACCGATCTGTATAGTGACAATACCACTGGATTTGTGAAGGTCACAAAACTGGTGAACCGCGTGCTGGATATATTGAGACTGAGTGGCAAACTCCATCCGTCAACGGACAGTGAAGATTCTCGTGACGGGACGGATGCCGGTTCGAACGCTCCAGAGCAGACCCCCAAGACAATGACGCGGCGACAATATATTTTGAGAGAACTCGTGGAGACGGAAAGACAGTATGTCCACCATTTGCAAAATCTGCAGGCGTTGAAGAAGGAACTGGAAGAAGTAGGCGCCCTAACCGGGGACGCCATCCACAACATTTTCCTCAACCTCAACAATCTATTGGACTTTGCGCAACGATTCTTGATTCGCATTGAGCAACAAAATGAAATGCCGGAAGAGCAACAGAATTGGGGCAAACTCTTTGTTCACTACCGAGATCCTTTCAGACAGTACGAGCCGTTCATCGCCAATCAGAGGAGATGTGAAGCCACTTGCCAACAGGAATGGGACAAGATGGTTGCAACTGCAAGATCACCTCTGACGCAGCAGATGCTTGCGAATCCGACAATCCTCAACGGATTTCTCCTCAAGCCCTTCCAGAGGTTGACGAAATATCCGCTGTTGCTGAAAGTAGGTACTATCTAAATGACCTGGTGGTTCATTGCTGACTGGCTTAGGACCTGCTTAATCAGATTGAAGACCCGACTCTGAAATCGGATCTGACAAGTGCAATTGCCATCATTCAAGATGTGCTCATGCAAGCGGATGCTTCTATCGACAAGGAAACGCGAGACGACGCCCTACAAGACTTGCAAGAGCGGATAGATGACTGGAAGCAATTGCAAATTTCGGCTCTCGGTGAACTTCTTCTGCTTGGAACGTTCAATGTCATGAAAGAAAGCGCCATCCGATCGGATGAGAAAGAATATCACATCTACCTCTTCAGCCGGATTCTGGTCATGTGCAAGGATGTGAATGCCAATAAACCGAAGAACAGGCTGGCGAACAACAAGCCGGCGCTCAGCCTACGCGGCAAGCCCAAGATGAACTTGAAAGGACGGATCTATTTTGCCAACGTCACCCAGGTCATCCCCCAGACAAGTCCCGGGAATTATTCCCTGCAGATTTCATGGAAAGGCGAGTCAGGCATTGAGACGTTCAATATCAAATTCAAGAACGACGACACCCTGCAAAAATGGCATAACTTGATCGAGACTCAACGATCGGCTTGCATGCTGGAGTCCAAGACAAGAGGCATATCTGAAACCCATCTTCTTTCCTTGCAAGGGGCGAATCTAGAAAACCCGTACCTTGCACAGGACGAGGACGACGACTACAACAGACTCTCCGGCACAACCTATGGCGGGACTGATGCAAACGGTTACTCCGAGTTCAGCATGAGCAGAAACGCCTCAAGCACCAGTCTTCGGTCGCGTTCCGCCACGGGAGGCAGTGGAGGCAGTGGCCCTCAGATGTCGGCGAACCGCATGCGAGTGCCAGCTGGGGAAATTGGGGCTCTTTCCTTGAATACTCGAGGTCTCCCTCTGGCGTCCCCGCAGGAATTTAATGGCGGCTCATACTTTTCTCCCATTGACCGGGATACGCCCCCCGGGTCATCAATGTCTGCTCGGTCGAGTTCACAATCCGCATTTGCGGGATATCAAAGAGGAACTACGCCAGTTAGCGGCGGCATGCACCCTCCAGAGTCACATCGAAACACTGCTCCCGCCATGGCTCGAAACCCCAATGGTCAGACAAGTGGAAATCCATACCTGGCTAACGGTCGAAGTCGGGGACAATCGTCGGGTCCAGGTATGGGAGTACCTCGCATGCGATCCGCAAGCAGTCCCGACGTGCACCCCATGGTCCAACAGGGCCGCAAATATACTGCGGCCGAGCATGTCCCCAACGTGCCCCCTATCCCCGCCCACATGGCCAAACAGATGGCCCCTCCGAGCAGGAGTCAAAGCAATTCACCTAACAATGCCCCTCCGTCACGGGGAAGTACTCCACATCAACAATTCGGGCTACCGTCTGCGCCGCGGCCTGCCATGCCAAGTCATGGTTATAGTTATGACCAGTCTTATGGGCATGATCCCCGGCGACCTGGACATGCATCATCCCTATCACAAGGTCGGGCCTTCTCACCCCCGGTATCATCGCCTTCAAGTGACGGTGAGCCATACATTCCAAGTCAACTCAAAGCCAAGGTTTGCTTCGATGAAAATTATGTCTCGATGATCATCGCCAGCAACATTCAGTTCAGATCATTGGCAGATCGGATCGACGCAAAGCTAGCACGGTTCACAAATCATTCCATCGCCTCCGGATCAGTTCGATTGCGTTACCGTGATGAGGACGGCGATTTCATTCTTATCGACAGTGACGAAGCAGTCCATGAAGCTTTATTAGATTGGCGTGAGACGCATGCTGCAAACTCGGCAAACCCGCAAAATGCAGAGCTATTGTTGTTTGCACATGCCGTCCATGGCGAGACCATAGTGAATGGTTGAAGCAAGAGCGACAGTCTGGACCACGGAACGTTGGACGGATTGAGTCTTCCACAGAGAGGCAAATTTTCCGAACCTGAGAAGTCTCTCGTGCCTGCTCACCACAAATGACCTAGGTCAATTTAACCAAGCAGCGTCTCATTCTCATACAGGCATCTATACGCCCTAGCGAAGACATTGACATACTGGGGCGACTGATTATACCCCCTGGGACAGGGTCAGGAGTACACTGAGACGAGCTATGATGTGATGGGTTATGATGTTGGATATGGTTAAAAACAAGGAAATGAGAGGGAGTACAGAAGAACAGCGCCACCGTAGCGAGTGAGGATATTGAAGCCCTGTAGAGGACAAGAGGTAGCACTGGTGGATGGAAGTGAACTTACTCGATATCTTTATCGATAGCTGTTGTCAGAAATTGGCAATATATTATCAGCATCTCTTTTGTTGCCGGGAGAGGATATAATGCTGAATGCTTCCGAACTGATGTGTTCAACCTTTATTGATACGTACAATAAAAGCTCATGGTGCAACGACTTGAACGAGCTCCTCATTGCCAGCATCTGGAAGTGTTGATTGATCAAAAGGTTGTCCCCCGTTATTCAGTACGGGGACTACGGTAGACTATATAGGCAGTACTGGGTGGCTGGGCTGGATCACGTGACTTCCCAACCTTTTTAGTTTAACAGGAAGCACCTGCTTAGCTTTCCATGAACCTCCCTTATATTTCAGTATATCTATTCTGTGCAGTGCGTGTAGCCTATAATAGGATAGAAAGGCCAAGCGCTCTTTTTGAGGGCGCTGATAGAGGCTATGTATTATTTCAGGCACAGTACTCTGTAAATACTATGTGGCAAGGAAGGAAGTTGAGACGGCGAGCGAGCTAGCCGTTTATGAGGCTCGTTCCTGGAGATAGAGAGAGCGGAAGCTGATAAGCGATATAGGGGACCGTCAAAATTTCTTCTCTTCAAAACGATGGTGCACGTCGACGACGTCGTCGTCGTCGTTACGGCCCTCGGAAGAGCCCAACTTCCTTCCCTGCGCATCGTGCTCTCTGTCCCAAGCCTCCAGCCTGTCCAGCGGAACCTTGACGAGCTTGTGCGTGACCTCGCCGCCGTCCAGGAGCACCTTCTCGTGTCTGACCCGGTAGCCTCTCCAGCGCGGCACTACGTGCACCCAGAGCACGTAATAGACGGCACAGGCGACGAGGATGCCGATGCCCGTCACGACGTAGGTCGCGTACCAGAAACTGACATCCCCTCCCGTCGCGCCGCCCGTCGGCGGATACCACGGCATGATTAGCATGTATAGGTTGACGGCGATGGTGAATACGACGGCGACGTGCCATGAGCGGAAGCGGTATGCCTTTGACGGCGGAGGCACGTTGAGGCGCCTGCGCTGGTGCCGCACAAAGTAGATCCCGACCGCCATGAGGAAGTTGAAGAACGAGGCAGGGTAGTTGGCGAGGTCGACGACGAAGTTCTAAAAAGCCATGTTCAGCCATGGCTCAGTCAGCCAGTTCAGTCAATCAACGGTCGATGTGCCCCCCTAAACTCCCCGACTTCTCCTTGAGCTCTCAGATATGTAATAGTGATGGAAGGGTGTTGTTGCTTACAAAAGCATCGCCTGCGGGGGGCGCGAGGATCATGAGCATTGTCAGCGCCCATTTAACGAAGTAAGGGCCCAGGGGAGTGCCGAAGGGTCGAGTGCTGACCCAGAAATTGGGAAACGGAAGAGTGCCTTGGCTAGATAACTAAGTCAGGAGCTGGAGCGACCTTTGTGCCTGTAAGAGGAGGCCCGGCGAGGAGTGAACATACCGACCACACTCTCTGATCAGTCTCGACTGGCCCAACAACACCGCCACCAGATTGCCAAATGCGCTCAATGCGATCAGAAAATTGAGACCTCGGACAGCTCCGCTCGACCCAAAGACATGTTGGAAGAATAGACTGGCTGCGACCTGCGATGACTTGACCAATTCTTCCTTGGGCACCGCGGAGAAATATGCGACATTGGCCAGCACATAGAGCGTCGCCACAATGAGGAGTGACAGGCCACCCGAATTGCGAATAGAGCGGACAGGATTCTTGACCTCATTCACGACATTGAAGGCATTCTCGTAGCCTGCGTAAGAGAAGATGATCTTCACCAGGGCGTTCGTCACGCCGTACGCCGAAGCTGATGTGCCTTCAAATCCAGAGAATGCGTTGCGAAAGTTGGCGTGGGGATCTGGGACGCGGGAGACATTTCCACCGAGGACGACCAGGCCGGTGATGGCAACAAAGATCAACGTTAACAGCTTGACGAGACCAATAGCGTTTGAGACACGGTAAGACCAGCGAGTTGAGAAGGCCACAAAGAGGAAAGCCAAAGTGTATCCTGCCACAGCGCCGCCTTTTAGTGCCCAGGCCGTTGGAGTGGAGCCACTGATCCGGTACAGGTACTGTGCGAGGACAATCGCATTCGAGGCGCTGAACGAGAGCAACACGGACTGAATCGCAAAGGTGACAGGGAAAAGGTACCGCGGACGTGGGAAGGCCTGTTCCAGATAGACGACTTCACTGCCCGAGCGGTTTGGAAAATAGCTGGCGAACTCCAGGTAGACGGATAGAGAAGCCCCAGCAATGAGGAAGCCGATAAACCAGTAGATCAGAGCAAAGCCGACGCTGCCTGTACCCTTGAGAATGGAAGCCGGTGTTGAGTAGACGCCAGTACCGACCATCTTCGATAGGTTAAGGAACAGAATGGTGACATTGCCGACATGATAGCCTAGAGGTGAACGGGTCTCGACCGGCGCGCCAGATACTTCCTGGTAAGAAGGCTCGTTGCTGTTCTCACCCTTTTCGACCGCGTACTTGAGGTTGCCTTCTGCGAGAAAGGTAGTGGCAACGAGATCGTTCTGACCGTGAACAGGAGTCGGCGAGTCTGCTCGCTTCCTCCACTTCAATGAGACCATGGCCTCGAGAGCTCATATATATCCTCCGACAGCTGGATTGTACTTGCCGTTACTTGGCCGTGGGAAGAATCCTCTGCAGGCACTTTATATAGACGAACTCTTGCTCGAAGGTACTTGCGCAATTGCATGGCGATATGCAGAAAGCAATCAACCGCCACAGGGTATCATCGACAGTACAACTCATGCATGATTGTCGTGCTTTGCAAGGGGTATGGCGTCGTTTGACGACCCAATGGGTCCCTGCAGCAATCGTCAATCTCGGCATTCATCGACATGTGCTATATCGACGTGCTCAACGTAGCAAATGGTGCAATATGCCGAAAACTGATATCCCTACTCTCGCATAGCCGAAACTATGGATGCACATCTACACCTCTACAGGAATCCGACTCGCTAACGGAGCGATAGATGTGGAAATTCTCTATTCTCTCTGCCAAAGTTGTCCTGGGATCGTGGCATCGTCGATTGCCATGTGCTGGAGGAATCAATGAGCGATGTTCTATTGAGCGGCCTTCAGAGATCCATTACTAGCGCTTCGCACATACGGCTCCAATGGGAAGACCTGCCTATCTGTGGCCACACCATGGTACAACTGCGCCCATTTGGATGTCAAAGCACTCGGTGTTTCCCAACAATACTCTGGGTCCCGAAGCCAGAGGCGAACGAGGTGGCGTCTGCCAGCAGCTGTTAGCACGGGGACCTCCGGAAATCAATCAATGAGACTTACTGCCGCTCCGGCGTGTCCTTGAAACCATCACGCGCGTGGAAAACTGCCAAATTATTCACGTACTGGATATCGCCTTGTTGGAAATCCAAATCCAATTGAAGCGCTCTCCGAGGAAATGTACCGCATCCAGCGCTTCAGCCTGTGTTTCTGTGATCGGAGGGATTGCCGTTGAATGAGGCAGGGGACCAAATCCCGTGAAGTATCTTCGAGCATACTGCAGTACCACACGCTCGGGGATCTTTGCCGTGGCCGGTTGATGAAACAGGAGGGGCTTGGTCGCATAGGGCTGCTCAGAGTTCCCAAAGTTGTCAGCGATCCAGTCTTGTGATAGCGTCTCAATGAGATCTGGCCTGGTTGCTGCCAATTCATTGTAGACTCGCCAAGTGCTTGCACAGTCGACTTTTGCCCCCGTCAGCGGCTGGGTTCAAGCAAAACAATGAGACAATATCACCACTGTCGGTGTGGAACACTTGCTTGTCAGCCGTGTAAGCGGGGGGGCCAATGCTGTCTTTTCTTTGCTTGCGCTAAGGTCTTTGATGTGACTGAGGACTACATCTGCCGGCTCACCATTGTACCGACTGTCTTGGCGTGCCCTAAGAGAAGCATTATGCGATGAAAGGTCAGCAGAAAGAATGATGTTGTCCTCCCGAGAATATCGTGTGACAGGATTACCCCTGATAACTTTGAAGCCATGGCCGAAATGCAGTTCTCGTGAGATATCACGAAGAGCAAAGTGTAGTTTCGGTAAAGGGAAAGTTGTTTCGTCAATGTAGCCCGGAGGCGTATTCAACGCTATATCAAGATCAGTACCAGGCCCTAGGCATCAGATCGACTAACATTTAAAGTGTGCAAGGGCGTGTTCAAGTTCCTCAATATGTTCGGGGCTCAGGATAAAGTTCCAATCGAAATCATTTGCAATGGAGCCTCCCTCCCACACTAATTCTGACTTCAACTGTCGTGTGAAGCCTGCAGGCAGGTTTTTAGTGGCAAGAGTTTCCTCAGTTTCAAGTCTGCGCTTAATTCGCGCTGTATACTTGTTGTAGTCAGGGGTGTACTCAATGTCAGGCTGGCGCGCAGTTGCAACCGCGGCTGCTGCCGAATCGATGTTGCGATCCAGATAGTATTCAGCATCAGCATGAAAAAGGCGGTTTATATCGACGACTTGGATGACGCAATCAAACAGATCAATGGCGTGGACCCAGCACGGTGGAAGCCTTTTCGTTGCTTGTGACCACTGAAGCGGGTGCATAGAGACAAGTACCCTGAGAAAGATGGAGTGTATTGGGGAGCATCTGCAGCACTTTGGAGACCGAGGGGACCTTGGAAACACATGTCCTGATGACTCGGTATGTGATGGGATTTTGTCGAGGTCGTAGGATGCTCAAGATGCTTTCGAAGGCTATTTGTTAGTGCTAGGATTGGAGTTTAAGGAAGGCTTGGCCGCTAGTCCCGAAAAGGGTTGGGCTGACCGCCTTCTTTCGACACCTTCAATTGTTGACCAAGCTCGACCGCCTTCAATCCATCACTCACTTCGGCACAGACAGACAGAGCCTGCCCTTTGCTTCTCAGATATCAGATTCGCAGTCCGCTTGATTTCGCACGGATAAGTCTATCATTTGTCGTAAGGGTACAAACACTGATACGGCGTCCGTTCACTGACTGAGCGGTTCATTACAATCAATATTACTGTCGATATCGCAATAGAAGCACGACCTAGACAGCAGTCTCACACACAAACCCCGTTAGATATATCAGGCCACAATGTCCACCACCACCACTCCTCTAGCTGCCACCGACATGCCCTCGGCGATGCCCAAAACAACAGCGCGCGGACCTCCAGACTCCTCGGCCATGAAAACGCGCATTCTCACCCACATGAACGCAGACCACCAGCTCTCCCTGCGCCTCTACCTACAACAACACTCCCACGTCCCTTCGCCCGGCACTGTCTCGGCTCAAATGCTGGACATCACAACAGAGCACATGATCATCTCATCCAGTTTTGGACGTCACGTCATCCAACTTGAGCCGCCGATGAAAAGCCTCATGGAAGCCAGAGAGAGACTTGTCACTATGCATGAGCTGTGCCTTAAGCAATTAGATTTGTCGGATGTTGTGGTGGAGAGGTACGTGCCACCCGATCGGGCGTGGCAGTGGATGCTGTGCGGGCTTTGTGTGTTGATTTTCACAACATTCCCTTTTCGTGAGTTACTGAGACTGGAGTCCGGGTCATGGATCTCCAAACTATGGAGTCTTGGTGGTGTGGCGCCTTGGTTGGCCAAACTGAGCTATACGCTAGCACCAGCAGTGCTGGGTGTGATGGTTACTGTGCACTGCGGTGAGGCAATGTGGTTTATTCAGAAGAGGTTGAGACGACATTGGGTTGAATGGGGGTCGGTGACGTGGTGGTGCTGGGTGCTTGACTGTCTTCTTGAGGGAGTCGGGTGTCTTACGAGGTTCGATAGGGTGGTGAAGAGGATGGAGGCGGAGAAGAAGGGTGGAGGCAAGCATTGAGGGGATGGTTCTGAGAGGACAACAAGGGGACAAGATGACGCCGAGGCTGGATCTTTGGTCAAGGGCGCAGTGGATATAGCAGTCATCCTGGTGCTGCGAGGCTTCTCCCAATAAATCCCTACCTAGCAAGTACATGTAGGCACTCATGCTCTCTAATTATCGGGTTCGCGGAGGGGAGACCGGGGAGGGGGGTTTGTACGGGGCTGGAATCGGTACCCCGCCCTGTCAACCAAGCTTGATTTGACGCCCGGCGTCTGCCGGTCGGGCCGGGAATAGCGGCTGCTTTGTTGGTCTTGGCCTTGGCAGGTACCTTCTCCGTGATTTCCGCCCTGCATCCTCAACTTCCTTCCCCTTCCTTCGGTCCATCCTTTCGTGTCAGCCATCGCCACCATCGCTGTGTTCTTGTCGGTTATCTGCTCTCCTACCCTTCAATTCAACTTGACAATGCGTTATGACAATAACCGCGATCCCGATTCGGGGATATCTTGAATTTCAATGGCGGAATTGCCCCTGCCAGACATCATGGAAAGTAAGCACTTTTGTGTCCGGATCTCCCTGCCTTTTCCGGACTTGCTGACCCCCTTTTACCACAGAACCGCCCTCGTCCCACGAAGCCGAGCTCGACGGGCCCAAGAAACAGAGTATCGTCCAGCTGGTCGCTGCTTTCTGCCGCAAGCTTGTCCAACACCCATTCTCCGAGTTCTCCTTTATTCAATGGCACTACTTCTACTTCATCGTCACCTGTCTGATGTCCAGCCTCATTTTCTGGGGCTCATCCACCCCGGCAAAATCCGTGACGTATATTGACAGTCTGTTTCTTTGCGTTTCAGCCATGACAGAGGCCGGATTAAATACGGTCAATCTCTCGACGTTGAATACTTGGCAGCAAGTCATGCTATTCCTTCTCATCATCATAGGCTCAGCAATTTTTGTCTCCTCTTCCATCCTCCACATAAGGAAACGAGCATTTGAGAAGAAATTTGCCGAACTTGCCGAACGACGCGTAAGAAGACGGCTCCTCAGGCCTCGGACACTTACCTTTTCATTGTCGAGAAGAGACCATGTCAACGGCAGCGAGCGGGAGGCCGCCGTAGCTTCCGGCGCCGTACGTGGACGCCCCATACTGGCTGCTTCCGAGGAGGATGAACAGAAGACTTCGTCTAAGTCGCGAGAACGTGAACGAACGGCGGGAAGCGGAGCTGGTACGCGGCGAAATTCAGCAGCGAATGGGACTGTTTCTGCTGTCAATAGGACCACTTCCAGTGACCCAACCGCAAACCACATCAGGTTCATAGACCAGCATCCACCTAGTGAACTGGCTGAGACCCGGTCCCGAAATATTCGGCGCAGTCCAAGTTTCTTTGAGGGAAGGGGTGTTGGTGCTCGAACACTCGACAATCATCCGCGCAACGCCCAACCCTTAGGATTCGACTCTTCAGTGCCAGATTCAGCCATTGAGGACGATCTCCTATCCTCCAGTCCGCTATCGAACCAGCTTAACAAATATCTTGACACTCTCCATGGATATCTTGGAAGGAACTCACAGTTTCATCATCTTAGCGAAAGGGAGAGGAAAATGTTGGGAGGCATTGAGTATGACGCGATTAGCCTGCTTTCCTGGCTCGTGCCCACCTATTTCGTGCTATTCCAGCTGTTAGGTGCCATCGGTGTTGGCGCTTGGATTACCGCCAACCGTCCGAATATGACGCGGAGAAATGGGTAAGCGATCCGAGGCCCCGAGAGGACAGAAAATAAGCTTATTTTTGACATAGCCTCGACCCTTTCTGGACCGGCGCCTTTTTTGCGATCAGCGCGTTCAACAACAGTGGCATGGCCCTCCTGGATGCCAACGCAGTCGCTTTGAACAGGAGTTACTACTGCCTTCTGACGCTTAGTCTGCTCATTCTGGCAGGGAATACTTTGTTCCCGCCTTTTCTGCGAGGCATTTTGTGGACATTCAAAAAGCTGATTCCAGAACACTCTTCTTCACCAGACTGGCAGAGACGAAGACGCACCATTCAATTCTGCCTTGACCATCCACGAAGAGTCTACACGAACTTGTTCCCCAGCGTGGCCACATGGTGGTTATTTGCCTCGGTTGTTGTTCTGAATGCTGTTGATTGGGTTGCGTTCGAATTACTTAATATTGGAAATCCAGTGGTTGATTCGCTCCCCCCGGGCTTTCGAATTGTGGCCGGATTATTCCAAGCGTTCGCTGTGAGGAGCGGCGGTTTCTATGTCGTCTCCATATCAGGTCTGAGATCCGGGTTGCTGGTGCTCTACGTTCTCATGATGTACTTGAGCGCCTTTCCAGTCACCATGACAATCCGGAACACGAATGTCTACGAAGAGAGATCGTTGGGCATCTTCGCAGACGAACTCCCGGTATACGAGGAAAACAACGGTGCTGCAGGGGAGGACAAGAAAGGAGGGTTCCTGAGTGGTCTCCGGCGGACCATCACAATGACCCATGGTGGCCAACCCCGTAGCACTTCTGCCTGGAATCGACAGGATTTTGTCAGACTCCAATTACGTTCACAATTAGGCCACGACTTATGGTGGATCGCTCTCGCCATCTTCGCCATCACGGCCATCGAGACAGGCCAGTTTGAGCGTGACCCTGTCGTTTTCTCGACGTTCAATATCATCTTCGAGGTGGTCAGTGGGTACGGCTGTGTGGGCATAAGTGTGGGCGTGCCTTGGGCTGACTACAGCTTCTGCGGCACGTGGCATCTCGCGAGCAAACTCATCCTGTGCGCAGTCATGCTTCGAGGCCGACACCGCGGACTCCCAGTCAGCATCGACCGTGCTGTCCTCCTTCCAGACGAAAGCCTTGCGTGGGCTGAGGAAGAGGATGCTCACAAGAGAACTTCGAGCTTCCATTCCCCTGGGTTAATGCTCTCGAGAACGCAGACATCCGCAATGACTTCGAGAGACGCCTTGCAGAGGCGTAGGTCAGCGAGCCTCGGTGCGCCTGGGCCGAGCGTCCAAACCGACGCCAGAGCGGACAATTGAATAGGTCGCCTGAGCCTACTAGGGATCCACTGCATCTTCGGTTCGTCTGAAATGTGCCCTGATTCGGCCGGAGCTAGGGGCTCCATCGCGTCTGGATTCGAGTGATTTGGTTCTTAAGTCTGGGACTCAGACGTACATTACATTTCTGGTACGCCGTTCGAAAATACCTTTGTTGTCTTTTCTTTTCGGCTTCATTGTACTGGGCAGTACTTTGAGCAAGCGGTGGGATTTTAGAGATTGAATTCAGCTTATACTGTTAGTGGACAACACGTACATACATTGAAGGCACGTAGGGGGATAAGTTGCTATAGAGGCAGTTGTGTATTGGGGGATTTTCAACAGCAGTAATCCCCTTACGGAGCAATTCTAATTCCTTCGTGGCAGCCTCTGTCATCTGTGCAGTGCAGGGGAAGCTTGGGTTACCCCGCCCCGAGCCATCAGTCGGGGGGGGGTTTTAAGCCAGGTCTACCCTCTTCTATAGATGTCGAAGTTTTCTCGATTTATTCAACTTTCCGTGCCTCTGACTTGGCAGGATTTCCTCCTTCTCCTCCGACAAGCCACAGCCGCGCCCAAATCTAGATGACATTCTTCAGCTCCTGGCCGGCCAGAAAGCGTCTCAAGTTAGTAGCGATTAGCTTTTCGGCGTCCTGCGGCCTTCCGCCGGCGGCGTGCGGGCTGACGACGCAGTTGGGGGCGTGCCACAGCTTGCTGTCCTGGGGCAGGGGCTCGGTCTCGAAGACGTCGAGCGCGGCACCGCCGATGGTTTTGGTCGTGAGGGCCGTGAACAGGGCGTCCTCGTCGATGGAGGTGCCACGGCCGACATTGATCACCCAGGCGTGGTTCGGCAAAAGGGCCAGCCGGTCCGCGTTGAGCGCGTGCTTGGTGCTCGCACTGCCAGGCAGGATCATCACCAGCGCGTCCGTCTCCTTGAGCAGGGTCGGCAGGCTGTCTTCGCTGTGCACCTCGACGCCGTCACGCACGCCGGCGCTCCGCGCGACGCCCCGAACGTTGGCGCCTAGGAGGCGCAGCATGGGCGTCAGTGTCTTTGCGATGTTTCCGAAGCCCCAGATCAGGACGTTGGCGTCGCGCAGCGTCGTGAATTGCCCCTTGGGCCTGTCGGGCTGCGGCCCGCCCAGATGCGCCGGCCACACGGGCGGATCGCGCATCTGGAAGTCGCGCATCTCGTAGAACTTGCGCGCGCCCACCAGCAAGAGGCCCAGCGTGTGCTCGGCCACGGTGCGGTCGTGCAATCCCGAGCCCGTCGTGATGGTGACTTTTGCCGGGTCGAAGCCCGCGGACAGGACGTCGTTGGGCCCCGCGGCCAGCGACTGGATCCATTTTAGAGATTTCATGTTCTGTACCGCGTGCTTGAGGTTCGTGGGCGAGTTGGTCCATGTCACCATCATCTCGGCGTCGAGCAGGTCCGAGGGGATCTCCTTCTTCACATCGTACGCGTGCAGCGACACCGAGAAGCCCTCCAGCTCTTGCACGTTCAAAACCAGCGACGTCGGGTAGAGGAGCTTCATCTTGTCAAAGGCTGCCGCTCGGCGTGCTTGCTCTTGCTCTTTTGAAAAGGAATCCTCAATCGAGTCTCCCCCCAACTCTCGCTCCCGGAGAATGAATATAATAATCAAGAGAAGAAGAAAAAAAAAAACGAAAATAAGAATCAAACAAAAACACCCCTCACTGTGATGCTTTGTTGTCCGCAGTCTTTCTCAAGTCAATTGTTTTCTTTGCCTTGCTCCCTCGCCCAGCACTTTTGTGGTTGGTGGTGTGGTGAGTACCTATTGTTGAGACATCGAGAGAAAATGATCTAAATATGACGACGATATCGACGGCGCAGATCGGCCCTCTCGCCGCAAAGATGCGGAGTTTGGCCGATGTCGTCTTTTTTGCTTTTCAATTGCCGACAGGCCATTGAGACATGGAGCCCGGGAAACTTTTAGGCGGCCGGCTTTTGGGGGAGGGGTCCCTGTCTGCTCTTTCGTACATGCTCGTATTTTGTATCTTAGCTGCTGCAGCACCGAGGGGTTATGGGAGTTTTATATCCGGCATGATCGCAGGATGTACTCCGCCCCCTCGGTAGAACAAAACGAATGAACTTCACCCCAAATCGAGACCAGATATCTGACAACTCTCGCTAGAACAGATTTGTTCGCCATGCATATCCCATCTTATGCCCCCCAAAATCAATCAGACCATTGCAAAATATGGCTGCGAACCTGGTATAACACAAAAGATAACCTTGTGCCGTATACAAGGCCATTGAAATCCATTTGAAAATCCCCATTTCTTTTGCCCTCATATTCCATCCACATGTCGCTCCCATGTCGAACTAGTGAGATCATGGCCGTCGTCAGACAGAGATGACCGAAGAAACTTACCAACTCTTCTCGGTGCAGTTTCCCGTGCATCCCTTCACCCTTTTTTGGTTTCCTTTTTGGCTTCTTTCGACACCTGTGCGGACCTCACATGACCACACATCTCCCCCCCTTCTTTCCACCGCCTCCTCCCTCCTTGACGCCCGCCGAACTCGTTGGCATGGGCGTTTGACTTCTAGAGACCTCATCGCCTTTCTTCCTCTTCCCTTTTTTCTTCTTGCCCAATTCTGCTGAGGTGGGGTCTGATAACACCCGTCTATTGCCGTTTTCGATTGGACTGAAGCCACTTCCAGCCCAGACTCGAGTTTGATGGGTTGGCATTTGTTGATATAGCTGTTGCGGTCCCGGTTGGCTCTGCGATATTAGATATGGATTTTGTTGCGGATGCGGCATAGGGGGGGCCATCCCTTGCGCAAAACTATGCGATCCCGACCCCGGCTCACCTGGTCCGTATGAGCTGGATACGCTATCAATGGTGTCGAGTCTGCCCATTCGCGGTCGTTGGGCCTGAACCGCCGGCGGCGCATGGAGATTCGGCGTAGATGCAGAAATTGGAATTGAATGGCCGCTGCCCTTGGAGTTATTCCTCGTCAGTCCGTTAGGCGTACTGATCGCCTTGTTGAAGGACGGAGATCCTGGCACTCCAGCGGCACCCCATGCGCCTCGCGGTGGCGAGGGAGGCACGCCGGTACTATCGCTAACGTTGCGTGGCGCAGTGTTTTGATTGATGGACCCATGGGTGGCGATTTGTGGAACCGGCTTTCGTGTGGTATAGGAGACTCGACGATTAAGGTTGGCCATTTGATCAGCTGTCGGAGGAACAATATTGTAAGGCCCATTGGCCTGAACGACGGGCGGAGGTGCGGGTTGCGACGCAACGGGCTGATTGGCAGGTTCGTAAGCCTGTGATAAACGCATTTCATCTAGAGAACTCGGGGTTGGCGGGACAGGGTGATTGAGCCGAGCCTGCAGATTTGCTCCGGTCAGTGTGACAGACCCCGACGACGATGGCTTGTGCGCTGGAGCCATATCGGAGAGATTCTGCACATGCTGTGCGGTGTTCAGAGGGGACGGACGTTCAGCCGTCTGTGGTCGCTGAGAGACCGGAGTCTGTTGATAAGGGGATGCTTGACCTTCATGCGACACCGGTCTCGACGAGTCTCCAGATGCCGAAGGGGCCAACGGCGCATTTGCTGGATGTATCTGAGAAACCGGGCTTGCACGGTGATACGGCTCAGGTACTGGAGCATATGATTGATCATTTGGTGGGGCCGACGCACTATACTGACCGACAGCTTGCCTTGGAGCAGCATTTTCCGGCACCACATGGATTGGTTGAGGTGTCAAGTGAAGAGGCTGTGTAAACTGTGAATTCATCGGATTGCCATGTCCAAAGCCTGGATGCACTTGCGGAGTACGACCATTTTCAGGAATCCCTATTAATGGCATAGGCATTCCTCCCATTGGACGTGTTTGGGCTAAAGGTGAACTTAGCGTCATCCCGGATTGAAGGCGAGGGGATCCTGTGGTATATGGCGGAGGCGGCGATTCCCAACCATCCAACTGCTGCCCGGGCGGCCGGTGATAGATGGCATTTGCAGCGTCTTGTTGCTGCGCCAGAGGTGGTCGAGGAGGATATCGTGCCGTCGAGAAACCAGCAGCTGTGGCAGATCTGTGCAGGTTCGGCGAGGCTTGTGGTGGAGGGAAGGGCGTCGAGTTGGCCAATGCAATTTGTGCGTCTACATCCAACGGCGAGGAAGCCTGGGAGACACTTCTCAAGCGTGATCCCTGTGTCGCAGAGGCCGTAGTAATGGAGCGGCCGAGACCGCCTCGCAACCCTCCTCTCATCCCTCCTCTTGCGCGATCTCTCACTGTCCGCCTCCTTTCCATTGCCACCTCAATATCCATATCACCCATTTGTTCTATGAGCAACTCCGGCTCCTTTTCGCCCACTTCGATCGTCAGTTCTCGATCTGCGCTTTGAGATGGCGAATAGTCAAAATCGAGTATAGACAGGCGTGAGCCATCAACGGGCATGCTTTCGTCTCCGAGTTCTTCCATAAACCGATCGACGCCGCCGGGGGCAACGACTACCAGTCTCTTGCCTGTGAAAGCACACGGTCTATCTTCGCACCTTTCCACCCACTTGGCCGCTGTGGCACCATCAAGTGTCTTAATCTGTTGGCATTTGACGAACAGGCTTTCTCGCCAGTCAACCTTTGCGGCTAACGAGTCGTCCTCAATATCTTCGCTGCTTCCAGATATTGAAGGTGAATACGCCATCAAAGGTTCGATATGGCCTGTCGCAGAGGTGAGCGGCACCCTTCCTTGCAGACGCTGTTCGTGCCGCTCAACGACCGATCCCATATCCGGACTGGAATCTAGCTTTTCGGGAACACCGTAAATGCACAGGCCACTTCCAGCGAATCCAGCCACGACAAGAGTCCCGCACACAGTCGCAGTGGGCGCAGTTGACGGCGCCGGCAAGCTGAATCGTCTGTTCGTCGTCGGATTTAAGAAGTAGGCGACGCCGGTTCGAGTGTCATCAGTGCGGACGGCTCTGTACGACATGAGGGTATGATCATAAGCAAAAAGCCAGTTCGCGTCGCCTTCTGTGTGACCCTGTAACAGTTCTGCATGACTGCAAATGCTGCTAATCTGTGGGAAAAGAATCTGGGTGGTCCACATGCGACTGTGAACCTCCTTTGGTGGTAGATCGTTTTCCGTGTAGAAAGGGGCAGTAATGACAACCGCTGAAGGCTCTTCCAGACTCTGGGTGCTGCCCACAAGCATCGATCCATCGCCGGAGAAGCTCAACATATCAACTCCTTCGCTTCGCACAGCTCTTCGGTCCGTAGAAAGGGCATTCGCAGCAAGCGAAAAGACTTCGACCCCGCCTTCATACGCGGCAGCCAGAACCGTACCCTCGGGAGCCAAGGCAATTGTCCTAGGCGGATTGTCCATGATCAAAACCTGTACATGCTTCACCCCTTCTGGTGTCAACTGATATACGTTCGCTTGATGCTTCGAGGACAGGACGGCTAACGTTGTGCCATCGTCAGTAACTGAAGCAGCCAGAGGTCGTCTCATCGTCTTGAGCTCATGGCGCACACTGATAGGGTCGGTCACTGCGTCGATGACGTATATTCGTGACGAACTGAGCGCGAGAATTGTTTGGCCGTTTGGTGAGAAGGAGAAGCGGAAAGCTTCTGCCCCAGGCAAGGCGGCAGAGGAACTCGCATTGACAGAGATTAGATTGATGAGAGTCTGGCGAGGTCGTAAGTATGCCTCGAACAGATTCCTCCGGACCTCCGCTGCGAATTTTGTCTTGAGTCGGTACAGGTCAAATTTCCTAAACGGACCGGTGATGACAGTGTTGGACAAGGCATATGACGGACAACGAGATAGATGATGAGCATAAAGTTCTCGATTTTGGGCGGCCCTGTACCAGTTCTTGTTCAGGATGGCTAACGAGGCAAAACTGTTGGCATCAACCCTCCACAGTATTCTGGTTCAAATTAGCAAAACCGTCGGAGATCAGACTAACCACAATTCTATTTATGGGTGGCGTACCTCTCCAGTACCTGGATGGGGAGTTTGTGAAAAGCAACGGCATCCCTGCTCTCATGATTTGGGACAATAGTATCTGGAGACTTGGGCCAGTTGTCGGCAGCAGCTGGGTCACTGGTTTGGGATATACCTAGGCCTGCCTCACGGCTAGGCTCATGGTCGTCCAGGTCCAGGTCCAGTGGCTGGGGCGGAATATCATCCTCGTGCGAGACGGTGGAACCGGTGTTGGGCGGTGGATGCACAATCGGTTGCGGCGACATTGCAGACAGACCGTCGAAGAGGTGGATGGCAGTGCTACACATAAAGGCGCGAAGAAGATGACATGATGATGGTGGCCTCAATATTGCATGCCTCCATGAACGCGTCGGGTCGCGACGGGGAAGAAGGAAAGCTTCCTTCCCTTAGGTCGCCGACGACTGGGGAGGTAGATGCGAGATGTTGATACTAGGTGTTGTCCCAATCCGTCAAGTCATAGAGATGGCATCAAGTCGAGATCTGTTATGATGGAGGGTGGTACTATGGAGATGTAAAGGGATGTTAATATCAGAGCTGATTGATGAGAAGCGAATGGGTGATTCGGGAGAGGTCAGGGTGGTCAGCGTGCAAAGGGAATCTCAGAAGGGCTACCGAGTAGCTAGTAGCGAGTCTAACCAACTAAGCTGCGAGCAGTTAGCAGCCCTAATATTGGGAAGCCCATGCCGAACGATCACTTACGGAGGGCCTATTATTCAGTTTACTGAGCACCTTCCGGGTACCTCAGTGCCTCCGACCCCCACGGGATCCCCCCTATTATTCTAGGAGCCACCTGAATTGTTTGTTAGATGCAGTGCCAGCACGTTTGTTAGCGAGGCCAGCTACCAATCGCAGGGCCCTTAGGCCTTTGGGTCTCCGTTCTAGGCAGGCTTACCGCCTAACTTCCCTCAAAACCCATCAGATGTGTGCCTGGACATTTAGGGAGAACCTCCGCATCGAGCCTAGTCCAGCAGGCCATGCGTTAACAGCACCTTTTCTTAGAAAATGTTAAACAAAGATGCATCTTCACCATCACACAACCCCCTGCACCAGCCACAATACAAAGTACCTACTACTGAGTCTGTATCCAACTCGCCAAATCTGACCCAGGACCTTTCTATGGAGGATGCCCCAGGCGATCATAGACACAGCTCGTCAGACTGAGCAGTGTGACCTGCCCCCATCGTTGCATTCACGTCAAACACCATCTACCTCATCCTCCTCCTCCCTGCTTTCTCCTCTCTCCCTTAGATAGAGTAACACTGCCCGGATCATTTACTGCTTCGGGCCATTCAGCAGTTTCAGCCTGACGCTCATCGACACTGACTCTCCGCCGAACATCTCGTATCTGGAAATACCCACCTCGCCACCACCTACAACGCGCGTTAACCGTTAGGAATCTATCTCACACGCCCAAGCCTCAACCTCGAAATTTGTACGGAGTACAGGATGAGAGATGATATATTCTGAATTGGACCCCCCAAGCCCCAATCTCATATCTCTGACACGACTGTCACGGCTGTTTCCTCGCCTCAAGTATTTCCACAATTGTTTGTACAATAATATTCTAAAACCCCCGTCAGGAGAACCCAACGGCTTGCAAATTGCAGTCTCGCTCGGTCGGTCGAGAAGGTCAATCATGCTCAATCATGCTTCCTTCTGCTCTGCTTCCTCTGGCTTTTTGCCACCCGACAGGCCTGAAAACCAATTACTGGGCTTCATGCTGTTGTACGCCTCTTCTTGGAATCGCTTCTCTTCCGCCTCTCGTTCGGCTAGAAACTTTGCACCTTCCTCTTGAATTTTCTTCTCCAGTTCCATGTATTGTCTTTGGCCGCGCTCCCTGATTTGATCCCAAAGCATCTTACCCTCGGACATCCCCTCATCGGAGCCCTGCGCTCCTTCAGGGCTCGACAATCCCAGCATGGACGAGAGTTTTCCCAGACTCTTTTTGGGTCGCTTCTTGCGCTTTTCTGCTTCTTCGGCCTCGAACTTGGCCCGAAGGAGCTTCTCTCTTCGGGCGAACTCAGCAGGTATATAGGCCCCTTCGAATGACTTCAAGACTTCTCGTACATCGTCAAATCCCATTGTGGCCAGATATTCCAGGAACGGAATGAATTGAATCAGCGTCTGGTCTTTGGGGTCGCCGTTCCACTTGGGCAGGATGATGGCGTTCTCAGGCTGATGTTTCACGTGATGAGGATCAGTGTCCATGATGAGCACTTTCTTCAGGTCTCGGTTGAGATATGACAGGTCCTATACCGATTAATGCCGTCCTTCATCACTGCATTTGGCTGACTCACCTTGACATAACCACCGTCCTTGTATACTGTGGCTTCGCGAAACAAGGGCCATCGAATCATGGAATAAGGATCCAACTTTCGAAGCACCTGTTCCACCACTGCCATCGGCTGACTGGTAAAGAGGACTAGTTCATAGTAGCTTGAGAGGTATCGCAGAAAGTAATCCACTCCCGGTCGCTTGGCTATCCGCCAGCCCTTCTCCCGTGTCCACTCGGAATGGACGAGCATGTCCTCCAAGCTTATAACGAGAACAAAAGGGTAGCGGAAATTGGGGTCGGGGTCCTCGTCTGGCAGAAGTTTCGTCGTGACGGGATCTCGGTAATAACTCAGTGTTGAAGACAGGCGAGCACTAATTCTGTTGTAGAAAGGTCTGAAGCCCCAACCTGACGGGGCATCAGTGTGTTTCTTCTCCTCCTCTTCGTTTTCCCAGTTACGCCCCAAGTAGACGGAGAAGCCAACAGAGCCCAACCCCAAGATAATGTACATGTATCTGAATGCCGCATTCTTCTTCCGGTCGCTGGAAGAGACGTATTCTTCCCGAGGGATGTCGCCACGATCTCGTCCCCGCGCTCCGCTTGGTAGCTCTTCCGAAGGGTCTTCAGTGATGTTGAGGCTCGGGGGGTGATGAGTCTGTTTCGACCTGGCAGCACGAAGCTCCGCGTCCAACGTCGACGGAATGCCCTTGGTCAGGTCGGGTAGAGGTTGTTGTGGTTGGCCCTGTGCTGCCTGCTCTTGTTCTGCAGCAACGTTTTCTGGTTGGGCTATAGCTGGCTCATCCTTCAATTCCCGCTGTTGTCCTTCTTCCCTCAAAGATCTTTTACTTGCTTGGGCTACCGATGCCGAGACATCGTCAAGATCTCGAGCGGGATCGGCACCGAAGGGCGGACATTGGGGAGGACTCTGCTGTTTCGGAGACGAATCTGATGGACTGGTAGGTGCGGAGTCTGAGGGAGTTTCGGCCTTCGGAGCCTGAGCAGGTTGAACCAAAGGGACTTTTCGCAGGGGTTCCTTTTGATGCAGCGAGTCCTTTGATGTTCCAGGAATCTTGTATTCTGCGTCCCTAGTAGGTCGATCTGCTTTGGAGTAGCATCGCAACTGAATCTGCGGCAATGCTTGCGGAACTAGAGGCCGGATGTGTCGCGGCCTCAAGAGAGGCAATGCTGCACGTCTTAGCATCTCTCAATCGACATATCCCCAAAGCGAGGAAATGGGCATGAGATGTCGATGAGCTGAAAGATACTTGCAGCTACCGTGGGCGGTAAAAAGCGTTTCTTGGTGGGTTGTGGAAATCTGATGATGGTTGCGTCTGCGCATTTGCCGGTGAAATTCTTTCGACTCCGAATCGCTTGTCTAGACATCGATACATCTTCTCGTCCTTGGCGTCTTCGGGCGCAGTTGCCTCCACCGCGGTAACTGACTCCGCAGCACCTTTACTCCTCCTCTTCTTCTTCTTCCTCCTCTTTCTCTTCCCTTCTTCTTCTCCCACAAAGAAAGTTGATTTACACCCAGAATTTTTGACTCGCCGTCCACAGACATATCATATGTTCGAGGAGTTGTATTAGCTGGGCAGAAAAAGTTCGCAACCAGAACCATCGTTCTCCTCAAGAGCGCACGAGAGGCCAGCCCATGATCTTCCAGTCGCCCCGTAAGGACGAGACATCCCTTTTCTTCCTCCACAAAACCATCACGATGAGTGTGTGAAAGTCGCCGTCTCAAGAGTGGTGAACTACACGCGTATCAACATTCATCTTGTTCTTACTTCGCTACCCTCCGAGTCCAACCTCCGATGCCGCTGTCATGGAAAGAAGGTCTCGTCAATGCCTTTCCGATCCCTCAAGATCGCACGAAGCTGAGATATGTTTCGAAGAGGGACAAACATAACGTGACCATATCGTCGGAGCTCGTTTCTGTCGTGGAGTCGTTGGAAACAGTCTCTTTGGAAGGAGACCCTTTCCCATTCCTCGACCTACCAGGGGAGATCCGTAACAGGATCTACCAATTGGTCTTGTTTGGCAAGCCAGGTTACCGAGTCATTCATGGTCGGATGAGACCTTCTCGCATAGGTATCATGCTTGCCAACAAGCTTACGCACCGCGAAGCCGCCTACGTACTTTACAGCACGTCGAGCTTCCGGATCTTTCCTCTCCAGGATTTTACTCCTGCGCCGGTCATACAAGAGCTCCGCCCCATGTATCGCGACATGGTGACTTCGCTGGAAATGGTGGTCGGCTCAAGCTGGACAAGCCCACCCAAGACCTGGCGCGTAGGTAAACTACTGGCAAAGCGCCTGTCCAAGCTCTCCGCGGTGAACACTCTGAAGATTTTCGTCGAGCTTGATCCAAGCCTGCCGATGTTTGAAAAATATCGTGTCTCCCTGGACTTCTATACTGATTTCTGCGGAGACTTGTTACGAGATGTCCTAGCGTGTATGCCGCATCTGAGCCATATTGAAATCAATGGGAACCCGGGCATTGACACTACCGGGCCACTCGTTTCGAGGTTGCTCCAGGAAGTAGAGGCAAAAGGAAAAACATGTACATTAGGACCAACGAAAGCGATGCCCACTCCGACTGGTGTGAAAGTGGCATTTTGGTAGCTGAGAACAAGATTAATACAGTACCTACGTAACAGTTCTTGTGGATCTTTGTGGATCTTTCAGGCACCATTGTGTCTGGTTCATTCAAAAGACCACTGATGAACCTCTTGGTTCTTTCTGTAGCCCAACGCCGTGCATGCATGTCCTGATGGATAGATACAAGTTACAAGCCGCGCCTGCCCTAATGCCCTCGCTGCTCACAGCTCCTCATCCACTTCCATGTCTCCATTCTGCTCCATCCTGTCCCGATGAGTGCCGTTTGTGCCGTTCCCGTTTGCTTGCACAGCCTTCTTCGCCACGCTTGCTTCTTTGTCGATCATTTGCCTGCTCACGGCGACGATGTTATCTTCAATCAGCCTCTGCCCGACATCTTCGATGTGTTTCTTCGGATCCACTTTTCCCACGTATCTCGTCTTCAGTTGTTCAGCAGTTAATTCGTTCTCCTCCCGTACACGTTTCTCGTACCCTTCTGCGAGTTGGACGAGTTGTTGAAGGCCCTCTTCGTTTCTCTTGCGTTCTGAGCCAAAACTAGAGGGCAGTTCGAGGCCTTCAGTCCAGACTTCCTTGTGGAGGTTCATGAGCATGTTCTCTTCCAAGCCAGTCTTGCGGTATTGGATTCCGATGCTGTAGTAATGTCTGTTCAAGCCGTGGATCAGCGCTTGTATGGAGGGTTTGTTCAAATGACCTAAATTCGAGGTGGTTTGCCGGGGCTCTTGGCCCATCATGATGGCTTGGGGGTTAATAAGCCGGAATGCGTCGATGACGACTTTGCCCTTGACGGATTGGATGGGGTCGATGACAACAGCCACGGCGCGGGGCGTCAGCTGTTCGAATGATTGTTGCGTGTTGATATCGACTGAGGACAACCAGCATCCGAACCCTGGGTGGGAGTGGTACCAACCCACCACCACCTCGGGCCGACCTGTCTGGCGTAGCATATCCATCATCTTTGTTTGAAAGACCGGGTCGACGGACTCGACAGTGACCGAAGTTCCTGACTGCGGCATCGCAAAGACGTCGACAACTCGAACAGTGAAGTCATCCACAAATTCGCCGAGCATTAGTCCCATAACTTCCATTGGAACACCTGCCCTGCCGTGGCGAAGCATCTTCAGGAGGGCGAGGGAGGAAATGTAGACGGTCTCGGAGTTATCGACCAAGTTTGTATCCTGTCCAGTCTGGGTGCCGCCCATGTGTGCGGCGGCGAGCATTCGATTAAAGCGGTCCATAATGACGGATGGGCCGAGTAGATGTGAAGGCGGAGAGGATAGAAACGCAAAGGGAGGGAGGAGGGAAGATGTCGAGATTGATAATTCAGATCGAGGTCAATCTGTGGCGGGCAGTTCACGCCGGCGGGAATCCGAACAATAAAGAGCCCTGAAGCGAGACGGTAGAGGTTCTCTGGATCGCTGGAATCAATGTGAACTATGGCACTCTCCAGAGGGAGATCAACGCAGAGGTACGATGTGGCCGTGTCTTGTCTCTTTTCAAGCGAAAATGTAAAGCTGCAAGGCAAGCACGAACTGCGCGTTCACAGTTCATATGGGGATCCCAAAGCGGTTAGCCCGTTCTGCTCATTCAGCCCGGTTGGCCCGTTGCGCCTCCGCAAATCGTTGGAGACGGAATCATGTCGATGGGCCCCGTTTCTGCCCTTTCTGCCCCTTCTGCGCTTTTGCCTCGCGCAAGATGGAATAATTCACCTCCCGCCGATCTTCCTCCTGCTTCCCATTTACACCTTTCATTCTCTTTCCTCGAAAAGTTCGTTTCTCTTGGGCCAAGTGTCCATGTTCAAGGATATCCTTGCGCCTTCTCCGTTTCAAATCTTCCCCTCGCTAGACGACTATTCCAGCCTCCTTGCGACTATCCCCCACCGATTGACAAGCTCTGTCGAAGCAAGGGAACGGAGGGAGCGGAGCAAGATACTGAGAGGACCTGAAAGGCGCACAATTCTATCCGCGAATTGAATTCTCACTCTTGCTGTTCAATCCATCGCCCTTCCTCTGTCGGTCCGACGGCTTGACAGCCTTTACGCCCAACATGGCATTCGCACCTGTCGACGTTCCGTCATCCCACAAGCGCGAGGACAAGAAAAGAGTTGCATACTTTTACGACTCAGATGTGGGCAACTATGCCTATGTGTCCGGCCATCCCATGAAGCCTCACAGAATACGGCTAGCTCACTCCCTGGTAATGAACTATGGCCTGTACAAGAAGATGGAAATCTACCGCGCAAAGCCCGCCTCCAAGTACGAGATGACCCAGTTCCACACCGACGAGTACATCGACTTTCTCGCAAAAGTCACGCCCGACAACATGGACTCATACCAAAAAGAGCAGCAAAAATACAATGTCGGTGATGATTGTCCTGTCTTTGACGGACTCTTCGAGTTCTGCGGAATCAGCGCAGGTGGTTCCATGGAGGGCGCTGCTAGATTAAACCGTCAGAAAGCCGATATTGCCATCAATTGGGCGGGTGGGCTGCATCACGCGAAGAAATCAGAAGCCAGTGGATTTTGTTATGTCAACGACATCGTTCTCGGCATCATCGAGCTTCTGAGATTCCATAAGAGAGTCCTCTACATCGACACTGATGTCCACCACGGTGACGGTGTCGAAGAAGCCTTCTATACCACTGACAGGGTCATGACCGTGTCTTTCCACAAATATGGAGAATATTTCCCCGGCACCGGCGAACTTAGAGACGTCGGCGTGGGCTCGGGCAAATACTACGCCGTCAATTTCCCTCTCCGAGATGGTATTGACGATACATCCTACAAGGGCATTTTCGAGCCGGTGATTCGAGCCACCATGGATTACTATCAACCCTCGGCCGTGGTCCTGCAGTGTGGAGGCGATTCTCTCTCCGGTGATCGTCTGGGCTGCTTCAATCTCAGCATGAGAGGTCATGCAAACTGTGTTAGATTTGTCAAGTCCTTCAATCTTCCTACTCTCATCCTCGGGGGCGGTGGTTACACCATGCGTAACGTCGCAAGAACATGGGCATACGAGACTGGGGTTCTGGTTGGCGAGTACATGCAACCAAATCTTCCGTACAACGACTACTATGAGGTCAGCTGTCCTTCGTTATTTCCCGGACATTACTGACTCTTTCTATAGTACTACGCCCCCGATTACGAACTGGATGTCCGTCCTTCAAACATGGAAAATGCAAATTCGAGAGAATATCTCGAGAAAATCCTTGGTCAAGTGCTGGAAAATATGAAGAGGACGGCCCACGCCCCATCAGTGCAAATGACGGATGTACCCAGAGAGTCCCTAGGCATGAATGACGAAGACGAAGCTGCCCTCGATGATCTTGACGAAGACCAAAACCCGGATACACGCATCACTCAGCGCAAGGCAGACAAGTACATACAGAAGAACGGTGAACTCTCTGACAGCGAAGACGAAGAAATGGAAGAAGTGAATGGTCGCCCGTCAGCCGCCCGAAAACGACGTATCATGCAGAATTACCGGCATATCATGGATGTAGGCGGCAATGACTCGGGCGTGGAAACGGAAAGTGGGACAGGCACACCGCAGCAAGTGTCTAGCCTACCCGACGAAGCGGCAGATGAGATGAATGTGGATGAGGAGCTGGACGACAAGGTCGGCCACCAGACACCGAGTCCTTCCAGCGGTGAACAGCGGGTAAACGGCTCTGCTGCCGTTTCAGGTCTCCAATCGCCCGATCATCACGCATCAGCTGAAACTGCTGATGGTGACGTGGAGATGGGGGATGCAGACATGCCAGACGGAGATGCTGCGCCTGCGGATGAAGCTGAAGCTGCCCGACTCACCGAAGCAGAACCAACCACAATGGTCCAACAGCAGCGTACTCCTCCGGATTCACCACCCACGCCGGAAGCCGAAGAGCCCTCGCCCACTCTTCCCAGTGCTGTGGTTCCAGGCACGGCGATGACCGACGCTGAAGATTCAAGCACAGTGACCGTTCCGACTATCGCCGCGGTGTCCACAAAACCCGACGCCACTGGGGCCACCGCCTCGGAAGTGGCTATCAAGGAAGAAGTCGTGGGTGATGATGAAGTCGGAAAGGCGCAGGAAGAAGGGCGCATGGAGAGGGAAATGGCGAACGCGGAAGGGGAAGCGCAGACAGAAGCGGCGGCGAAGGTTGAGTCAGACGAGGCAGCCGAGGGCCAACATCAAGGGGTCGAGACTACTGCGGAGACGGCAGCTGACTCACCACAAGGATCATAGGAAGGATCTTGGAGTTTTGAGCTGCTTCTGCGGCAACGTTGAACGGGGTCCCTTCATCATGGTTGTATCGGGAGGATGTACACACAGAAGGAAGAAGTGAGGGTTTCGAAGCAAGGCGTGTGGGTGGGCATGGTCGGCGCTTCAATGAGGACAGGAGTGTTCAACGACGATAGGGGCTACGCTTGAGGGAAAAGGCTAATGGCGTAGTATATGGGACAGGAAGAAGCTGGGCTGAACTGGTCGGAATCGATACGCGACGGGGTCTGGTGGCAACTGTCATACTATTATTTTAAATCCGGATATGCTTTGATACCTTTCCAATGAGTTCGGATATGTATACCTGGTATCTTTGGAAGCATTGGTGCAGGGATTAATTTTAACCACATGAGAAAGGAGTCCTCTGCGTTTTCCCCAGCTCTCACCTAGGTCTCATTATTATTGAGCTCGATTACTGTGTCGCCACTGTCAAGACGACCTTCCCTCCGCCCCTTCGTCCCCTGGCTTCGACAAACTCCATGGCCTCTCTGCCGTTCTCCAACTCAAAGGCCTGCTGCTGGTGGACGTGTCCCTTCAATTTGCCGGCCGAGACCCACCGCGCGAGGACGTCCAATTCCTCGCCCGATGGTTTCACGATGAAGAATTCGACTTCGACCTCCACGCCGGCTCGGGCGCAGTTCCGGTGGATCTGCGCGGCGGTTTCGGCGCCGTAGACCTTTATCGGCGCGACGATTGTGATCACGCGGCCGCCTGGGTTTATGATGGTGTTGAGTGCCGGTGTGTCGGTGAGGAGGAGCGTGGAGAGTGTGCTCCCTCCGATGCAGTCGACTACCACGTCCACGGGTGGTAGGTTTCGAGAGGCGAAGGAGGACGGCAAGGAGATGTATGCGTCGGAGGTGTAGTCGATGATAGTGTCTGTGGAGACGTCAATGAGAGATGTTATCAGAGGTGCAGACGCTGAGCTGCATGTTGCGATCACGGAAAATCCAGATGCTTTGGCGAGCTGGAGCGTTGGAAGGCCGACGGAGCCTGCCGAGCCGAGAATGAGCACCCTTTTGCGCGACGTCGACGACGACGACGACAACGACGACGACGGGAGCGGTGATTCCGTCGATGCAAGGGGTAATCGGCCGTGTATGTAAAGTGCTTGGTATGCTGTCAGTGCGGAGAGCGGGAGAGTCGCCATTTGTTCCACCCAGGCCTCCTCCGAAATGGCAGAGCTATCTGCGTTGCTCGGTGCAAGGCCGAGCTCCTTTTCCAGGGCAAGCGTATATGTTGCTGCTGCACCGTCACGGTCAAAGTCGAGAAGGGCCCAGACTCTGTCCCCGGGCGAGAACTTTGGTTCTGATTGCGTATTTGGGGATATGAGAACTCTATCCACGACGCCAACTACATCGTGGCCTGGAATTGCACCACCATATGGCTGAAAGCGTGACGGTTCGAGGATTTCTTGCCAGCTAAGTTCGCCTCGAGTCAAAGCGGTGGTCAGGACGCGGATCAAATAGACGTGTTGCGACGGGGTTGAGGAATCGGGGCCGTGGACATGGGGTTCGGGATAGTCTGCCGCTGTGTATTGAAGGTCTGATGGGTTGGGTGGATTGTCTGGAAAGCGGAAGGGCGGTTCCGTCCCATAGGGGACGCCAGGGAGGTGAAGGGAACGCATTTGCGATAGAGTCGACAATTTGGTAGAGCGGAATGACAATGAGATGAACTTGGGCCTAGTTTATTCCCCTTTCTGTTCCTTTATATGCCTTCCAGCTCCGGTGGTCTTACTCGCCCTCGGAGATGATCAAGACCGCGGAAGAGAACTGTTAGTCATCGGGGATGCATGATCAAGGAGTATCTTCTGTATTTGAATCATCTATCACTCGCCGACCATGCTGTAGATGGCAGGTTGTCCCCCTGAAGAGCAGAGTGCGTGCCTTGCGTTCCGTGCAAAGGACGCATTCTGGAGATTCCAGAAAGGACCCGATCTGTTGGAGGATGAAAGACTCGTAGGTATGGAGCACATGTTAGCCAAGTTTATTAGTGGCAAGAAAAGAAAAGAAAAGTGGCTGCGCTGTGTTTGAAATTGGCCCATCTGGCCCCAATCACTGGTTGTTTGTCCAAGTCGTGTTAGTACTTGGTAATGCTCGGTACGGAGGACCTTGCTCACTTGGCTTTGCTTGTGCCACCCCGTATCAACCACTCGTGTTAACATGGCCAAGCATGGCGCAGGTTGACGTTTATTAGCCACGCAACCACCTCCTTCTTCCTCCCATTGCCGGAGCTCTGTATTCCTGTTTTATTCCTTTCTTCCTGCATTTGGCCGTCTTCCATCAGCTCTCACGGTTTGGGTGTTGCCTGCGGGGCAACTTTCTCCCTACCGACTCCGGCCTTCCTTCGAGTTCATCACCACACATCCGCCCGTCGTTTTCTGCTTGTCGTGGCCCATTGCATCAGGTTGACGCAGCCTATGTTGACTCGTCAACTCGACCTTGCACGACCTGAAAAGACTACCTCAGCCTCCTCCGCGATACATTAAAGCTCCCCCATCCCATCCGTTTTCGCTGGGCCGGCCCCAATCTGCTTGTTCGGATCCCCAGGGATCAGAGTGAGCGCCAACATGCCTCTCTCCGAGTACTTTACGAGTCCTACATCCCTCTATAATCGACAGTTCCTCGGCAAGCTAGTCGCTCGAGACCAGATGCCCTTCGCCGACAATGCATTGCAGGTCCTCAAGAAGACCGCTCCTCATTCGGGCCACCCGAACTTCGCGCACCTCACCCTGCTCGTTTTCGAAGCTGTGTTGGAAGTGGTCTGTGTCAGTCTACCAGGATACATAGTGGCAAGACAGGGCATGTTCGACGCCGAGGGACAGAAGTTGATGGCCAATCTCAATGTCATGCTCTTTACGCCATGTCTTATCTTCACAAAGCTAGCGTCACAACTCACAGCGGAGAAGTTGGCTGATTTGGCCATAATCCCGGCCATCTTCGTCGTCCAGACCTTGGTTTCGTTCCTATGCGCTTGGACCATTGGGAAGGTGATGAAATTTAAAAAGAGACAAGCCAATTTCGTGATTGCCATGGGCGTGTTCGGCAACTCGAACTCTTTGCCCATTTCGCTCGTCCTATCTTTGTCCAAAACGCTCAAGGGGCTGCATTGGGATAAAGTCCCTAATGACAATGATGAAGAGGTCGGAGCTCGAGGGATCCTCTACCTGCTCATCTTCCAGCAATTGGGCCAGCTACTGCGCTGGAGTTGGGGTTACAACGTCCTGCTCGCTCCGCCCGACAGCTACACGGAAGCAGAAGGCGGGACCAAGAAGGAAGATCGCATTGAACGAGGGCGAGGAGAGTTTCGCGAGTATACGGATGAGGATGCCGGAAATCGTCGGCTGCTGAGCCCCAGCTATGATGGGATTCGAGATACCAGCGAGGACTTTGAGGAATACCAGGAGGACGACGACGAGGACGACGATGTGACTCGAATAGGAACTGAGTCACCGACGACAGCGAAATCCGACGGTCTCAAAACCCCGCGCACTCCCCACAACAGGTCCTCGAGGACTTCCCCCAATCGACAACTGAACGGCTCCGGCCCCGATACAATTGATCCGACACATGCTGCTCCCAATGAGATGATGGCGCCTCATCACCAAGTAGACTACCCTGCGTGGCTGAAATATCCGGAAAACAAAAAGTACGATGAGAATTGCGGAGGCATCAAAGGGTACATCAATCGTGGAAGAAACGCAGTACGATACCACCGTTTGAAGATTGGGCATCTTATTCGGACAAGGTCGAGGCGGGCCTTTGACTCTCTTCCTAAGCCAGTGCAGAGAGCCATGTCCTATACCGGGGCAAAGATGGCCGCCTTTCTGGCTGGTGTGTGGGAGTTTATGAATCCACCGCTGTGGTCCATGTTGGTTGCCATCATTGTAGCATCTGTGCCCTACCTGCAACATCTCTTCTTCGATAAGGGGACGTTCCTGGCAAATTCGGCCACGCGGGCAGTACAACAGAGCGGTGCTGTCGCGGTGCCACTGATTCTGGTGGTGCTCGGAGGGAACCTTGCCCGAAATACCATCCCCAAAAATCAACCAGGTGATATCACGGACCCAAAGGAAGAGAATAGGCTTCTCTATGCATCATTGCTGGCGCGGATGGTATTCCCGACAATTGTGATGGCACCCTTCCTTGCGTTGGTCGCCAAATACGTCCCTGTCAGCATCGTTGATGACAAGATTTTCATCGTGGTTGCTTTCCTCCTTACTGGGGCACCATCAGCGCTCCAGCTGAGCGCCATCACACAGACAAACAATGTCTATCCAAAGGTTATGTCAAACATCCTCTTTCAGAGCTACGTGGTTTGGATTCTCCCGTCGACACTGATATTGGTTCTTTTGGCCCTGGAAACGGTGGAATGGGCAACGAGTTGAAGTCCTGCAATAGCTATTGGGAAGTGTGTTTTTGTTGGCGTGATTTGTCGATATCGGGTTGACTTGGGCACGGAGTCATGGAAATGGGTGCTTGTGGGTCGATTGGACCGTCGTGGCAGCATTGTACTGATACAGCTTGGACGGACGGGTAGGGGGATATGGACAGACAAGCACCAGATAGGGCCAAAAAAAAAGAGACGACGATCAATATCTTCATGTACAATGACTTCATCCTATGCTATAATAGAGGATGGACAACCGACTGTTGGTGGGGCGGAGGCGAAGGGGTTTCTGGGCTATGTCACTGTGGCTTATTAACTAGTTGTCATTTGTATTGCGCAGTGTCAATCTTGAAATCACGAACAGGTCATGATCCATCAAGTCCATCTTGGCCCATCTGTGTTGGACGTTCGGCTGAAGCCTCATACGTATCCACCGATGTAGAATGACGTCGACCGTGGGTGTCTCCTGGGGAGGGGGGATCAGGGGATTTGGGGGTGCGAAGAAGGAACTATGGGACCTCCTAGCTGTGCCTTGCTGGCTGCCATGACGCCTTAAGCTGATCCTGGTTTAAAGCCGCGCTTCCCCGGGATACCGAATATGAGGTTTCATTGAAATGCCATACCGCCACACCACCATCCCGAGCCCTTCTCTCCCGTCCCGCCCCTACCTGGGTGTCCTTCTAGGTACCTTGCCTGCCTTAAAGTTAGTTGACCTTCAGCTGCCCAGCCGTAAACGACCCCGAGAAGCTCCCCTACAATCAGAATGTCCATACCGATACATGTAGATAATAGCCAAGGAGAAAACCCCCTTCCTCAAGGGGTGACGGGTGCTATACTCGGTATTGCATGTCCTAGCGAATGCACCGCCAGCCTCAATTCATTTTGCTAAGCCTCACCTGTTTTGTTGCCCTCATGTACCCGCTCGTATTGTATGGAGCATCGTAGAAACTGATCGACACGTTTGATATCCACTATGAGCCTGGTCGGTTTTCTATCTTTTGCTTCCCTATCAAGTTCCATCATAATTTCACCTTGAAATACTCCGGACTCGTAGCACATGCCCACACTGCATTGAGTGTTGAAAAAGTTCCAACCTCAACTCAGTCGTCAGTCTTCTTTCTCAGTCCTCAGCGCTCGGTGCTCGGTGCGCGCTCTTGCCTGAGCCGTAGCCGCTTCCTCCGCTTGCCTTACCCTCGCCTTGCCGCGCCTCGCCTCCCGATTTGACCTTTATTCTTCCCCCGGCACGCCAAACAACGCCGTGGTTGCTCAGCAGATCCAGGATCTTGCTTTCCGGGCGAATGAGACATCGACAGACAGGAACAGCTTCCAACAATTCATTACAACTACTTTCCCACCACCAACTCGCACTCTCGCCTTCATCTCGCCTCTTCCTCTAACCGTCCTCACCATCGCACCCCCCCCTCCCCCCGGCGGTTACTCACTCCCTCCTGATCAAGTGTATAGACCTTGTCAATCACCGTCTAGTCGTCCATCCGCACTCTCATCTCGTCTATTGTCGCAACTGTTTCACGTCGCATGCCGCCTTGACACAGCCCCATATCCCACGCGCGACTGCGTGCGCACCGCAGCCACATATCTGCATCCACATCAACCAAGTACGGAACCACCACCTTCTTAGTCACCATGGACGACTCATCATCCCAGCAGCCGTCCTCTCCCGAAGCCTCAAATTCCCCTGAACAACCACCTTCAGATTCTACCTCGACCTCCATGGCTTCACGCACAGGCCCTGCGCCGCAATCTCCCTCCAGACCTCCCTCGCTAGGTTCGCCAGGAAACAGCATGGCACCCTCAATGAACCCCTCCTCCGCCCCGCTGGGCCCTACCAACGCAGCCAGAAGACCGGGTCCGCTCCCCTCACGTGCAAGCGGGTTGAATTCTGATATTCAGGCAAAGATGAAGGCTTTCTCCTTATCTCGGCAGGGTGCGCCTCCCGCAAAAGCACAAGCAGGCGCGTTTACCGGTCAACAGCATGGTGCTTTCGTCGGTGGCGCTCTTGCAGGAGCTCCCACATCGTCTCCCAACTCTTCTGCTGCCAACCTCCGACTACCCCCTGGTATGCAACGGCCGAATGCGCCAACGTTCGGCTCCTCGCCTTCTCCGGTCACGGGCAGTCCTCGAATGATGAGTCCTCACCCTTCCATGGGCGGACTAGCAGCAAAACGAGGTCTGAAGCCAGGTGGCATGAAATTGTCAGATGCGCATAAGCCTGCCCCTGCTGGTCAGGAAGAGGAGGACAAGACGGACACCGGATCTCAGTTTAACAAGTATTCGAACATCATTGATACGAAGAAAGGCACGTTGAATTTCCAAAACAAGGCGGTCATCCACGGAAGTGGTATTGATTTTGCTGGCGGTAGTACCTTTTCAATTTCTCTGGATGAGGTCGACACCCTATCAGAGTTGGGTAAGGGCAACTATGGCACCGTTTTCAAAGTGAGGCATGCTCGACCCAAGATGAGGCGCCCGGGTTTGGGGTTGCGAGGCAATATGGTTCGGCATTCGTCAGCGTCGATCCCCAAGGTTGACGAAGAGACAGACTCGCAATTGGATACGAAAGGGACAAGCGGGCTTGTCATGGCCATGAAAGAGATCCGCCTCGAGCTAGAGGACTCCAAGTTTGCTGCCATCATTATGGAGTTGGACATTCTCCACCGATGTGTATCGCCTTTCATTATCGATTTCTACGGCGCATTTTTCCAAGAAGGTTCGGTTTACATCTGCATTGAATACATGGACGGCGGCTCGGTGGACAAGTTATATGGGGATGGAGTCCCCGAAGAAGTGCTCAAGAAAATGACGTTGTCGACGGTCATGGGGCTCAAATGTTTAAAGGACGAACACAATATCATCCATCGCGATGTCAAACCAACGAATATTCTGGTAAACTCGCGTGGTCAGGTCAAGATCTGCGATTTCGGCGTCAGTGGCAATCTAGTGGCTTCAATAGCCAAAACGAACATTGGGTGCCAGAGCTATATGGCGCCAGAACGCATATCAGGAGGTGGTATGGCCCAAGTTGGTGCTGGCGGTGGCACCTATAGCGTTCAGTCCGACATTTGGTCGCTCGGTCTCACCATCATCGAATGTGCACTTGGCCGATACCCCTACCCCCCTGAAACTTACGACAACATATTCAGCCAGCTTAGTGTAAGTCCTTGCGTATCTTCCAATTCAAGACAGCTACTAATTCGACCCCCCCTTTGATAGGCCATTGTGGATGGTGATCCTCCAGATCTTCCGGCTGATCAATTCTCGGAAGCGGCCATTGATTTCGTACGAGGATGCCTGAATAAAATCCCCAGGCTCAGACCAACCTACGCCATGCTCCTTCGACATGCTTGGCTTGCACCACTTCTGAAGCCACCCACGATTTCCGAGGACGAAGAGGGTGAACAAGCAGCCGAGGCCGGCATTGAATCAGCCTTCTCAAGTAGTGCGGCCCCAGACACTGCCGACAGGGAGGTAGCAGAATGGGTGAAGAGCGCACTTGAGAAGAAGAAAGCGGGCAAGTTGGCGTCGCACAAGAAGCCTGCGCTACATGAAGCGCCGCTAGACGCAGTCCCCGGTAGTCCCCTGGTTGCCCCCGACGGGACCATGCCACTGGCCGGGGATCCCATGGTAACTGATATCAAGGCAAACCTTGGAGTCAAGGTAGATTCACGGGACTTGTTGGCGGCAAAAGTGCAGGGCCTGGATTTTGCTTCATAATCACGCAAATGTTGCAGGATGGCAATGGTTTATGACCTAGGTTGGGATTGAAGAAAGTGTAACGATAGCGATGAATGATGAAAGTGCATCACTCCCATAGAGAGGCCAAAATACAGAGATACGGAAAGAACACCCAGTTTTAACTCCCTGCTATACTCGAGTCTCCTTCGGAAGTGTATTGCTGGACTAACAGCCACGTCAAAGCTTGCTTGCATAGAGCCGAACAGGCTTATTGAGACACTCTTCCTTGTCTCATATACAAAACTTAATTTTTAAGCGTATGACGCCCAATGATGTCAGTGGTTTTCGGCCATTTGCGCGACGCCATGAATTTCTGACATTTCCCTCAACAACCACAAGCCCTCCCCAAGACCATCAATTTACATCTACCAAGTATTTAGACTCCTGATAAGCCTGCCCATGGGCGAAGGCTTGATATGCTGCACAGAAGGCACCTGCCCTCTCGTTAGGCAAGAATGGGCCTTGTCCGCAGACTGCTGATCTGGGCAGCCGTTGATGGCGTCGTCCTTCAGGCTCATGGCTCTACGGAGGCCCCCAAGGCAATCCAGATTGACTACAAGAGCCGTCAGATAAAGGAACTTCAGAAGTCCGATGCATCAGCAAAGAAAGCAGCTCCCTTGGAAGCTCACGGCATCGTCGGTAAGGACTCACACTCACTGCTCGACAGAGCCCGAGTCGCTCAGATCATCGACAGGATTGCTTTCAATTGCCTCGTCTTCGTTCCTTATCGCGATCACACAACGAGAGCAAGTTGCCCAGATATTTGGAAAACCGATCTATGTCATTACCGACGTTGCCATTCTCCCCCTGTCTTCCCAAAATGAAGCCACTCTAGCCATCACAGCAGCCCTGGAGTCTCAGACGTTAGACTCGTCGTCAACTGACACAGATACCGATGTGACCGACATAGAGGACAACAACACCAATCCACAGGAGCAGGAAGAGCCCGAGACTCCCGTGGAACATGAGCTCCCTCAGCAACGCATCTCCAATCCTACCAGCATCGCCAGAGATGTCATTGCTAAGCGAGGCCAATATGGACGATTTGCTGCCCAATGGTTCTCCAGGCAGGGTTGGGGTGGAGGCAAGACCCCGGACACCACATCTGGGACTTCGACAAAGAGTGAACCCTTGAAAACGGCGTCCATCTCGACGGCCGAGGCAGATGCGGCCGAAGCAGATGCGGCCGTAGCAGCAAATCAACCTGAAGCCAGTGACGACAATGAAGCACAGGAAGAAAGGCATAGTACGGATGCCGAGCAGCTCCTGAGCGACACCTCCATCACCGAGGCGACTTCCAAAATTCTTAGGAGGACCAAGATGATTTTGACCTCTCGCAGCTATTTCTTCTCGTACGAATTCGATCTGACCCGTAGGCTAGGTGTTATGGGTGGCAGCGCAACTCCTCCTTCACGAGATTCCCTTGACCCTCTGGTAAGTGTATACCGACCACTGCCCAGAATCGATACAGTCCTAATTGAATCAGTATTTTTGGAACCGACGATTACTAGGCCCATTCATAGACGCAAGACAAGATTCGTTCATGACGCCCATATTGCAAGGGTTTGTAGGGCAGAGAACCTTTACAGTTACGAAAGCAGGGCCCGAGAATCCCCAGTCAGCCTGTATGGTAGACGCCGAGCATGATGAGCAGTCAGTAGGGGTACAACACGCCATAAACCATACCAACCAGGGCCTTGCCAGCATAAATAGTGACATGCGGTCCTATCTCCTAACACTGATCTCACGACGATCGGTTAAGCGATCGGGCCTTCGATATCTTCGCCGCGGCCTCGACGATGAAGGCAACTGTGCCAATGCGGTCGAGACTGAGCAGATCCTGTCTGCTCCAGATTGGTCTCCTTCTCGGCGAATCCGGTCATTTGTACAGATACGTGCGTCTATACCTCTCTACTTCTCACAGTCGCCCTACTCGCTGAAGCCGATACCTATGCTCCATCAGTCACCATCCAAGAACGATGCAGCCATGAAGAAACATTTTCAGGATCTCGGGCGACGATATGGCGGTGTCCAAGTTGTCTGCTTGGTGGACAAACATGGCCCCGAAGTTATCATCGGCGATGCTTTCGAGAAAAAGGTCCACTCCTTGCAGGAATCTAATCAGCTTGAAGATGTCTTGTATGAATGGTTTGATTTCCATGCCGAGTGCCGTGGAATGAAGTTCGAGAACGTGTCCAGGCTTGTTGACAAGCTCGAAAGTACTATCAAGAAATACGGCGAGACTGTGATCTCGAAGGATGGGATGGAGACAACCCAATCAGGAGTATTTCGAACCAACTGCATGGATTGCTTAGACCGCACCAACGTTGCTCAGAGTGCTTTCGGACAGTACATGCTGCAAAGAGACTTGGGCAGAGAAGGGTTCGAGATCGATCTGCTGCATGACGACAGTACAACCTGGTTCAATACCCTATGGGCTGATAACGGAGACGCCATATCGCGGCAGTATGCATCCACAGCAGCGCTGAAAGGAGACTTTACAAGGACCCGACGACGAAACTATCGTGGAGCACTGAATGATTTCAGCCTGACCTTGACTCGGTTTTACAACAACATGGTCAATGACTATTTCTCCCAGGCGGTCATTGATTTCCTACTCGGCAACGTGTCATGGAGAGTGTTTGAAGACTTTGAGAGCAGCATGATGAGCAAAGATCCAGGAATATCAATTGATCAAGCTCGACAAGCTGCGATCGAGAGTTGTGCTAAACAAGTAATACAGGAGCAGGACGAAGACCTCATTCACGGCTGGACAATGTTAGCGCCGGCACAAGAGAACACCTTGCGAACCATGCCGTTCGAAGAAGCGGTTGTACTTTTGACAGATGCGGCTCTCTACTGCTGCAGGTTTGACTGGACCACCGAAAAGCTTGCCTCTTTTGAGAAAGTTGACCTGCGATCTATATCGAAAATCCGGTATGGAACATATATCACATCAACGTTCAGCGAACGACAGATGAAGGAAGAGCTCAATGCGGGGCTTGTAGTGATATATCAACCTGGAAAAGGAAGCACTATTCGAACAAACACGAGATCCTTGCAAAACTATGTTGCACCTAAAACAGACGAATCTGAGAATCGAATCGACGGAGGAACAGGGATCCTGTCATGGCTCAGTCCCGCTTCAGCTGCACAGTCGAGAAAGTTGGCCATGAAGGTAATCCCAGCAGCGACGACAGATTCGGATGGAGTTGCGGGGCATCAGGAAGAGGCACCGTTGGCGGTGGCTGAGGATATTGCAGATGAAATTCGACGGGCGCTCACGGGGACCACAGACCATGGTGAGCAGCAAGGCACTGACCTTGTAGAGCAGTCGGCCATTATCTCGTTGGAGGAAGCGAAGAAACGGGTTGGGTATCTCGAGCAGTTGGGTCATTCCATCAAGAAGATGGTCTGGACGTGAGAGAGGACACGCAGCATAACAATGCAGTTCACCACTTATGTCTTAGAAAGCATATCGTGCACATCTGACGACAACTCTGCTCCACAGCCAGTGTCTGACATGGCGCCCTTTTGTTCCCCCTTTGCCATTCTCCCATGATCCCTGCCTTCAGGACAGCGACATCGGATACATCTCGGAATATTGTAATTCCGCGCCGTCTTAGTCACGATCCCGCAATCGGATGTGATTGGCGGGGAAGAGGGGGCGCTAAAGACGATCTGGATCTGGGATCTCGCCATGCCGCAGAGTTTCATCCCCCCCAAATCTGCTCTGCATGCAATCGTCCAAAATTCTCATCCAATCCTACCCTGTCGTGTTGTGTCAAAGCATTGTTGGTGTTGACGGCTGCCGACGGGCTCGGCATGTTTTGATGCGTGTGCCCTGTATGACGAATTCTCGGCACCCTGAACGATTTCTGAAGAGTCGGGATAAGTTTCAACTCAACTGACTTTTGTTCACAGGTGTGAGGAAACGAGTCGGCTAAATTCACGAACAACCAACACCCTACCTCTCTGTGGCCTAGCCTTTGTTGAACATACCGTTCCACCTCGGACAAGCGAAAATAGCAAGGAACTCCTGTTCTCTTCGTTTTCCTTCATACCCCTCTCCCGACCTCCGACGTTGGACACTTTTTTCCCCGATCGAAGAGCCTCCGGGCAACGGTGCCCGTCATGACGTGGCAACCGGAGGAGGATGGGTTGAGACAGTTGGCAGAGTATCTGAAGAATTCATTGAGCGGTCATGACAGGAATAAACAAAAAGAAGCTGAGCTGGTGCGTCTTGACCTCCTGTCGCCTGTCTCTTTCCTGAGATAGAAAAAATATCCGGGGTAGAAGATCCCCGCGCGGGTCTCTATCCCGAATCTTTCTGGAAGAGCGTCGTCACTAACGTCACCATGGGCAATACAAACAGATGCTCATGAATGCGCGCAACAACAAGGATTATGTCAATTACCTTACCTACATCTTCAGCACCCCGCAGCTGAGCCAGACTCTGAATCTCGCCGCACCTAGTCTCTTCCTCATTCGCTATGCTGCAGCTGTCAACCTCAAGAATCACGTCAAATTGTTCTATAGCCAAATCCCCAAGGATCAGTTGGCTTACATCAAAGCAGCCACACTCACCGTTCTTCGAGACCAGAATTCGCAGCTGCGCAGTTTCGCCGGAACTGTAATTACCGAGACGGTCCAACAGGGCGGTCTGCTGCAATGGCCTGAGATTCTGCAAGAGCTACTTACGCTTGTCAGTAATACCGGCGGAAATGTTGCTGGAGAGACCCAGGAAGGTGCGATGAGCGCTCTGGCGAAGGTTTGTGAGGATAACCGCAAACTTCTCGACAAGGAATTTCAAGGCCAACGCCCTATGACTGTCATTGTGCCGAAACTGCTCGAGTTCGCCAGCCATCCGAACCCCAAAATCAGGGTGTTTGCGCTCAGTACACTGAAATCGTTTATTCCGCAAAAGTCGCAGGTCCTCTTTTCTGCGTTGGATGTCTATCTGCAGACCATCTTTCAACTCGCTTCAGATCCAGATGTGCAAGTCAGACGCATAGTATGCCAATCACTTGTACAACTCGTGGATTCGAGACCAGACATGCTCGCACCTCATCTCGAGGGCTTGGTCAATTATATACTCACCCAACAACAGTCGACAGATCACCCGGATCTTGCCTTGGATGCCGCCGAGTTCTGGCTGAGTATTGGGGAACAAGATCAATTGCGAGACCAGATGGGGCCTTATCTGGAAAAGATCATTCCTGTGCTTCTCGCGGGGATGGTTTACGGTGAAGAGGACGCTTCCAGACTAGGCGGTGAAGAAAATAATGCCGACGTCGAGGACCGCGCGGAAGACATCAAACCTCAATTTGCGCAGACCAAGGCGGGAAGAGGCGTCGTTTCCGCTGAGAAGGAGGAGAGTCAGCCTGGAACGCCACAAGCAAATGGGACATCGCAACCTAAGAAGGATCTGAGTGATGGGGAAGTCGAGGACGAGGATGAAGACGAAGACGAATGGGATGACGAGGATCCTGAGAACGCGTGGAGTTTGCGCAAATGCTCTGCCGCTGCGCTGGACGTTTTCGCAGTCAACTACCACTCGGCTGTCTTCAACATCATTCTGCCATACCTTAAGGAAAATCTTTCACACACCCTCTGGCCAAAGCGCGAAGCCGCAGTCCTCGCTCTCGGTGCCATCGCAGACGGTTGCATGGATGTTGTCTCACCTCATCTCCCAGAGCTCGTTCCGTTCCTCATCTCTCTCTTGTCGGATGAGGAACCTGTTGTTCGTCAAATCACTTGTTGGTGTCTTGCGCGTTACTCCGAGTGGGCCGCTCGATTGGATTCCCAGGCTGATAAACAACGCTATTTTGAACCCATGATGGAGGGTCTCCTTCAGCGCATGCTCGACCAGAATAAGAAGGTCCAGGAAGCTGGGGCTAGTTCCTTCGCTTCTCTCGAGGAGAAATCTGGCGACAAGTTGAAACCATATGTCGAACCTATTTTACGGCAATTTACAGAGTGCTTTCGGCGGTACAAGGACAAAAACATGTACATCCTCTACGACTGCCTGCAAACCCTCGCCGACAATGTTGGTTCTCAGATCGCCAAACCGGAACTTGTCGACCTGCTCATGCCCGTATTGATCCAACGATGGAACAAAATTCAGGACGATTCTCGCGAAATGTTTCCCTTGCTCGGCTGTCTAGGATATATCGCTATGGCTTACGGCGACACCTTCGCGCAGTTTGCGCCTCCCATCTTCGATCGGTGCATCAAACTTATTTACGCGAACCTACAACAGCACATGGCTTTCATGAGTGGCCAGACGGTCGATCAGCCAGACAAAGACTTCATCGTGACGGCATTGGATCTTCTTAGTGCGATTATCCAAGCCATTTCGCGGGAGAAGTCGGCGCCGCTGGTGCAGAACTCGCAACCGCAGTTCTTCGAGCTATTGGGATTCTGTATGGAAGATGCCACCACGGATGTGCGTCAGTCCGCGTACGCGGTTTTGGGTGACTGCGCGATCGCACTCTACCCCAGCCTAGACCCCTACCTGCCCAAACTCATCCCTCTTCTGATAAGTCAACTTGACCTCGATAGCATCCCGGATAGCGATTCCGAAAACGCCTTCAACGTCCTCGCGAACGTGTGTTGGAGCATGGGCGAAATCGCCGCAAGAGCACCGACCAGCAGAATCTCGCCTCTGATCGAACCACTCTATCGCGGTCTGTTGTCGCTGATTACGAATGAAGAAGTCCCTGACGCTGCGAGCGAGAACGCCGCGACCACGTTGGGAAGACTCGGTCTACCATGTCCGATGGATCTCGCGCCCTTCCTGTCCGAGTTCGCAGAGCCTTTCTTGCAGTCCATGTCCAAGATAAGCACATCACATGAAAAGGCTTCGGCTTTTATGGGGTTCAACAACATTTTGGAGAAGAACCCTCAAGCCATGGAATCCAGTCTGGCCTTGTACTTCTCCGCGATCGCACAGTTCCCGCTCAAAGGCCGCCAGGGACAGGAATACAGCGATGTCCGCGCCAGTTTCGCCCGTGTCATCAACGGCCTAGCCGGCTTGATCGGACAGGAGAGGTTCGAGGGCTTCATTGCCGGGCTGCCCGTGCCGGTTCGGGCAAAATTGAGGGATGGCTATGGTGTTGGTTCCGGATGAAGAGGAGAACTGACGCGGGACCCGCGCCGTTTGCGGAAAACCCCTGCCACCCGCAAAGATACGTAAGAGCAAACGAAATCGAAATCGAAAATAGAAATGAAATAATGCAGCAACTAACCCCCAATTCCATCAAGTGACGCTGGGATGTCTGTGGAGAAGGGGAGAGCGGAGGGTGTATTAAGAAAAGCCATGGGCCAAACCAACACAACACGAGCCTGGACATGAGCATGAGCATGCGACGAGAACGAGACGACACGATTGATCGACGGGGTTGCGACATGAAATGCAGTAAAAATTAGTTTTGAGCAAGCGACCTGGCTTGGGGTTTCTTGGGTTGGAAGACGCGCGCGATTAGCAATCACACCAAATACATCACATCACATTCGCAATTGCCAACGACGACGTCGACCGGGGCGTCACAAATGAGACTTGGACCTCGGCTTCGGCTTGACAACAGGATGAGCTATCAAGAGCTTCTTTTTTTTTTCTCTCTCTCCTCGGAAGGAAAAACGACAAAATTCAACCAAACTCGAGTGGTCTGCGCTGTCTTGCAGGCCCGTGCCGTCTATCCGTGCGACATGGACGAGCTACTTGGCACTAGGACCAGGACCAGGACCAGCAACAGGCACAGGGACATCAACACACAGGGGGAGCCTCGATCGAGAATTGAATGCGCGCGCAGGTGGAGAGACCTAAGAGCCTTGGAATGTGCTGAGCAAGTGGACTATTTTGAGGGGGATGATATCGATGCAACTGGACCGAACTGATTGACCTGACCTGGTCCGAGCTGAACTGAATTGAACTGAGCGGAGTGAGCTAAGCCGAGCTGAACCGCAATCGATTGGGGAAAAAAACCTGCTTCTTTTTTTTATATGTAGAGAGCGTCACCAGCGTGGTCCTTTTTTTTCCCTTTCCCCCTTCCCCCCTTGCACCAACCCACACCCTTAGTCTTTCTTCTGTAGCGTAGATAGTCTAGAGTAGATAGTGTAGGCACTCCAACCCCCCTCCTTCCCCCATAGCATGGCTCGTTTCTAGCGAGTTACATATGTAGTAGTTTGCAGCAGCATTAGGAAGGAGACCGCCGGGAAACAATAATCAGAGAGATCAAGTTGTGGTCAACAGCAGTGTGGTATTTGAAAGATCACCGAGGAGAATAAGACACCAACCTGTCTTGCACTTACAAGCAAGCAGCCTTGGTATCGAGAATATGCTAAATGCTGCCTTCTCTGTCAAAAGACAAGCCGCTTGAATCCTCTGCCTTCCCTTGCTGTGTCTTTTCAGCTCACTCGGTCGAAAAGCCTCGAGCCACATCAAATGGTGTTCGAGAAAGCCACCCGTCGTACTCGTTGAAGGTAAAAATATGTTGATAAGTCCATGTCAGTGGTCCTCCCGCCTCACCCACCATCGATTTAAATTCTGACTTGTCCCTTTTTCACTCACCAAAGACGCCTGATCTGCCATGCCATCCGGTCTTGTGCTTGTCGTGAGTGCTTGGAAAAGAGACGAAAGGAGCATGTGAAATGTGAGCTAGACGCCAGTGGCAAGACTTAGCTGGAATTGCTTGCTCCGATTCCCGTCCCGGTTGACAAAATAACTCTTGATGGGGTAGCCTGGAGCAGCACATTGCTGCCCACAGATGCTTGGCGCAAATAAATCGGACAGTCCCTCTTAGACCACAATTGTTTTCTGTACAGGAGTAAATGCGTACTTTGGCAACATGGCCATCTTCTCTTCAGGACTTGTCTCGTTATCAGAGTAGACCAACCTGGTTGCTTTTGGTTTCTCCTTCTCCTTGTCTTTTCTCGATCCAGCTTTGTCTTCGCTGGCTTCATCTTTGGTGGTGGTTGGGGTAGCAGTTGGTGGAATTCCGCCTTTGGCGGCGGCGGCGGCGGCGGCATCGGCATCAGCCTGTTTAGAAGCATTTGCGATCAGGTCATCAAGAGAGGACGCGTCTTGAGCTTCAACAGCAGAAGGCTGGTTCGGTACAAGAATTTGGGGCGGAAGTTGCGTAACTGTGCTTCCTGGAGCTTGTCCAGGAGCATACTGCGGCACAATGTTATGGGATTGTGGAGCAGGAATCTGACCTTGATGCATTTGTTGAAATTGGAAAGCATTGACTGGTGGAGCACCAAAAGCGGGTCTCTGTGGCAAGCCTGGAGCACTAGGTAGACTTACACTGCCAGTACGAACTGGTGCAGGGAAATTACCGTTTGTAGCAGGTGAATGGGAGCGTTGCGCGAGAGCTGGAGGCTGCTGTGGAAACCCTGGAACTGGAGATCCCGACCCATACGGACGCGGAGGCCCACCGGCCTGGGGGGGATAGGGTTGGCTTGGGTACGGTGACTGATACTGGGAAGGGGAATAACTCGGCTGAGGAGGATAACCCACGGGCGGTGGTGGTTGCTGGGGCTGAAAGGACGGTTGCGGTGGTTGAGCGTATGGCTGTTGAGAATATGGGGTCTGCGCGTATCCTGGTTGCCCAGGCTGTGGAGACGTCGAATGTTGGCCGTAACCTCCGACAGCAGGCGGGGAGCCGGCAGAAGGATAAACAGGCGGCGCCTGATATGGAGCAGATACAGCAGCTAGGGGCTGGGCGAAAGAAGGGGACTGACTGTACGAACCATTCGTGGGAGGCGCTGCATATGGTTGTTGATATCCAGGGTAGGTTGGAGATGCTGCCTGTGACGACGAGTGTGAGCGAATGTGATACAACAAATCATTCAAACGACTAACCGTGTTTACCTGTGGCTGAGCTTGAACAACAGTAGCCGCAGGCGGATTGGGAGTGGCACCTCCACTGCTTCCTCCATCCGCCTGCTCAGCCGCCAACTTGGCGGCCTTGTGTTCAGCCAGGCGTTTCTTGATATCGGAGACGGACTCAATCTTTGGTTTCTTCGGGGCATTCGGGTGCTGAACACCTTGAGCGAGATTACCAGTGGATGCTTGTCGCTCAGCTTGAGCTTGATGAAAATTGGTCAAGACTCGCTGATTATGCTGTTGAACAATATCTTCGGGAATTCCCTCCATGCCAAATATTTCAATATCTAGACCCGCTCGGTTAGGAAGGGCATTGTCGACGGCAGTGAGGTTCTCCTTGTGGACTTGACTCATGTGGACACTGAGACCCCCTGCGGTGTTCAATCTTCGACCACATCTTTCGCATTTGAAGTGCTTCGCTTTCTGATGGTTGATCAGAATCTTGAGGTCGTCGAAATCGCGCTCGCAGTAGTAGCACCAGGGTCGCGCCAGGACCTCCTCGACGTCGGGGTGATGACGCTTCTTCTTGGTCATGACGAGGGCGAACTTGCGAGGGATGGAGGCGTATCCCGAATTGCGGCCAGCTTAGGAGGTCTCTAGATGAGCAATGGAATTCTTCCAAGACGTAAAAGAAGAAGGAAACACGCAGGGATAAGGAGACAAAGGTAATGCGATGGCGCGTCGATACCCGATGCTCGTGTGAATTGCAGGAGACGATGTGGAAGGAAAGAAGGAGGTCCGCAGAGCGAAATGTCCGGGGCGCAGTTTCGCTCCTGCCAAGACTCACGGCCCCGACGGGGCAAAGCCGCTTGCCTGACCTTTGAGATTGCAATCCAGCCTTGCAAGCCTTGCAGCCTCTTTCCCCGAATTCAATAGACTACTGCTTCGTAATACAAATACGTACTACGGTAGACAAACCTTGGAACGCTTCTCTTGCACTCCGTACGACGCGCGTATCAGGTGCCCTGCGGGACACAAACATCTCCCCATTCCTCTCATTTCATGGGTCTAAAATCTGCCGTGAGCATGATACGCCTGGATGGGGGGAACTGTCTACCTACAGTAGCGAATATAGGTCTATATACCGAGTATCGCAAGCTCTTTACAAATCAAGCACGGGTCTTTTCATTGAACCGAACTTAACCACTGGATCTCCTCGCACTGCGCAGCGATCGCCTCGTCAACGGTGCGTTACCCTTGACTACGATGGTCGACTCAGACTCTTCGGTCCTCATGCTCGGCCTTCTGAAGGACCGTTCGTTGCCACCTAGGTCTTTGTCGTTTCGTTCAGGCGCTACCTCCTCCTCTCCCCTCGATGGTGGTTCTGTCTCCGTGCCTACTTGCTTTCCACCACTCGGGCCATTGCGCTTGTCTTGCGGAAGAACCCTGTCTTTGAATGTGATACTTTCCACCCCGACCCCTCTTCTGGAGGACTTTGCTGCTCTTGTGTTCACCCCTAGTTTTGTAGCCTGTGCTGCCACCCCATTGACAGCTTCTGGCGCCGGCGTCGTTGCTGGTGTTGTTTTCTCGCTATCATCCGCCTTTTTCTGCTTGACCACTCTTCGTTTCGGCTTCTGGGACTCGCTGGTATCCTCACTTTCCTTGACTGATTCTTCTGGCTCGGCTGCGTTCTTCTTGGCCCGCGGTCTCTTGGCTTGGTTGGTTACTTGCCAATAGTTCCACTTGAGCAACATGCTGAGGCTGCGAACTGGATTGACGCCGTTCAGAAGCTTCTGCTTCCAATCTTCGGCCCTCTTGGGGTCGTCATGCAACCACGTGTGATCTTCTTTGATTGACTCGATCAAGTCCGGATCCGTCCACTTGTGTGTGCGTTTAGACATTGGAGACAACTCGCGCCACGTTGGCTTCGTTGATGATGACGATGATGATGCCACGGGCTTGGTACTGGCCTGAGCTACAGTAGTGCGACTGACCACCGATTCTCTTTCTTTTGCCTTGGTATACTGATTTGGGTGCTTGGGCTTGGGCTGTTCTGCACCATTAACAGTGAGCTGAATTTTCCGGCGTTTTGAATTGGGCGTGTCTTCTCGGGTGTCGAGTCCTGATGGGCTGGCACGCTTTCTGCCGCTTGGCGTAGAAGCTGCCGATGGAGCCTCCGACACGTCTCGTGTGGGCGGAAACTTCTTGCCATCGAAGCGGGTCCTGGTCAAGCGTTTGTTGACGGCCTTGTCTGGGGATTCGCCGGGGACTTCGCTGCCTTCGGGAGACAGAGGTCTAATGATCTCACCATTCTCATCCACATTGCGCTTAACATATGTGATGTTGTACTCTTCATGGTGAGTTTGTTGTCGGGGAATGAGTCGCTTGCCATCTCGCTCGATGGGGATCCAGCCGTCGACGTTCTTTGGATCTTTGGCCTTGGCCACTTTGGCTTTGTACTCTCGCTCCTTGGGCACAAAGCCGCCTTGCTCGAATGGCTCCTGGAAGAAGCGCACATCATGCTTTTCTCTGTCTGTCAGATCATCGGCCGATCTCAGACCGGGAATACCAGCATGAAGGAGGGCAGGGCGATTCGCGTCATACTTGTAGCCGTACAACGCAGCTTCTTTCCGTTCCTCAAAGACATCCGGTGCGGGGAGATGTCGAGGATTTTTGATGGTTTCTTTGCCCTTGATGTTCGCGATGTGGCGCTCCAGCTCCAGGTATTCGGTCTGGGCGTCTAGCATGGCAAGTTGGTTGTTGGCGCTCGCGGCATACAGTTGCTGCTGATTGAGATTTGCCAGATTCAGGATGAATTTTTGCGGATCAGTTAGTGGTCGCCATCCATCGTCGCCCAGCTCTTCTGAACTGTAGGCCAGGGGTCGGATGGCCGACTCGCCAAAGGCGGAGCGCCACAGGGTGTCAATTTCATGGGCTGACATGATGGACAGTGAGAATGGTGACGAGAGAGAAGCGCAAGATCTCTTTCCATCTAGGTGATGAGGGCTAAATGAAGTCGTGGGTGCCGTGGATCAGCGGATGGAATGGGAGAAAAAGGATGGTTCGGGGCGGAAAGCAAAAGGGCAGTAGTTGGGAAGAAAGGTAGCGCGCCACTGGGATTATGTGAGGGAATCAGTGATGCCCAGACAATGGCCAACGGTCGATCCAGATGAATGAAGCGACTATTCAAAACAACAACAATAACAATCTGAATGGAATGGGAGGCACAGGAGGTCCGGCAGGAGTGCTTTGAGTGCTTCTCGTGGGAGGCGGCCAGGATCCATCCGTGGCTGATGAGCACTTAGTATTGGGCCGGCCTGCCCAATCACAGCACGCCGTTTGGACCATTCCTGCCCGGCCAATCAGCACCGGCAATCCTTTTGGGCGGCCTTGGCATCCAACTGTCAAAATTTTCTCTCCTTTTTGTGTACAGTGTGCGGAGTACCGAGTATACAGAGCATCTTCATCGAGCACAGAATGACCCCTGCTATAGGTGCGTGCGCGCGTGGCAACATTCGCGGACAGGGAAGAGCGACAAGCACGTCTTCAGGTGATTAATGTGCTGTCTCGAGTAGTTGACAGCATGTCTGCATATCGGCTCTTTGTCTACCCGTCCCAAGGCGTCGACAAGCGTGACCCTCCTGCAAGGAGCGGCCGTCATTAGATCCCCTCTATCATAATTATAGGCGATTCCATGGACATCAGCCCCCAGCTTGGTTCCGTCGTTCCCTTATCCGCTTCTCTGTCGCCTTTTTGGCACCCTCTATCCAGGCATCATAGGATCCGTCCTTGACCTTCATCTTGACCACTCCCTTGAGCACCTCATCCGTAAATCGGACAAAGTTATGCCGCCGGAGCGCGTTCTCAAAATCCCACTTGGCTCGCTTACGTTCCTCTTCGGCGAGCATGTCGGGTTCGTCGAGGTCGCGCCACTTGATCCTCTGGTCTTGGCACACCACCATGAGGTTGAAGCGGATCTCATCTTCTGGGTATCTGGCAATCCTTCTCTGCAGCACAGACATGATCTTGTCCGGGAATTCGTCATCGGTGCAGTCGCCGTGTGAGATGGGGTAGGGTTGGAGTCCATCGAGTTCATACAATTTGCCGTGATAACGTGTGTAAGCAATAAAGTGGAAGACGTCCTCGGATCCCGCGCTGGGGTCACGCAGTGTCTCGTCAACAAATGGACTAGACTTTGCAAAGCTGTTGTGCACAGTTCGGATCATTTCCGAGTTTGAGAGCGACTCTCCCCTAAGCCCTGCATCGAACCCGGTCGTGAAGTCCTTGAACTCTTGTAGCGCCGGTCCGATATCAATTCTTGCCCCCGTTGCCGCATCCGCCCCAGACGAAGACGCATCGACAGATTTGTCATTGTTCAAAACCACCGAGAGGATGGCTTGGGTGCCACAGGCGTTCTGGATTGTCTGGGCCGCAAAGAAGAGTCCCTCGTCCTCGACTGCGGCACGATCGTATGAGCCGTCTTGAGGCGTGCCCTTGCTTTCCGACCCTTGCCCGATCCACTTGAAGAGGAAGATGACGCCGTATGCAGGACTGTCCACAGATGTATTCTCATGTCAGCATGGCTGGCTTCGAACGAGAACGATAGGGTCGGCAAGGAGGGAGGAAGGCAGCGGGAGGGGGCTTGGGCGATCTTCGTTGTTACCTCAAAGCACGGATCCAGTCTGCGTTGAGTGAGAACAGCTCTTCAACCTGCACGTCCTTGACTCCCAGCTGTTCGATCAGAGAGGTGAAGACACCCTGTCACCCGCATCAGCTTGTCAGCGATCCCATCTTGAGTACAACGGCTGAGCGAGCTTGAGCGCGAGCGCGCATCTCGGGGCAGGGAACCTTGTTGTCGGCTTACTTCGTCGGATTCGATGGTGCTCCAACCACCACTGGCGGCATCTTCAGCCATCTGGCTTGCTGACGACCAGAAGCGTCAGGTGCTACCTAGCTAGAGATTCGAGCCTGCGCCGTCCACTCGGTGGGTTAGTTCGGTGCTCAGACAACGCACGAATCTGTCTACTCGGTATACGTAGGTAAATAATATCCGAAGTGGGGGTCAGTTGCGCACGGTTGCGCACGGTCAAACTGCGGTCCAGCAAGTTTGTCAGGTACCGGGCGATGGGGCAGGCGGGTTGGTGGAGGTAGCTAGCCCGCTACGTAGGTGCAGGTAAGTACTGGGTACTTAGGTGGCACACGGGGCACAAGGGGCACAAGGGCCACAAGGGCCACAAGTGGCACCAGGGGGGTGGCTCGGGTGATGTTGATGAGGCTTGCCTAGATCGGCGTTAAAGCAGATGCCTTGGGTACTGTAGATAGGCACCGCTAGAGACCCAAGTAGCCTCTAAGTAAGGCTGGCGGGCTACTAGGCCCGGTGAGTGACAAAGGTCAGGGTCGAACTTTTACTTGCAGAGGTCCCTGAAGGGGGAGTACATGTATGTAGCTCGATACGTACCGGGGGGTAGGTACATAGGACAAGAAGAGCAACAGGTCCCGCGCATCTCGTTCGTCGGGCCATGTCCCAGTGGGAGCCTGATCACTCTGCCAAGGCCATCGCCCACTGCAATGCCCGAGCTGCTTACAATGCTTGTGAATCCTCCCTTGTGCCTGATCAAATACAAGTAAAGGCAGACATGCTTTCATTGGCCTTCGGGTTATTGTGTCATGTCTACCCAGTACTGTGAACATTGGCCCTAGCAATGCACCCATGAACCTTGCAGCCCCCCTCTTGACTTCGCTCCCCTTACCTGGCCTTCCCTTCCCTTCACCCAGCTAATGCGATACGTGGGGTTGATAATTGAATAAAGGCAGGTCGATCCATACCCATGGGTCTTTTGGCATTGCTGTTCCTTTCTCCACGACCCCTTCCTTCTCGTACGTAGCAATACTATGTCCGTCCAGCCTGATCTATCCCGTTTCAGGGCTACACTTGGAGTCAGACGAGTATACAAGTTGCTCCTGCTGCAGATGAGACCAAGACCAACCTGTCCAGAGCTGGCTACTCGATGCGACATTTGACCTTGTGCTTGCTTTGTAGCTCTGGAGGCTTCTTGCCACAAGACCGTCCTTGACCTATACCAGTAGTTGTTCTGCTTATGTGCTTTTTAAGCTTTCGCTTTATCGTTCTGGCTACCACCCTTGCCACGTGGAACTTTGCGTTCACCGTTCAAATCCAACATCGGAGGGTGTAGGCGCCGTCCTCGCGTTTCCGAGCCTGTCGTTCGTATCTCGGGGACCCGGGGCTTGGGTTTCATCGAACGCTATGACTTACCCCAGACGTATTCAGCCCTCTATGTCGACACGAGCATATGTAATACAGCAATCGGCATGAGTCATATGGTTTTGCGAGCGCGCGGGAAATAGTCTAATGGACGGATGCGCCCGCTGTTCCCAAATTATACACGAATACGAGCATGTTGCCAATAACGAGCCCCACGAGACCGTGTTGCTCACCCCCTTCAACTTGGAAGGTATTGTATCAATTGGTATGCGTCAAAGTACTCGTTGAGCCACAGATGAAAGCTGGCCTGGCAGGGCCTCCTGCCAATATTGATGTGGTAGTCATCATCCTTGCAGCCCGAGTCCTTTCCTCGCAGCAGAGAACCAGCAAGCAACCAAGATACCGAAGGATCTGACCGGATCGTTGAATACACCGACCTGCATGCAGGTAACACATTCCCAGGAACGCAATGACTCTTTCGTAATCAAAATGATCCACCTGTGTCAGGGTAAAGAGAGCCTTCTTCTCCTTCCCGCCGATATGACCACCTAGGGCCAACGACCAACCCGGTTTGAGACTTTTTCCGCCATATATGGTATTTTACCAACCCTTACTTCCAAAGTTGACTTCACCTCCTTTGTCTTGCGGCCTTCTCTGTTCTCCATTGGTTTCCTGCCTGGCCTGACTCCAGCGCCTCGCTAGCCGCAGTGGATTACACCATCTTCGATATCCGTAGTCTCACGTCATCGTCACCCACCACCTCCCCGCGTCACTGTTGCCGCTCTTTCCCTTTCTCTTGCTGCCCTTGCTGCCCTTGCTGCCCTTGCTGCTGCATCCTTGGAGACATCGTGGCTGGAGGAGTCCTGTGGGAAAGAAGAATACTCAGTCGAAAGATGTCCGTCAAGTCCAGAGCTGTGAAGGAGCGACGAACCGAGTATTCATGTTCATGCTGCCGTAGGGATTGTACGGTGCTTGAATTTGCCCAAAGTAGTCTATTCTCGACCCTGGTAGCTCGTGGCTGCTTCGAGGGTGTTGCGTTGCTGGAGACCCATACACCATCCCCATTGTGTGTGGGCTGCTGGAGGCGAGACTCCGGTCACTCATCGAGTGAGCGCGCCCTAGCGACGAAGCCGATGATATCGACGATTCTCGCCGTCCTTCTCCAGGCCCGAGAGCCGCTTGGAAATATGCTGATCCCGGTATCGATAGACTGCCTGGCGCATGCAGAGGCGAGTTGGGGTAGATGGGGGCTGCTGAACTGTCTGAGGTAGGAGAAGCAATCGGCATGCGAGGCCCGGCATAAGGGCTCCCTTGAGGAGAATAATGATAGCCCTCGACGCTCTGACTCCCTTGGCTGTTGTGTCTCTGCCTCATTTTGTACGACGTCATTATTTGTACTGGCACGTCCATAAGAGACAAGGCCGTTTGGACGTTTGCATCCTGAGGCTGCGTCGCCCGTCTGGCCCTCAATATGTCATGGAGTTTCTCCAGTGGAAAGAGGGACATGCTTCCGAGATAGGCGCCACCAATATCCGGAAACAGTGGCTCGACAGCAAGGGCGCTTGCGTAAAGATGCGAGAGCAGAGTTAATGCCCCTAGATCAGTGTCGGTACCGCGCAGCACCTGCGGTGGCAGCCAGAAGATCATGTCCCGTAGCGGCTGTAACCGGCTGAATGCTTTGTCTGGCGCCTGGGTAGACAAGTCCCGTTGCAAGTCCTGGAGGTAATCAACCAGCCGCCCCGCATATTCTTGAAGCTCTTCGTTTGTCGAAAGCCGCAGTCTCAAATTATGGAGAGCCGTGGTGATTTGTTCTATTCTGCGAAGGTCTTCATGGGGGATCGAAGTTTGAGTGTGCGGCATCGTGGGAGTGGCAGGCGTTCTTGCCCTCACCATGGTTCTCTGGTTCTCCAGGTATCTTACCAGATCCGATTCGTGTATCCACGCCCTCATCGCGCTCAAGACCTGCAAAATGTCAGCGACCCTTACTGACAAAACGATCGATCCCCCATGACATACAGTCGAGACTCCCTGTTGTAGTGATGCCCAGCTGCGCCTGCCAAGTGTTAGCGGTTGTAGAGGTGGGCGACATTAATCTCACCAGTCCGTTGCTTGCCACGAGAGAAGAATCGAGGCAGCAAGAATGGCTTCAGAATTTTCTCTCGAAAATGCCCCGATTGCTTCGTGGAGACCTTTGATAGCTACCCCTCTATGGTGGTAAGCTAGATTCTCCGTGTCTGTGTTCTTCGTCTGCCACGCGAGATGAGATGCCGACAACGCAAGCAAGGCACTCATTACGAAGTCATGCGATAAAGCAGCTGAGATCAGTCTAAGCAGAGATTAGCTGAAAAGTCATCCCCAATGATACGAACTATCGTACGAAAGCATTTTGAAATCCCACGGCGTGCAGGTGCTGTATCCTCGATTGTACATATCGATCGATAGCGTGGTAATATGGTGAACAAGACGCAAATCAATTGTCGAGAATCGTGTCCAATATATCCGGTCAGGAACTCTTAGCTCTTGCAAAGGAGACTCGCCGGTTATCCGCCAGTTGTCAAGTCGGCGTTGGAGTTCAGGAGACATCAAGAGATCCGGTGGTTTCGTGCCCTTCATAGGTTCTTCTCCGGCTGCTTGCATATCCATATAGTCGCAACGACAGTTGTGTTTCGTGCAATTTCGACATTGTGGAAACGTTTCGTCACAGCGAATGTGCCGCCTCTTGCAGGTCTTGCAGCCCTTTCTCGACTTGGTATGACTCTTACGCGGCGGGCCACCTCCAGGTCCGGCCATTCTTCGAGCCAGATTGAAAGAGCCTGTGCTGGTTTGGGGCTTCTAGCGCTACCTGTGTCTCTCCCCAGTCCAAGTGCTCCTCGTCCTTCTGATCAGGGACGCCAAGAAATGTGAACTCGGCGGCGAAGGCGTCCTGAACGTTCTGCGACAGTCAAAAGCTCTTGCTCCACGCGATGAACTTTTGTGATTTGTGAAGTTATATGTGAAACGTGCGATCGAGAAACACAAGTGCCAGGCTAGAGGAAATGTTCTCGTATTAAAGAGCAAGGCTGAAGTAAATTCGACCCCACAAGATGCTGGCCTCGAAAATCCGCAGAGCAGGGGAGATGGTATCGAACAGGAAGACAAACAAAACGAAGTGGTTGCTCGTATGACAAGGTTTGGTTCAAGGTCCGTCATTCGCGGACCCGATTGTCAGCAGGGACCAGGAGTATGGAGTGTCACATAATAGATGCAGTGCTGAACCTACGACGTGGTGGAGAGGAGGAAGGGAGAATCTGGGTTGCCACGAGGTGTCATGGCCAGTAAGTACGAATTCGAGGCTTGGAATAGGACTCTTGGTCGCGACATGCAGGCATTTCGGTCTCCAAAGCTACTGCATCGCGTGGAGCTGTAGTTCCAAAGCGTCAGGCAATGGGAAGCCGACGACTCAGCCTCGATTCCTGGCGGCATTTCCCATCAACTTTTGTCTCTTGGGCTGTTGAACTTGGGAAACGTTCGGTTGGGCAAGCGGAAGTGGAAGTTGAAAGCGGCCGTACTAATGACGATTGGTCTTGCCGGACTCACGGAGCCAGCAGACAACAGACCAGCAACGAATTCCCAACTGTTCAGTGGATGCCACCTCTCAGAGGTGGAGGGAATCAGAGGCTACCCGCGGGTCGCCGTGCAGATGCCACTCCCTGGACTTGGCCTAATGTGACTAGGAGCACCATGGGAAGGTTTTTTTCTCACCCCCTCCCACCTGCTTGAGAGATGACCCTGTGCGAAACTAGAACATGGGAATCAGGTTAGGATCGAATCACTTTTTGGGGGGAGGGAGGCATTGGTCTGACGGAGCATGTTCGCCGAGTTTTAGCTTCGACATGATAACATAGTGGCACCGTCGGGAATCTCAGAGACCATGAGCCAAAACTCTGGAATCCGGAAGAGAAGGTTGCATGGTCTTGGGGCAGTCAAAATGCTGGGATGAAGGGGCGATCTCCAGGCTGACTTGCAAAGTCTTTGGGTCCGGGGATGGATGGCCCCCACCGAGTACTAGAACCGGGCATTTCTCTCGTGTTTGGGAACCAGTCTGATGGATCGAATCTGGCTGGATGGGATGAGATGAGCGCACAGAGCATCAGCCTGACGCTAGAAAAAGATGACTGGCCATGCAGCATGATGCATGATGCTGCAAAGGGTGGGTACCTCTCTTTGGAGAGACGAGTAGATTTCGGAGTGCATGGGCCATCTGCAGCCCTGTCAAGCGTGGCAGGCTGCACGTCTTGTCAAGGTCCAGGGCAATAGTAATAATAGAGCTCGACAAAAAGATGAAGAAGCCGCCGGGGAACTTGGCTGCGAAGCGCATGCCAAGGCCAGCTGAAGGCCTCGTGGCTGAAGAAATCATCCACTGAGGCGACTCAAAGGGGCAACTGCTGAGGAATGGTTTGTCCGTCGAGTTGTCGTGGTGCATTTGATTGGACTGAAGCCCGAACGCTTGAGTTTTGGAGCTCTTGGGGTCGCCCTCGTAGTCCCTGCAGAAGCCGATTTGAGCCCATTTGACAATAGCCTCGAAACCCTTTGACCCCTCCCTGATTACTCTCGTTCTTCTCTATTAGGCTACATGGCGCAGCGTTTGGCGGTGAGCCTCAAGGGCCATTCTGAGGCTGACTCTTCTGCTCCTGTCCGTACTGATGTCATTCTGGGATCGTTAGATGGATAGATAACTTGAGAAATGGCACCGGGACCCAGGACGCGAAGCGTTGTTGTTGAAGTCGCTGCCGGTCCTTCACCTAACGGCTTCTCGGTATGAAGCAGGCCAAACATTCTGGGGTTGAGAAGCTCCACTGACTCCCGACCGCATACCCAATCCGGAGGCGGACGGGCAGACCAACGCCCCAGAGTGAATCCATGAACAACAATAATCTGTGAGGCGGGGTTTATGACGACCAAGACGACTCGGCAGACTGGACGGAGCAGTCTGGCATATCCCTTCGGCGTCGGTGCAAGTTGTTGTTGATTGCGTTCTATAACTCCTTCCAATGGCTGTGCTGTACCAGGATGTCGTCCATTTGACAGTGGACTGACCATTTGGTGCCGAAAAGGTAAATTCACATGGTGTGAGGCTCGATGTGCCTGGCGCATTCCAGTTCCAAGTTTGAAAGTCCACGCATGGGAGCATGTCAAATCCCATCGACCACACCGCACCTGCAGACTGCCCTCCAAATCATGTGGAAAGGTTTTGCTGCTGTTGGGATAGACTGCAACCAGCTCTGCAGACGCGGGGTCGGGGGCCAACAGGATCCATGAGTTGAAGCCTCTTCAAGCAACTAACTTTGTCAAACTTTCCTGGATTCCACGAGGGACACTGGCCCGTCTGGCCTCTGTGGACACCCTGGAGCTGCTCGCTTGTAGCAGGGAATCTGGACTGGTCTGGTCCCACTGCGCGCCCAGCTAGTGTGGGCTTTGGGAGCGCTCATAGTTCGACTCTTTTTGCTCCTCGCTTAGCTCCTCCAGATCCTCGCCGATCGCAAACCTCCATCGTGATCGACTTCGATTCGAGATGACGGCCAAACTCTGCCCTGCTTAGATATTTCTTCGAATGGCTGCTTGGTAGGTTGTGGGGTGGGGAAGGGGGGAGGAGGTGGCTAGCCGCAAGGGGAGGGTTGAGGAAATAGAAACGGTGCTTGCAAATGGCATGGGTTGTCAAAGTCGACGGCTTCAGGCTGGGAGAGGAGTCGCGAATGCCGCCAGCCCAGTCGGTGGGTTTGAAAAGGCCTGTCCAAGTTAGCCTCTCTTCATCACACCAAGCCACCGAATGACCTCCATCGTGTGAGAGGGCGGGGTCGATTCAAAACCCCTCAAGAGCGTGTGTACTGGACAAGCCAAGACAAGCCCTCGTCCCTGGTTTCTGGGCCTCTCCGACCGTCAAGCAGAACCGATAGTATTAGACAAGACGCAGCTGAACAGAAAGGTATCAGGCTCCGCGCAACCGGCCACTCTCTTGGTTCGGTGTCGAACCATCTGTTTGTTTCACTGCTGCAGAATCGCATGACAGCTGAAACCCGAACGATACCTATCACATCCAAGCCGCCGGCAAGTTCCAAACCTTGACCTCTCCAGACAGCCAGCCATGGTGAAAATATGGACATGGTCGAATTGGTCCTTGTGATCACTGATTAGGCGGAGCCGCAATTGCTCTTGCCTTTCTGGGTGCTCATTCTGCTGATGTAGCCTGTTGCTGCTGCATTCGTCCATGCCTCTGGGCTTCAATGCGTGATTTTGACGGGGAAGTGAAACTGGATGCAGCTAGACGACAGTCTTCAATATGATTCGAGAACCAAACTCCTGGCACGGAAGTGCGTCCTTGAGAAATGGGCGTGGCCAAGCCAAAGCAGCGGCCAAAACCTAGGAAGTGACTGGACGCAGTTTGAGAGTCTCAAGGTGGCCTTCTATGTAGCCCTCGCCACATGCGAAGAGAATCTTCTTCGAGGCCTGGTACCTTGAATTAGGGCTACATTTCAGCTCCTCCGCGACATCCATGGCTTGATGGATAGTCTTCTCTCCAGTTGCAGCCAATGCCCAATTCGATAATTCAGCAGCAAATCCCAGTCTTCTCGTTGACTGGTTGGGCCGTATCGAGCGCACATGCGAGTGTGTTCACACATGCATTTCTCTACCAATCCTATCTCAGTCCCTTTGGCGAAAGATTTTGATTCTCTGTGGATGTAGCTATCCCCTTGATGCTCAATCGATGCACAGACAGGCCCATGGGGAAAGTTCTATGCAGGGAAGACCCTGTAATTCTCGGTTCGCCAACCGGAAATTGTCTGCATTCTCTAGGATTCATTGTTCGTGGCCCATCGCTCATGACGAAGTGTTCTGCGGTATCGCCTCAACTGTCGCCGATGACGCAAAAGGATAGCCATCTTCCCCTCTCGTAAGCCAGGACATGCTTTTTGAATCCTGTCCTTGGCGCCAACGTACTCCTATGTTCAGCAATCCTTCCTCTTCACATGACGACACCGCTGTTGCTTGCAATTCTAGGCCATAATTCAGCAGCCTCCTTGCCCACCGGCCCTGTGATGGCGCTACCCTTCATTTCGCCCTTCGGATTCACGATGACACCGGCGTTGTCTTCGAAGTACAGGTAGATACCATCCGGCCGCCTCCAAGGTTTCGATTGTCGGACTACGACTGCGGGCATGACTAAATGAAGACGTAAGTCCTTCCATCCACCATGATGAGGGGGTTGGTCCAACGTACCTTTTTTCCTCAACTCAGGCTTTCCCTTCTTCACGGTGGCCATGACCATGTCTCCCACACCCGCGGCGGGTAATCTGTTCAATCGAGCACCGATCCCCTTGACGGAAATAATGTAGAGGTTTCGGGCCCCCGAGTTATCTGCGCATGACATGACGGCTCCTCTGTTATACATTATACCCCGTCAGTATACAATCACTAACACAAGGCCAATCCGCATGAAATTGTTCTTCATCAGCGGGTGTATGAATTTTCCGTAAACCGCAGCATTGAATCCAAATAGACTGCGCCGGCGAGGCATTTGGAGCTGGAGGGTTGGGGTGTTCGGGTGATCTGAAATTTAGCAATTGCGATGCACATACACAGGGAGACCGAGAGTCATCTTGAGCTTGTTGCCAGAGGCACCACCGCGACTATTTGAGTATGTCAGTGTAGTTCTTCGGAAAAGCAAAAACAGTCGATGAGAGATGAGGATCCGCCTAAAAGGGAGCCTGAAGGTGATTCAGAGCCACGTACCCTCGCTTCGACATCCTGGCGACGGTGTGATATCTGGGATTATGTCAAAAGGTTCGGGAGAAGAAGCTGTGCGGTGGTTTACTGTCGACAATGATGAAAAGGTCCATCAAAAATCGTGTGCGGCACAATGCCAAGATTTTATCTTGGCATTTTTCTATTGGCCGATAGCGAGCCCAGCCCGGGAGAGCAAATGATATGGTCTGACCCGACACTTTCCCTTTTGGGCATGCTTCCACAGGATGAACAGGTTGATACCGAGTATTCTGCCTTCATTTGCTCTAAAGGTTCCTTTCTCGTTGAACAGAATCGTTCTCTGTGTTTTGCATATTGGAGTTGACTCATTTGAAGTGATAATGACTTCCTTTTTTTTCTTTGAGCAAGCTTTCTGCAGTATCGATTTTTACACGACGTGTCTTTTGGTTACTCTCAAATCTCTGCTCCATAGCAGCACTCACACAAAGTTGATCTTGTAACCGGTGTGGGATTCCATCTTTTCTGTTTCTCGTGCAGACAACAGGTGTGGCCGCCGCTCAGCAGTCGCCGCTGCCTTTGGACGATCTTTACAGCACTGGAGCTTGCAGCCGACACTGATGCAGCCCCTCAAGTTAATGAGCGGCTCTACGCTTTTTGCCGCACACGATCATTTAGACCTTGAGGCTTATTAACGCCTTTGTCTTATGATCATATAACAGCAAGACGACGAGATATACCTATATGCTCAGTACCCTGACGGGTTTGGGGAAGGATTGTCTGCAGGGGTGCTTGCTTTTTCTTCGTCTTCGTCTTCGTCTTCTTCCGCTCCTGTCCTTATCCCTGAAAGTCCTGAAAGGATGTCTCGTGCATTTCTTTGGCGAGGTTGGGGCCGCTTGTTAGCGTGCCATGGTTCCTGCTTTCGTTGCTTTGTAACGGTTTAATAGAGCACATGCTGGGCATGAACCACGTGTGTTCGAAAGCGTCGCACTGTGTCCCAAGGGCTCGTATTTGATTATTGTGCCTGGATCGAGGCAAATGTGAGCTTCAAGACCACCAAGACCTGCATTTCTTGTCCCGTAAGCGACGGTGAGGCTGGCTGATGGCTGAAATTGTACTCCACAGCATCCATTGTGGTGTGACGCAGCCTCCTAGTTACGACGCCTATCGTTCGTGTGGGTTGCCCGAACCTGGAACCAGGTGTTCTCTATTATGACCAAAACAACCAGGGGTGACCGGTTACACGCGGAACGGAAGAAGATTCTATTTTGAAATCTGAGGATGTCACGAAGTCATACAATCTGTGCTTTCCGAGGCAAGGCAGACAAAGATACCGTGTATCTTCTGATCGTCAATGGAACAAAAGAACAATGTGCACGTTGGATCTTCAAGTCCTTGGTTGACGTGCGTATGCTTAAGGTTAGTTAGACAGCGGCTCCTGTCAGTCCCCCCGGGTGGCCCCTTGGGCTTGCAGCGATTTAACCAGATTGACACCGGGGGCGGGTTGCATGGGCAAGACGCTAATAGTTCTCGTGCAGACTTTTGTCGATGATCCATCAAGGGGAGCGACGCAGTATTGCAGCCATAACTGAGTCCTATGCTTTATTGACAATATACTGGTCCTTCACGCTTATCCTTTGCTTACTGTCGCAGAACCGGTCCTCTCCTGGTCACTTTCTGACCCTTCTCCACTCAAATGACTCTAAAGATATGAAAAAGGCGCCATTGCGCGTGCTGCCGAGGCCAGTCTAGGAGCCAGGGGGCGATGGGCTGAACGTCGCCAGCACCCCTCGATGAGCCCATCGCCAATCAGGGTGTTGCTATTGCAGACCACGAGCTCTCGGCCCCCCATGAACCCCTGCTGGTCTTGTGGGCCCAGGAGCCTCAGCTCGAGGCTCAGCTCTCAGTCTTATTCGTCAAGAGAGCGTTGCGAGACTCCCTGGGCCTTCGTTTACTGTTTTTGCTGCCTTCTCTTTCCACTGCGACACTTCCGGACATTACTCAGTCTTTGCAGCCTGTGCTCCTTCGACGCCTTACGGGGTCGGTCTCGCCTATATAGCTGGGCCCTCTTCCAACCACGATGGCGCGAAAAAGGAAGCTTTCATCAACTTCTCTCAACGCAATGGACGGCTCGCGCGATCTTCCATCGGGCTCCGGCCAGGATCACGCAGGATACAGAATCAGCACCACGATCAGAAGTTTCTTTGAAAGCATTGCTGGGTCAGCTACTGATCCAACCAATACTGTTATCAATGGCGCCACTGTACAGTCCCGGCCCCTTCTGGCCAGAGTGCTTGCCGATGTTGCTTCTCAAGCACCTCGCATAGGAGAGAATATCGGACTTCTTGGTTCTTTGGTCGACACGACACTGTTCGACGGCGGCCTTGTCGATGATCGCCAGTATCAAGTGAGCAACCCCGAGAATAACCCCTTCTATCATGTCTAATCTGGCCTATCTGCAGATGGAGAGAATTCTCCAATTGGCAGCTTCGCTGCCTCCCGGGTCGAAGTCTCTTGATGACTTGACCAGCCAATTCATCAAATTGCTTTGGGAGAACTTGGAGCACCCTCCCCTGTCATATCAGGGTGATGAGTACAAATACCGAACCGCTGATGGCTCCAACAACAACATCATGTATCCGCATCTTGGCAAGGCTGGTTCTTATTATGCGAGGACAGTCACTCCTCAAACACTCAAGCCGGGAGTGCTGCCTGATCCCGGCGTCATCTTCGATGCCATCTTCGCCCGGGGTGAGGAGCCTAGAGAACACCCGAATAAGATCTCTAGCATGCTCTTCTACCTCGCAACTATAATCATTCACGACTGTTTTCACACCAATGACAGCGATTATTCAGTAGTCAAGACGTCTTCCTACTTGGACCTGGCACCTCTGTATGGTAGCAGCCAGGACGAGCAGAACCAGATCAGAACGTTCAAGGACGGTCTCTTGAAGCCCGACAGTTTCTGCGAGAAACGGATTCTCGGCTTCCCGCCAGGAGTTTCTGCCATCATTGTCTGCTTCAACCGCTTCCACAACTACGTTGCCATGCAGCTCAAGGAAATCAACGAAGGAGGTCGCTTCAAGCTGCCAAAGAACGACCAGGACACAGCGGCTATTACTAAACTGGACAACGACCTATTCCAGACGGCCAGACTGGTGACCTGCGGCCTCTATGTCAATATCATTCTTAATGACTATGTCCGAACAATCCTGAATCTCAACCGCACTAACTCAACTTGGACGCTGGATCCACGGAAGAACTTCGCGGATGTTTTTGACAGCGCCGGGATCCCTTCAGGCGTGGGGAATCAAGTTAGTGTGGAGTTCAACCTGATCTACAGATGGCACTCAGCTATCAGCATCAAGGACGAGAAATGGACGAATGATCTGTATCAGTCTCTTTTCCCTGGGAGAGATGTCGCTACCGTCACCGAGTGGGAGCTGCTACCAAGACTGAAAAAGTGGTTGGACGATCGCGGCCCGGACCCTGCTAAATGGGAACTTGACTCGGGTAGATACAAACGGACACAGAGAGGGACCTTTCGGGATGAAGATCTCATTAAGATCCTGACCGAGGCCACCGAAGATGTCGCTTGCGCGTTTGGACCTAGGAACGTGCCCCTGGTTATGAAGTTGATTGATGTCTTGGGTATCCAGCAAGCACGAGCCTGGAACGTGGCGACGCTCAACGAGTTCCGGAAGTTCTTCAAACTTGAGCCTCACAAGACCTTCTCGGACATTACCAAGAATACGGAAGTTGCACGTTCATTGAAAGCTCTCTATGAACACCCTGACTACGTCGAGCTGTATCCTGGCATAGTTGCCGAAGATGCAAAGGATCCATTGGAGCCTGGATCCGGTTTATGTCCTGGCTTTACCATCTCTCGAACCATTCTGGCAGACGCCGTAGCTCTTACCAGGGGCGATCGATTCTATACCGTCGACTACACCCCTGCGAACCTGACCAATTGGGGCTGGTCTCAAGTCAAATCGGACCCCACCGTTGCACAGGGAGGCTGCTTCTATACCTTGCTCATGCGAGCTCTACCATTTTACTACCGAGGCAATTCAGTCTATGCCATGTTTCCATTGACAGTTCCTGAAGAGAACCGTAAGATCCTGAGCAAGCTAGGTAAAGAGCAGGATTACAACTTCGATCCACCGACGTACGTCGGCGTGCCAACATCGATTCGGTCATGGAAGGCTGTCACGGGAGTTCTCGCGGATCAGGCTGCTTTCTCCGTGCCATGGGGTCCACATACTTTCTACCTCACTCATCAAGATTACATGCTGAGCGGAGATAGCGAGGCCAACGCCACCCAGCGGAAGGAAGTCCAGAACGCCCTCTACTGCCCGGTCAACGGTCTTGCACAGGTTCAAAAATTCTACGAAGACCTAACCACTCAACTTGTGGTTGCCCGTTCTGAACGGCTCCGAGGAGAGTGGTACCAGCTTGACGCTTGTCGCGATGTCGGCAACCCGTCCCATGCTATATTCGTCGCCCGCATGTTCCACTTGCCCCTTAAGAAGCCCGGAGATGTGAACCCGGTCGGAGTCGAGGTCGACCAGCTCTACCTTGCGTTATCCATCATGTTCGCCTACGTCTTCTTGGATCTCGATACTGCAAGCTCATTCAAACTGCGTGCTAGTGCAAAGACGGCCAATGATCAACTCTCCAAGCTTGTCAAGATCGTTTGCGAGGCGGTCAAAGTTGGTGGAGCACTCCGTATTCGCGACTTGTTCTCTATGGGAACTACTGGAGAGCTACTCGGCGACTATGGGACCCTTCTCCTGCAACGCCTCTTCGAAGGAGGCAAGTCGGTTGAGGAGGTTGTGTCAACCATCATCCCCACCGCTGCGGCCGCTGTTGCCACTCAGGCCCAACATTTCATCCAGATGTTGGATGTTTACTTGTCAGACGAATACAAGGAGCACTGGCCAGAGATCCAACAATGTGCTTGGTCAAACGAGCCTGCCGATTTCGAGAAGCTCAAGGGATACGCACTTGAAGCTAATCGATTGGCACCGGCGGCATTCGGGCTCCTTCGCAAGGCAAACATTGACACTGTGATCCCCGACAACGGCCAGAAAGTTCAAGTCAAATCTGGCGACCAAATCTACGTCGACTTCATTGCGGCTGGCTTAGACGAGAGCGTCTTCCCAAACCCGCGCAAGATTGATCCCACCAGGGATCGAGCTCTGTACATTCATCACGGATACGGTCCGCATGCGTGCCTCGGCCGTCCGATGGTTGAGATGGCCATGGCAGCTCAACTGAAGGTGTTTGCGAAGTTGAAGAACCTCAGACGCGCGCCAGGACCACAAGGGTATCTCAAGAAGACCGTGCCGGCGCCCAATCCCACCAGCAGCGACCCGAAGTCAAACCCAGGTACTGTTGAGGTGTTCATGTTGGAGGACTGGAGTTCTTGGTACCCATTCCCAACCAGTGAGTCCACCCTCTTTCGTTTCCCACTGTCGGCAAATGCTAATTAGAACGATCACAGGCATGAAAGTCCACCACGAGGGCCTCTGGAAGGACCAACCCGAAGCACTCGCAGGCGAGACTGGTGTGCCAGGTATCCAGGAGGAGATCATGAACAGTGACATGGCTGAAGCAAACGGATTGAATGGAGATTATATGGAAGAGGACACGGCTTGAAGGCAAGCCGGTGACATATGGTGGTCTTATAGGGAGTAACCCTGTTGAAATGGGTTCCCGGAGGAAGTATTTCATGGCCAAATTGACTAAGAAGCTAGGAGGGAAACAACCACCCCCTTTGTACAAGAGATGGATATCGTCCTGACACACGGGAGTTGGTATGATTTTTAGTCGGATTCCTCATTTTTCACAAATTGAACCCTTAGTCTAGCGAACCACTTCATACGATGACTTGTTTCTTTACGTCCACCCATTCATCCATGAATCCGATTTTAATAAACGACTTCTTCAGCGCCCAGACACCGTTGGGCTGTGTTTCTTGGTGCCCCACACAAGGCCCAAGATTCTTAGGTATCCACGGGGTACATCTCTCCTCTCTCTTTGCTGTACTCCGTCCCAACTATTAAGTTTTTATGTACGTATCTTTCCGAATGCAGGCAACCGCATTTCATGGATGACACAAGCAGTCCGGTGACTAAGCGTCTTGCATGCGGAATGGAAGCCCATGACAATTTCTGTTGTTGATATTCATTCTTTTTCATTGTTTTGGCCATTTTCGAGATAAAAATGATGACGGGTCGAATACTATACAAGAGGGATAGTCTTTAGAGGCACCTATCGTGTTGATGAAAGCGCTCCTGACCACGAGGACCTGGCAAGCTCGTAAGGTCACCATCGGCTCCAGCCTTTCACCCGCTGCGTCTGCTTCGTTGCTCCAGGGCAGACAGCTACTCCATATTGAGACGAGGCGATCCATCGCGACGACCATGACAAGCCACTATGAGGCCATCGTCGTGGGCTCCGGCCAGGGCGGAGGACCGCTGGCCCAGGCTTTTGCCAAAGCTGGCCGTCGCACAGCGCTCGTCGAGGCCACCCACGTGGGCGGGACGTGCATCAACGAAGGCTGCACGCCGACGAAGACCATGGTGGCCAGTGCGCGCATCGCCCACCTGGCGTGCCGCGCGCAGAGTTACGGCGTCCAATTCAAGCGGTCCAGCCTCGTGCTGAACATGGAGACGGTGCGGAAGCGGAAGCGCGACATCGTCGACAGTTTCCGCGGCGGCAGCGAGACCCGCATCAAGAACACCGACAACCTCGACCTTATCATGGGGAAGGCAAGATTCACGGGGCCTAAGGAGCTGGAAATCGTCGTGTCCCACGACGGCGGCGGGAAGACGCAGACCATCAATATCACCGGCGATCAGATCTTCATCAATGCCGGGTGTTCGCCCGCGAGACTGACGGTCAAGAACGCCGAGAGGACAGAGGGCCTTTTGAACTCGACGACCATCATGGAACTGGGCGAGGTTCCCCGGCATCTCGCCATTATCGGTGGGGGAGCTGTCGGGTGCGAGTTTGCGCAGATGATGAAACGGTTTGGCGAGCGGGTCAGCCTGATTCAACAGAACACCCAGCTCCTGCCGAAGGAAGACGCCGATGTGTCGGAAGAGATCCGCAACATCTTTGCGGACGCGGGGATTGACGTGTACCTGGGCGCGACGATCAAGGAGGTCTCGAACGTAACGCTGGGCCAGATCGTGGTCTCGCTGACACAAGGCGACGGCACGCCGAAATCGCTGCTATGCTCGCACGTCCTGGTCGCCACAGGCCGGACGCCCAACACGGCGGACCTGGGCCTCGAGAGCGCCGGCGTTGAGGTCGACAGCAAGGGCTTCATCAAGGTCGACGAGCACCTGGCGACCACGGCCCCAAACGTCTACGCCCTCGGCGACATCAAGGGCGGGATGCAGCAGACGCACGTCAGCTACGACGACTTCCGCGTCCTGCGCCAGAACCTGATCACACAGGCACACAGCGGCGAGAAGGCCTCCATACACGGCCGCCTCGTGCCCTACACGACTTTCATCGACCCGCAGCTCGGCCGCGTCGGCATGACGGAGAAAGAAGCCCGCTCTCTCAAACCGCCGCGGAACATCAAGGTGGCCAAGATGCCCATGTCGTACGTGGCGAGGGCGTTGGAGATGGACGAGACCAAAGGTTTCATGAAAGCCGTGGTCGACGCCGACACAAGGGAGATCTTGGGCTTTGCTTGTCTGGGCATCGAGGGCGGGGAGGTCATGAGCATGGTCCAGTTGGCCATGTTGGGTGGGTGTAAGTCTTCTTCTCTCTTTCTCTCTCGACCTCCCTCTCTTCTACGGTGTTGTGCCACCTCGCCCCGAGCCAAAGGAGTCGTTCCGATCAAGCCCCTTCGTGGTAGTGTCCCATATACGCTGACGCACTTTTATTTCCACACATCCACAGTGACGTACGACGAGCTAGAAAATGCCATTTTTGCGCACCCTTGTCTGAGCGAGAGCCTCAACAATCTCTGGGGGTTTCTAAAGTGAGAGTCAGTGACGAGCAGAGAGGATGCTGAACAGAGTCCGTCAGCCGACCTTGCAGCTGATTGGAATTTCTTCTGACAAAACGACGACGATGACGAGACTGCGGTAGCAGACAAATTGGTATACGAATGTACGGCGCCAGACGCGCGAGACTTTGTTGATTGATATTCCCCCGAAGGTCAACTCTGGCATGCTGGATGGATGTCTAATATATAGTTATCAGTCAATCATCACCGCCAGATGCTTGGTTCCATATCACAACTCCCCGCCGTCCGACACCGCTCTCCAATTCCCCGTCTCTGGCCTTCGTTCCCCTTCATAAATAGGCAAGGGCGTGCCCATCAGCTCCGCCTTGATCTGCAAAGCCACATGGCGTGAGAAATACCTCGCGTGCCCAATCGTCCCGCCCATGTAGTACAAGTTTGGATGGTTGTTCCGCTTGAACACGCCCTTGAGTTCTCCTTCGCTGTCGAGGCCCCAGAAATCGTCCGCCCGGGACGCAACCTCCTTGCCGAATATGCGGGCCACGTCTGTGCGCATGTTACCCACGAATCCTGTGCAGAAGATTATTACGGACGCGGAAATTTCGCTGCCGTCGCTGAAGGCCAGGCCCGTGCGGGTGAAATGTGTAGGCAGGGCGTTGGATTGCATTTTAATCTGGGAAAGAAGGTCCGGGAGTGTTAGCTGAGGGACAAGCGGTGCGATAAGAATGGGTAAGGATTGAGTGATGCAAAAGGAGGCAAGCCTACCAAACCCTTTGCGATCAGGTCCGAACAACCCACGTCCATGTAATGCCCTATGGATATTGATTAGCTTAACGTGTCTTTGATGGAGTGCCATGTCTCAATGGTGCTCCGAGTTTCGAGACCGTCTTGCGAATAGGACAGTGACTTACCACCTAACTTCTCACAGATATGCCACATGATATCGCCATATCTCTCGACTCTAAAACCGGCGCGTTCCAGCGCGTCGAACCGTTCAGGCTCTTTGGCTGCCATCCCATGCAGGGCTTTCCGACTCAGTAGCCTCGTCACCGCATACGGCATCTGCAGGTGCTGGTCAGCTTGCATCATGGTGGGCATTGAGCCGTGGCAAGAAAGAAACAAAGTCTTAACATGGGAACGTCCTTACCGAATACTGCTCTCTATCGGCATCAACCGTTGGCACGTCTGCGTTGTACGACCGATCGGAAATCACCTTGAAATATTCACACGGCAGCACGTACGTGCGGGAGCGCTGGACCATAGTGATTTGTGAGAGCCCTGCTTCTACCATGTCCTCGGCGACATCGTGAGCCGTGTTTGCCGTGCCGACTACAATACCCGTCTTGCCGCGCCAGGGCTCGGCGGATTTGTAGTCGGCGGAATGGAGGACTGTGCCTGGGAAGACGTCGCGGCCGGGATACTGCGGCATGATGGGAATCTGCCCTCCGCCACCGGTGGCCATTATGATGTGTCGACAGGTGAGGCTCTGGCTCGAACCATCTGCACGACGGATCTGCAATGTCCATACCCTGCGTTCTTCATCCCATGATCCCGACTCAAGAGCCGTGTTGAACCAGATGTGCTTGTCGATCCCGAATTTCTTAACCCAGTCTTTATATCCGCTCGCTAGGTCGTATTTGGTGAGGAATTCTTGATATGGTAGTGGAAATGTCCGATCAAAGGGCAAGTGGTTGTATTCGCGGGCAGTGTGCAGCCTGGCGGAATCGTATCGTGTCATCCAGTTGTCGCCGATCTGAGCGTTCTTGTCGAGCACCACGTAGGAGACCCCTAGGGTTTGCAGCCGGCCTGCTGAGCCTAGACCTGCTTGACCAGCTCCTACCACGACACAATCGAAGTAGCTGAGAGCGCTGTTGGACCCGTTGACGCCATTGATGTCGTCTAGCTGTAGGTTATTCCCGTTCACTCCGTCTGACATTGCTTGGACAACTGGAAGCATATCGACGTCCTCACACCCCTCTAATTGCTCGAGGATAGTCCTTATGAGCCAAATCCTCCAGTTCCCATCTTCTTCCAGAACCAGGGAGAGGACTCCTCTGCAGGCCGAAGCAGGGGTCCCTCGATTGCGGAATGTGAAGGAGACATCCACCCATCCGATGTCCTTGTCCAGTCGGGTTGCCTTTGCCGATCCTGGGATGGGTACAAAATCACCAGCCTGTCTGGATGTGCATGTCTCAGTCCAGGCCTTCACAATTGAGTCGGCCGAGTAGAATGTTCGCAAAGTCCCCGTCAGGGCGAAGACATCGCGCCATATTGATGTTGAAGAGAGCTTTGCTGTTGTAAGGTTTCCAAGCAATTGTATTAGCGGAGCGGCAATACTTTCAAAATCAATGTCGGTATCAAAATGCGAGATGGGTAAACTGCATGGGAGCGTCTCTAGTACACTTCGTGGTTCGTATGGAGCGATATTCACCTCGATGCCTATGCCGCTCATTGCAGCTTTGCGAGATAGCGTTTATGCTTCGGAGATCGCGTCGAGGATATCGAAAGTTCCAGGGCTTTAACTTTACTTCAATGGCTCTAGTATCCGACAAGCAAAGCAAGACAGAAAGTTCAATATCAAGTCAACTTCAAGCAACTCTGAAAAGCAAGGACTTACCTAGCTTACTTTTCGCTGCCAGAATGTCTGAAGATGAATATATATCGAATCTGAGCGGTGTTGATCATATTGCCGTAAACGCCGTCTGGGAGGCCGAGATTCTGGTGCGTAAGTGGATTGTATGGAGCTGGCCTCCAGAACCACAACTGCCGACCTAGGACCCTGATGTGGTGGAGTTGGAGTCATGGACGCATTGTACATTCTGGGGTTGACGGATGGGTACATGTGGAGTCATGCAATGAATCTGGCCACCCCTACATAGCGGCCCTGCTTATCTAGGGCAAGCGTAGCTCGGAAGCCTTGAGCGGCTGAAAGTGAATCCAACGACGGAACAGTCAAGACATGTCGGGGCAAAGGCAGTTCAGAGGATGGGCTGAGAGGCAGGTGTAGATGTATAGGTACGTCGGAACTCGTGGGGAAATCTTAAAGGTATGCATAGACCGAAATGTTCACCGCGTTTTGACGCGCTTGCCGCTCCAAATCCGTCGTCCATCAAGCAACATGATTCCCAACCATTGAACCGTTAGCTTGCACACGAGGCTGATCCCCGTTAGCTTGAGATTCCTTAACCTTGACCTGCTCCGTATCGACTGGTATTGTCAGCGACCTCTGCGGCTTCATGCCCAGCAAATTTGTGGCATCGATCAAGCGAGCATTGGGATTCAATTCAAGCCCAAATCCAGGCTTATCCAATACACTAACGTCCAAGTAACCCTTTGTGGGAATCGGCTCGTCCAGGAACAGGTCACCGAAGACGGGTAGAACGCTCTGCCCGTCAGGGCTGTTTGCTAGATATTCTTGGAAGGGAGAGTTATGTTGGCTGACAACGAAATGGTAGGAATAAGGGCCGGAGGCATGCGGGATGACTGGGATGTCGTACGCCGCTGCCATCGAAGAAACTTTGAGAAGTTCCGTCAAGCCACCAAGCCACATGACGTCCGGTTGGATAATGTCGACATTGCGGCCTTCGATAAGTTTGCGAAATCCATATCGTGAGTATTCGTGTTCCTAGGAATAGTTCAGTCATGGAAGTATGTGACGCTTTTTAGGATTAAGAGTGACTCACCCCTGTCGTGAACTTGGTGTCTGGATGTGCCCTCTTTAACAGTTGGAACCCATCAAAGTCGTCTGGCGACAGTACCTCCTCCCACCAATCTATTCGGATATCCTGCCTCTTGGCCTCGGATACGAGCTCAATGGTGTAGGAAACATTCAAGGACATCCAGCAATCGACTCTCAAAGGGAAGTCTGGGCCGACTGCTTCCCTTTGCTTCTTCAAATATGCGATGTTCTTTTTGAGGCTATCTGGCTCGTCGGCGCTGAAGGGCAGGGGCACCTTACCAGCAATAAAGCCCATTTCTTGTGCAGCTGCGGGCTCGGGACCAGTGCAATAGAAGTGAAGTCTGTCTCTTGTAGCACCACCGATCATTTTGTAGACTGGCTCGTTCCTGATCTTGCCCAAAAGATCCCACAGAGCCAGGTCAATTACAGAGATGACCGCTACGGAGAGACCCTTACGTCCGTAGAACATGGAACCTTTGTACATGAGCTCGTACATATCGTTCACGTCTCGCGGATCTCGTCCCAGAAGGAATCGTTCGAAATGTTGTTGGACTAGCCAGCAGCCAGGCGGTCCACCGAATCCCGTAGCGAAACCTTTAGTGCCATCTGTGGCTTCAATCTCAACACAAAAGGAACCAAGCACATTGATGCCAAAGGAGGTTCGAGAAGTTCGATATCGATCCCATTTGGACATGGGCGTGGCGATTTTGTTGTCAATCAGCCAGTGTCCGCCTTTGACATTGTGATAGTCGCCGCCGGAACCTACGCCGTCGATAACGAAGGTCCGAACGGCCTTGATGGTAGGAAAGGACTTGACCCTCGACATTGAGGGGGTGCCAATCTCTTTGGTCTATATCTCGAGTTAGGTGCGGGAGATTGGGTTACGGAGGGTGATAATGCAGAGATAGTACTGGGTAGTAGAAGGTTTGAAGAGAGTAAAGCACAAAACGACGGCGGCAGACAATACGCCATGACTGCCCTGGAGGGGTTAAAATGCACAAATAAGAGAAAATAGCACCGAAGTCACTCAGAGGACTGGGTTTCGCTGATCGGTACAGCTTCAACCGGGCTCGGAGCAATGATGGACTTGCCCTGCGACCCGAGTCCTGAGATTTCAGCCGTGGGAGATCGAGTGGGTTGGGGCACATGGGATCAATGGACGAGATAGCGTCTCTCGATGGGTTTGCTCCATTAGCCGAATTGTGCCGGAGCAGCAGCATCCGTGTGCATGATGAGCAGGATGAGGAAGATGGGATGGAAGACGCAGGGACGAAGATCGCAGGCAGATGGACTCCCCTTTCGGGCATAGCGGGGCTGAGGATAATTCGATTCTGTCTGGCAATGCCTATCCCGCAGGTTTTCATGTGCATCCTTATGCATCATTGGCATCAGTAAGTCGAAGACCAGTAATTGTTTTGGTCAGACAAGAAATGCCAAGTCCCGGACTCCTGGTGGCAAGACGGTGGGGTGACTTTGGGTGACTGAGCAGCGCCAATGTTTGCTGACTTTGTGTTCCCCAGCTTTTCTTTCTGTCTTTGCTTCGACCTTTTTCTCCATCCTCGGCCTCTTCTCAACCGACTCTCGGCTTACGGGGCAATGCCGCCAGTGCCACACGGGCAAGAGAAAGCCAACAGCAACTGCTAGCAGATCATGATGAACGCGACGAAGCTCGAGCTCTATGACCATCATTCAGGGAGCAATGGCCACGTCCACCTCACGTCTACAGCCCTGGGCTCCATGGGCACCCTGGGGCCATCGTCCAACACCCCATCAGATTCTGACTCGGGCGTAGATGACGACCGAGATGGCTCCAAAAAGCGCAAGAGACCCATGAACGTCACGTACGTGCTGGCAATTCCCACTTTTGCTCCATTACCTTTCCCTTTTCATTCTATCGTCCCATAGTCATGCGCATCCTCACTAATGCCCGAGCTTGACAGCTGCGAAGCCTGCAAGGTCCGTATGAATAAGCCCCCGGGTCAATTGCATTTTACTTACCCAGTGTCAACAGCAGCGGAAAGTGAAATGTGACCGTGCCCAGCCTGCTTGCGGGTGGTGCTCTCGCAATGATCATCCTTGTGAATACAAAGAGCGGAAGAAGCCAGGCCTTCGAGCTGGTTACGGTAGAGAGCTCGAAGGCAGACTCGATCGCCTCGAGGCTCTATTGAATGAACAAAGCCGCCAGTTGGCGGCCCATCTTGCAGAATCATGCACCATTGCCGCGGGAATCAACCCCGCTAGCAGTAGGCCTAGTGTGCAAGGCTTAGGTCCCGACGTTGCTCGGTCACGCTCCTCGTACGATGCGCAGGGTATCAATGTCGCTGGGGATCTTCAGCAACAGATCATCGATCCCAACTTGCATGCTTCCACCTCTCGACATGGTTCTCTACAGTATCAACAGGGAGCCCCAGACCAGCAAATGGCGCAGCAGAGCCATTACACTCCATCTGCTCATTCACATGCACTCACCTCACCTCATTCTACGACAGGATATCAGGGTACCCAAATGTACAATGAGTACTCGGCCATGCTTCCTCCGTACGACCTCCTCTACGCCTTGGTGGATCTTTACTTCAAACACATTAACATATGGCTGCCTTTGTTGGATAGGAAGACCACTCTAGACACATTATTTGGAGCTTCGACTCTCGACGAAGCCGACAGGGTGCTCCTGCATGCCATCGTAGCAACAACTTTACGCTTCTCGCAGGACCCTCGGCTGACCCCTGAGGGCCGCCAGCACTACCATGATACCTCCAAGCAACGTGTCCAGTTGTTTGGACTGGAAAATTCGAATGTTCGAGCTCTGCAGGCACTCGTCATTCTGGCTTTAGATGTGACTGGGTCGACAAATGGCCCGCCGGCATGGAATCTTCTTGCATTAATCAGCAGAAGCATGGTACAACTGGGTCTTGCAGTGGAGTCCGGCTCTGCGCTTGCCTCACCTATGTATCCCTCTATTGCAACTCTCAGGGCTTCTGTTCTGCCAGAGCCCAAATCATGGATCGAAGATGAAGAACGACGCAGGCTCTTCTGGGCCGTTTACCTGCTTGACCGATACGCGACCATTGCCACAGCATTTGAATTCGCACTGGATGAGAAAGAGGTTGACCGCCGTCTGCCTTGCAGAGATGACCTCTTTGCAGCAAACAAGCCGGTCGAGACGAGGTGGTTTCGGCCCCCAGAGCGGCCTCGATATGCAACAGGAATAGCCGACACTCATGGGCATTTTTCCTGTCACTGCGAGCTCATGGCTATTCTGGGTCACATTCACCAATTCCTAAAACGGCCCGTGGACATTGGGTCGTTGACCGACGTGGAGCAGTGGCAGGGCTCGTACCGAGCCCTCGACAGCGATCTAAACGCGTGGCACTTCAGTCTGCCCGACGAGTTTGCCAACATCACTCGGCTTCTAAAATCCAATGTGCCGGCTAAAAATACAAACTGTGGCTGGATCATGCTGCATGCGGCGTATTGTCTGACGGTCATTCGATTGAACTCGTCGGCGGCATACCCCAGCCAGAGTTCGCCCATCTTCTCCTCATCCTACAGTGCCATGCAGCGGTGCCTATCCGCCGTCGAGAACTTGCGTCAGCTCTGTCGCTTCGTTAAACTCAGTGGCCTGCTGGACCGCTTTGGGCCCCCATTTGCCTTCGCCATCTGGGTCGGGGCACGGGTCATGTTGGTGCACGGATCGACCATGGATCACGAAGTGGACCCAGACATTGACTTCTTCGTGACGACCCTCGCCGAGATGGGAGAATATTGGCTAGTTGCTAAACGATACAGCGAGATTCTAAACCGGGTTCTAGGGGAGTATCGACAGTCGCAGCGAGCCAGTGGAGTGACAGGGGAGAGAGTGACTCCGTCTACGGTGAAAATCCTTGCCGATATGCGCCGGTAAGACGGTTCTGAAACGTGATTGGATACAGGCTAAGTTCATTGAAACAGATGTGCCTACGATCTCGACTTTCTCATCTCTCGCCAGCCGCATGCTGCGGCCGTCAAATCATACCACCCGACCCGAGCGAACACCCCGGCCCCCAACGAGCTCGAGTATCTCGATGTCTTTGATCTTTTCAACTTCCCTCGAGTCCCCACGACACAGGAGGGGGTAGAAAACGGAAACGCACAGGCCCTGGGCCAAGCTGCGCCCCCGGATCTCGCGGCGATGAACGCTGCCATGATCCCGAATTTTGCAGTCCCCAATCCGGAAGCTGATTGGCTCTTCCATACAAATTAATGCCACGATTTGGCGGCGAGGCACAAAGACTTGCTTGCGTATTCTCTGACGTACCCCTGATATGACCAGGTCTAGGGTTTGCACCAAAGCGGCATCCCCAAGGGCTTCCTCCGAGTTGGAGATTTGTCAGTAAAGTCAAGTCAATTCCGCATTCATCTACATGATTTGGAATTCGGTCCCAACCCCTAGGGCTAGCAGTAGTGGTGGTGGGAGGCAAACTGGAAGAACCTTTCGAGGTGCAAAACGGTTCGGCAGGGAGGACTGATGATTCCCGATAAATATGGGCCGGGATCTTTGTTTGTTCTGGACTGGAATAACAGCAGTGGGCAGATGTGTGATGGTGTCAGCAACGAACGGGGGGTGGCGGGGAGGGAAGAACGTGACACTGCCCATAGTATTTTTGTCCCTGTTGTGATGGTGAGGTTTGCATCGAGTCAGCCTTACCCGATACCGGATCGGGTGAGAAAGGGAGTCCTAAGAAGGGGATAGGCTGAGTTCGGGCCAGAGCCCCAAAGCAACAAAGTCTTGGTAATGAATAAGGGGGGGCATGCCTTGCGATATAATGTGACGATATGGCCACATTATGTGTGACGTTAAAAATTCCAGTTGAAAGGTTCCCCGAAACCAACAGATTACGAGCGGACCAACGAGACGAGAAGGCGGGGGTATGAGAAGCGACACCATAAGTAAACAACAGTGTAATATTTCTCAGCCCATGGGAGAGTGAGATGATGGGAGGAGGAGGATGAGGAAAGACAAGAGGATGAGAGAGGATGAGAGGGATGACACCGACTAACCTGTTCCTTTGTGCTGGGTCTTATTTTGTGGTTTCGCGCTGCCGTTCGCTTCCACTTTTCTTCCGATTAAGTTTGTGAATACCTACCAAGTAAAGTACTTACTGTACTTGAAGCACAAAGTACTGATACCACTTGCGACTCGGTAGCATACGGAATGCTACTCCCGTACTAGTTGCCGCGTAGTACTACCAAGTACCAGTACTGTTACTTGTGTCACACCTCGACACCTATTACTTCGAGTACGGAGAATTGCCACCTATCGGGCCTAGTACATTTGCTAACAGTGTCCTGAATCCCGAACTGCCGAGCAGGTCAGGTGATATCACATGACCGTCTTTATCCAGTGCTTGGTACAACTCTAATTCACTCCTCGGGCTTCACTTTTCTCCCCCCCTTTCGCCCGCCTGTCATCATGCCCTTGCTCTTCCCATCAGAACATCGCCAGTCTCTTATTCTTATCCTCTTTCTGTATCGCTCTGACTGAATTGCTGACCTGATTCTCTCCTCCCCCCACCCCCAAATGTGGCGAAACGATGCCCCATGTCCCCTGTCCCCTACATAGGTACGGCATCTTTTGCGAACAGGCCATGTCCACCATGTCTCCAAGACTCCCTCAGGGCTACGCAGGTACCTTGGCCCAGGTCCCTAAAAACCCACACCCCAGTCTTCCGCCCCTTCTTGCCCTGCCAATTCCCTCTCGCAAATGGCCTTCTGGTCTGTTCGGTGCTACTGACTCAATGACTCCCTCATCCATCGGCTTGGTTCCTAGTGTCCTGGGACTGTCAT